TTAATCATTATCAAGGATGCAACTTATAGTAGTTCAAACGAGCTTAGTGAGTACATCGAAGATATTGGAGCATATGAATATTTGTAATCGCAGGAATAGTAGCAGGAAAAAGAGGCGGTCTCCCGTTCCGGCCCCCAGCGACGCCCGGAAAGCGGCCCACTGTAGTTATGGGATCCCGCTCGGCACAGTGGGGTCGATTCACCGGCATCCGGCTCTGGCATCGGTGGCTAGCTAGGTGCCTTAGTCAGACCAGACCTGCTTGCATTTCATTAGGGACAATAAACACTCTTTGAATTTTATACTTTTGAAATGGGAAGACGAGCTCGGTTTAGGATCTGGCCTCTCAACGCGAATAATTCCTCGAAGACGTGGACTTTCACCACAGTGGTCGACTTTCACTGTTGCCAAGTTTCGACTTCCATGTTTGATATGTACCTACTGGACGAGAACGAAAGGTATTTCATTCCAGTCGGCATTTACTTAATAACTTTGCCAATGAGAGGACATCCACATCTGTGCCACAAAGTCGCCGGACGGCGCCTTGCTAGCAAATGAGTAGCAGATTTCGACGCGGCATCTCCGACCTGGTGAATTTTGGCCTACGAAGGTCTGCCACAACTTGCGGCACGAGGTGTCTTGGCAGTCTGCAGGAATGCGAAATTGCGGAAGGTTCGGCGAGTTTTGATGTCAGAAAATAGCCGCTGCAGTCATGCGCCTCCGAGAAGTTCAAGGCTGATTGACTCACCCTCCGTCATCAAGAAGATCTTCGTCCTCTGGGAGATGCGATCCTGTCTCACGTGTCCTCCTTCTCCGAATATTCCCGCGGGCTTGTCAAAGAGTTGTCTGTAAGACATACCGTGCCTCCTTGTGCCTAACCGGAATAGGTCGACACACGAGGTACTGCGTACCTGCACTACATGCCGGAATTGAGCATAAGCGCTACGAATCCTTCAAGGAAACATATAAGTTCAGCTAAGTGGTGCACTGAAGGGTCCACATCGTCGCTGGACACCATAGGAATCCGCGCTTCACAATGTCAATATCATATCTAAAGTCTTTGCTATTTCGCAATAGCCCCACCGACGCACCTTCAGAGCCATGGCTAGTCCCAGAGAAAGACACGACTGAGGTCTTGACCTTGCCAGATGGTCGCAAGCTCGGCTACTCACAGTACGGGCTGTCAACGGGCAAGCCCATCTTTTACTGTCATGGACTTCCCGGCTCTCGCGTTGAAGCCGGTCATCTCCACGAGGCAGCCCTGGAGACTGGCGCCCGCATCATCGCGACGGACCGCCCTGGCATGGGACTAAGCACCTTCCAGACCGGAAGGACGCTTTTAGATCACCCGAAAGACCTGGAACATCTCGCTTCTCACCTCAAAATTAACGAGTATGGAGTGATGGTAAGCTGAGCATGTTATTTCTATCCCAACATGCATTTTCTGACTTGGATAACAGGGCGTATCAGGGGGCGGACCATATGCTCTTGCATGTGCGCGAGCCATGCCTCGCGACAAGCTCAAAGCTGTCGCCATCGTCTGTGGAATCGGCCCACCAGATATTGGCATGAGCGGGGCAGGTTGGTTTCACTGGCTCGGCTTCACGTACGGATGGCGATATGGCCCTCGTGTTGCCGGCTGGTACTTCTATCGGGAAGGTCAATACAACTTGCCAGACGAACAGCGCTTGGAACTACGTCTACAAGAGGCAGAGAAAAAGAAGGCGACTTATCCGAGACAGGAACTTGGTCTCTGGTCAGACAGGGAGATTGTAGCACGGATGGTCATGACCGGTCGGCAGTATTATCGTCAAGGAATTGATGGAGTGAGTCACGACGGGTACTTGTGTGGAACAGAGTACGGGTTTAATGTGGAAGATATTCGGACTGACCTGCCTATGCGGCTGTGGTATGGACAGCACGACACGTTTGTTCCTCCGAATCATGGGGTTCAGATCGCGAAGAGGTTAGGGGACCATGCTCACCTCCGACTGGAAGATGATACACATGCCAGCATATTCTTCCGCTGGCGGAAGGAGGTTCTCGCCGATTTGGTGAAACACATTTAGGTGAAAGGGGGAATACCGTGTAGTATACCAAGTCGCCGCTCACAAACCAGGAGGGAAACGTCGCCACTTGCTATATCCTAACAAAACCACACTATTGAAGTAATTCACACCATTCATGCCTGCCGGCCTGCCGGGACTAAAACAGGCCAAATTGAGCTCATACATTCGATTGATCGGGCTTTAAACTAAGATGACTTCCGTCCATTTCGCGTTCCCCGCAACACCTTCTCCCTGCATGATACCATCCAGGTAGGCATCGCCTATCAGCCTGTAGCGTTTGTGTTTGCTTGAAGTCGTACCCGCATCCTGTTCACGCAAAACGTAAGGAACTTTACCACCAGCAAGTACCATCACGATATCGTTAGGCTGTGCCTCGGCGTCAGCCATTCCCATATCCCCACTGTTCGTGCGTATGAATCTACGTCCAGAAAGATTGGGGACCAATGGGTACTGAAAAGGTTCATTCTTCAGTAGAGACGGGCAGTAATTCTCCTTGGAGCTCACAACTTTGTACCACCTCAAGTACGAGTCAAAGTCAGCTGCTGGATCCGCCAGCTTCCACTCCCGATCTTCTTTTAGATAATTGACGGCCAGATTGCCACACATTGTTCGCCAAAATTGAAGTTCCCTTTGACTGGCTGCTCCGTACGATGCGGGAAGACGATCTGGGAGCCTTGCTAACTGACGAGCCTGTTTGACGATCGAGGTCGCTCCAGCTAGATCACCTGGGTCTGAGAAAAAGCAAGCATTTCCAACGGTTCTAATCCGATTGATGAGAACGCCATTCACAGTAGCATGACTTTGCAGGTCATCAAACTGAAATCGGAACTTGGCTTGACTCCCCCAAGATGCATTGTAATGCAGAAGTGTCATCTGGCGGTCCCCACATAGGAGATGTGTAAAGTGATTGGTCGGCTTGAGAGACCAGTCCGGAATGAACGACGGTAGATTCAGCGATGTCTTCTTTCCGGGGCTGAAAAAGCTGAAGATATCTAATGTCTTCGTATGCTGTATGTTCTGCAGCGCGACGTCGATGAAAAGTTGCTCAATGGGGATGTCGTCATCAGGTTGCATGTTGCTTGTAGGAAATGTGAAATCCATTCCAAGCATTCCATACACCCTGTCTCGAGGCTTGCTACATCGTTGCCACCGCAAGTCGTGAAGTGTCCTTAGAAAACTTCGATCTCCCTTCAATCCTCTCGTATGGATCAACGCATTTGTGTGGGTGAAGGCGGCCACAAATCTTTCACCGCATTCGACAAACAGCGGCCGCAGCATTGATTTGAAATGTGTCGCCGTAAGGCAAAGAATCCCTTTAAGAAGAGGCTTCCCCCTATCTTGGTCGTCTCAAACTGAAATGAGAACCTTTCTGCAAGAACGAATTCCTGTACTGTCCATACTCGGAAGAACCACTCCGCCGAGAAGAACTTGGTAAGGTTGCGCTCAACTTAAGGTGTGGAAATGCTCTGACCGTTGATCTGATTCGCGTTAGTAATATAGATGCAATATCGAGGTGGCTGCGTACGTGTAGATGCGGCTCAAGTGCTGGGTTAAGGTGGGCGTCTTCCTGTCGAGCTGCAAGCTTGAGGTATTCGGTAGCAATGGTCAAGCCATCCCACTTTTTGCCCAGAAATATGACAACATGAGATGCGCCTTTGTATATCTCACCCATCATCTTTACTTGACTCGGGCGTTCTTTATGATTTTCCTGGTTAATACATAGGGCGTCGATCCAGAGAACGCGATCCGACCGGCTGCGTCGCAGGTAGTGAAGAAGCTCAAAGAGGTTTCTGGAAATCTGAAAGTCTAGTGAGTTGACTTTGATTACTCTGTCTCGCTTTGGGTCTCCCCATGTGTATGAGACTGCCTCATACTGAGTGCTTTTGGTGGGCGAAATTGCAAACAGACTGCACTCAATGGGAGCGGAGTGATCGTTCGCAGGCTTTAATCTCAGCAGGCGGATTTGGCCATCGGCAAGAGGCGAATGAATTTTGCTGTCGCGTCGAGGAGGCATCTTTGTTGAAAGGTTTGGTTTAAATGGCTTGCTTAGTATGAATTTGTTCTTCAAAGGAGTGAAGAAAATGAAGCGTGAGGAAAAGTCCAGCGGTAGAGTGTGGGATAGAATGGCAAAGTCTGCCGGTTTAAGAAATAGAGGAGAGAGGAAAAGCGCGGCATTTTGCAGTAATGAGATACCTTACTTCAGGGTATGCCTTTTTGGTCAGAGTATCCACAAGCACCGTAGACAATTATTGACACCAAGCCTGATTCCACTCCTTGGCCAGTACCATGTCATTCATGTTTGCTTCGCTTCGTGTTGGTTCAAGGATATTCATCCCCTCGGTTGCAACAGTTCCATCTTCCTGTGGGGTATCGCAACAGGAGTGGTATAACATCCCCTGTTCAGCATCTTATCTGTTTGCTAGCATATATGGAGACAGATATCGTTATCATTCAGGCAATCGATTCCAGTCAATGCCTCGAGTACGGCGTCGCATCACCGATGCCAAGCATTACGCCTGCAAGGCCGGCAGCGGACGCCGGGCGAAAAACTGCCCGTCGCAAGGCTATTCACAATGCACGTGGAATACCAGCCAAATACTGTGACAATAAACAACCAGGGCTTCTGTCCGGATATTAACCAGGATGCAGTGACCTCTCCCCCGCGATTAACCATGGTTGGCTCAGGAGACCGGCCGGTCGTAGACCTGCAGATGAAGATTATTTGGTAAGCAGGTGGTAGCCGTGGACAAAGGGAGTCGTACCCGAACCAGTGCCAGCCCATCTATGTCTCGCTTAATTTTGTTGGCTCTCATTCCTGCCCCTCTTCCGAATCGCTCTTTCTCAGCGGGATACAACATCATCAAAGAGTCGTCCATCGCCCGTGCCTGCTGACGATCCACCCCTGTAGATCCATATCTTACCATAGCAGCGATCATGGCGGATGAAGGTGCCGTTCCCAAGTCTCCCTCGAGATCTCCGACGAGACCCAACACCGCCGCTCCAACAGCTGCAGGAGAGGAACTGGCTACCAACAGTCAACAAACGCCTGGCCCCAACATCGAGACTGATGACCCGGTGGAGGATGCAGGCTTTTTTACTGACGATAGCTCCACTCAGTCCACCTCATTGTCATCCAGCGTCCGCGACTACAACTTCGAGAACAAACGACGATACCACAAGTTCAAAGAAGGCCGCTACCTGTTCCCCAACGACGATCTTGAGCAGGAGCGCGAGGACATGAAGCATGCTATGATTCTTCACCTATGTGGTGGGGTACTTCATAACGCGCCGTTGAAGAGTCCCCAGAAGATCCTCGACATCGGGACTGGTACCGGTATTTGGGCTATCGATAGTTCGTGCATTCAAATGCTCTTACGAAGACTTGATGTGAGAGTCTGAACTCGCTGACCGGCACATAGTGGGCGACGAATATCCGGAGGCAGAGGTGACTGGCATTGATCTCAGCCCCATACAACCCTGGTACGTCCCGCCGCACGTGAGTTTCATCGTTGATGAGCCGAGGCTGAATGGCTCTACCCCGAAAATTCAATCGACTACATTCATCTTCGACACATGGCACCAGCCATCAAGAATTGGCCCAAGCTATTGAAAGAAGCCCATAGGTATGCCCGGACTGTGATTTGGAGGTCGATATGCTAACGACAGTAGAGTCCTTAAGCCCGGGGGCTGGATCGAGCTTCAGGACATGAAGTGGACATTCGACTGCGATGACCGGAGCATGCCGTCTGATTGCACGCTTCCTAAGTTCACTAGCCTCGTCAAAGAGGGTCTAGAGAAATTCCGGGGTTGGACTCTTCGCAGCTGATCACCATATTGAACGCTTGGAGGCTGCGGGCTATGTCAACCAGGTCAACGACACGAAGAAGCTCCCTGTTGGTCCGTGGGCCAAGGAAAATGACCTGAAGATCATCGGCCGCTACAGCCAGGCGGCTGTTTATGATGGCTTACACGCGAATACCATTGCACCTCTTACAAGAGGTCTTGGCTGGTCATCCACTGAGGTTGAGATCTTCTTAGTACAGCTGCGCAAGGATCTCATGAACCCGTCCATCCACTCGTACGCACACTACTATTCGATGTCAGGCCAGAAAACGTTGGAAGTTAAGTAGTTACTGATTTAAAATTTGGAGTTTCGCAGTAGTTACTGATTTAAAACTTGGAGTTGTTTTTTAATCACATGCAATCGCCTACATGACTTGTCTATCAGGATGGTCAGCTCTGGGGTGGAACATCCTGCGGACATCAACCGAGGCTAGGACGACATTGAAAACACAATAAGCGGCTTTATTTCGTGATGCATGCTTGAACTTCTAATCTAGAAAGTTCTATTAAAACATGGACATGGCCCTTGTCTCTCAGAAATCATGTCGTGTTGCGAGGAAAAGGCGCAGTTGCTGCTTAGAGATCGTGGTGCCAATGTCGTTGCAACAGTTTCATTGCCGGCAGATAATGTTGAGGGTCTGGCGCTGCACCCGCCTCAATGAGGGTGTCAGCTGCTCTCGAATTTCCCTTAATCCTCGCCAAGTGAAGAGCCGTACGCCCTTCAGTATCCGTCTTCTCCAGATCAACGGAAACATGATTCTTCTTCTTTGAAAGCCTGCAAATATTGCGAACAATTTCATCTTTACCGTGTAAAATGGCGAGATGAAGCGCCGTCCAGCCGTAATTGTCGGTCTCATTAACAAAGGCATAAAGCTCCTCGACAGCGCCCCAGTGGCCTCCAACAACAGCCCAGTGGACGGCCAAGCGACCGTGAAAGTCTTTAGCGTTCCACTCAATTCCCTCCAGACCGTGGATGATCTGCTGATAGGTTGATGAGCTTATCTTGTTCAAGTGGGCAAGAACGGCAACGTTCCCCTCGCCTGCCGCCACATGAAGCGGAAACGCTCCATCCGTGCCTTGAACGTGGAATGTTGCACCTGCGTCAGTGAGTGGAATAATGACATTATCATCGCGATAGCCGCAAGCATAATGAAGCGGCGTGTATCCCCGGAAGTCTCTTGAGTTTACGTCAGCCCCGTTTTTGATCAAATATTCCACCATATTCAGGCTTTCTGTCCTAGCAGCGTGGTGCAGAGGTGTAGAGCCAGATGCATCGGGCTGATTAATCCAAGGGGTATCTTTCCTGCATGTTGCGGGGTTCCCATTGATCTTCATGGCCTCGAGATGAACACTTGTCATGTTGAAGCGTTGCGGCAACTTGGCTGATAGGTCTGGTGGGTCTTTGCGCTGCCTCCAAGGCAGGCACTTCCTCGCATGAAATCTATGACACAACCGCGTCTCAGACTGCTCTACGTCATGTTCAATATCTCTGGGTTCTCTCAGATAATGCAGAAAGCCTTGGTGTCTGTCTTGGTGGGTGTAAAGCGTTTGCAGGTCTTCGAAGAGCTCGTCGTTACCTAGAATTCTAAGGCATGTTAAAAGTGCTGTTCGATGCTTCCGGAAATGTTGATCGAGATTCTTGCGTTGACCAGGGGTCATGTCCGACGACCAGCCATCGGGTTGATGGCTTTCAGCTTCCTGATCCAACTTTCTACCCTCGACATTCATCAACCAAAGTTCGTCTTGTGCGTCCTGAGCATGCTCGATTAAGAAGAAAAAGAGGTGCAAGAAGAAAGCTCTGCCCAGTTGAACTTCTTTATGAAGCTTGACGGAATTCAGATCATCATGGTCTAGAAATAGAAGCTCCCAGTTTTGCGCTTTACGAGCCTTGATCTTTTCCTCACAGAGAACGTCGAAGATTGCGAATGGTACTGGCGCTTTGTCCCAGAAGCTCAAAGGCAACAAGAGGCTCAACGTAGCCTCGATCTCAGAGCCAAGCTCAAGGTCGATTAAATTTTCAATGAGCTTATTCAGGTCCCCATGCTTCAAAACACAGAGTCGGAGATTGCTCCTCAGAATATTCCGCCAGGTGATGTCAATCACGATGTTCTCAATCTCCGCTCTACCTCGCACAGAAGACCTCAACGTCTGTGCCACGGAACAGAAGAAGGAATATAGTAGGTCTTTTGCGTAAAGAAGATCTAGTGTCTCCTGAGTTTCGATGGCCCAGTGAGCCCTCTCAGAGCGTTGAGGCAGTAGCTCCGATACAGAATCCCGAGTGCGCCAGAACTCTCGCTCTCCTCGTGGAACGTCTGAGAATGGTCGTTTTTGTGGGTTGAAACCCACGATTCTGCTCGACTGAAATTTCTTCGGCACATCGTAAATCTCGTCTTTATCTTCTCGGGGAAGTCGGTACTCGGTTATGTTGAACATGGTCTGCATAGCTTTTGGCGCCCAGAGACTGAGATCTTTACACATCTGGTCTCTCATCGCGTTATCCGCCGGACATAGAATTCTCAGACTGGCTGGATATATCTTGTTACGGAGCCAGCTGTCATTCTCTGAGTTGACGTGTTTGAAGTTCTCGGCGCCCTGGCTGAGCTCAAATTCCTCATCGGCTCCGCGCGCAGTATATGCCCACAGTGACAAGATAGCGTCGATGTCATCTGCCAAAACTTTCCAGGACTTTCCCTTGTGAGCCAATCGAAGCTGGAGAGACATCGCCGGATTCGAAATAGGAGTTGATACTAAGCCGTTGTGAATCACGTCAATATTCCAAAGGAAATCGCTAGTTCCGTCGACTCCAGTACCAGTAGGGTACAAGATCGACATCGTCGTTTCCATTGCATGAGCAAGGTTCAGAGCTGTCTTTGACGTCTCTCGCTGGAAATTTGCTAGCTTAGCAAGCTCTCGGCGTACGTCCAACAGCCGCGAACCCGACTGGGGCCTCGAAAAGCTTTCTTGTACCGCTTCAAGTGGATGGTATCGGGAGCCCCACCCCGTAACCACAGCCCATGTCCCAGGAATATCATGTTGATTTGCTTTTCCCTTCTCACGATGCCGCGATAGCGGGCTTGATACGGTATCTTCTGCGGTCCCATCATTTGGAGATTCAGGTTCCGTGGGCTGGGTCTCTTTGATAGAGGACTCGTTCGTCTCCCAGACATGCTGTTCTTTGACTAATTTCCAAGCTAGCCAGTCAATTTCAAAACCGGCGAGAAGCCTTGACTTCTCAAAGGAACTCGCAAATCCAGGTCTCACAAGAGCTCTTGCCATCGTCATAGCACCTACTGCAGCGAGCTGTGCCAGAGATGCTGCTGCGTTCATCGCCCGCAGGCCAACGAACTGGATGACGAATCCCACAAGACCAATGAGAACTCCGATAATGGCCATGAGTTGCAATGTTTTGTTGTCCTTTCCCTCTCCATAATCTTTGCTGCGACGAGAGGTGATGATTTCAGTTCGTGGTAAAGAGGGAAAGGTTGCAAAAGATTCAAAGACTTGATCACTAACGGTCTGCCCTTGCTGTAACCAATATAGACGGATCTCATAGCCTTCGGTGGGTTTGTATCGTTGCTCATGTGTACTACTTTCCACCACACGAGCACACAGAAGCAACCCTGCAACTAACAGGATGGTACCGCTAGCAGCAAGTGGGAAGGCATGTTCGGGAACAGCTTCGTCATCCTTTTTGAAATCATTGCGTATGTAAGATGGATAGGTCATGACCGCAAAGAAAGCCAAAACGCCTAGTTGAAGAATAATCCCCATGACTGCAACAGTTCTGATAGGAGTCCGGCTATGGCTCTCTGATAGGTTGAGGGAGATGTTCGGCGCTTCAGGACCTGTGTTTCGAATGACGATCATGGAGGATCCGTCGAGAGGATCATCGGCAGGTGTAACTTTGGAGCTCTGTAAGCCGGTCTCTGTTGTTGATCCGACGGTAGTTCCATTTGAAGAACCATGTATAGGATGTTGAGAGATATTGCCCAACTCTATGTTACTTTCCGTTGAAGCCGACGCATTGCCTAAAACACTTAATCACAATCTCCGACGAAATGATGGATGAGTGTCTGCCAAGAAACGTACCTCTGCCTCTGGGAAACCAGGCACGAGTACGTCTCATAGCCCGCCGCACTACCGTAGACCCAGCATTGAATTCATCTTCAACCACAGAAACGGAGGTTGACAGTCCTTTATCAGTAGGTTGTGTTTGCCCTTCTAGCTTAGAATCGCGAGTTCCTTATTTAGAGTCAGTAATTTTCCCTCATGGTGTAAACTACATACCCTACCTTCCAAGTTCAAAAGGCCATCCGTAATCGCTTGTTCCAGTGTCTTGAAATGGATTCTCCCAGTAGTCTTGCTGTTTCTCTTAGCCGAATCTTTGGCGTTGTCACCTCTTGGTACGAGGCAAATGTACTCCCACACAGGAGCCAAGCCTTGACACCTAACGATACTCTCGCCATTGTACAACTCGCAAACCTCGCGTGAAGTAGAAGACATCAGCTCCATTTCGGCAACTGAGGTGTTCTCCTTCGCCCGGCCAATGATCGCCTTAAGCCGCATCGGCCCGCCCACGCGAATTGCGCTCACAATGATGGTGATAATCCCTAGCGGAGCCATGGCCAACGCAATACAGTCTGCCCAACCCAGTGATTGACTCATGAACTGCATAGTCGCGCGTTCTCCAAAAAGGGCAAGGACACTAGATCGATTAGCATACTACCCAAGAAATGGTACAGAATCAGACCCACGGCGCTAGATCAGAGAAGAGGTTGTTGGTGAAATCATCCAGAGCCCCAGCCTGTGCGGATACAATCAGCGAGGTGAATGCGAGGCATGCCCATAGCCGGCGACGCGCCATTTTGGTCAGTTCCACCAGTGGATCGCTGCGCTCTACTGTACGAGACTGGTGCTTCTGGCTGGTAGTCTTTGGGATGGAAATCCAATCGTGTGAAAGATTAAGAGAAGTTGGGAACAGGCTACGGGGGCTTTAAAATTGCTTTGGTATTTGAAGATGGACAAGGCTGGCGGCTAGAGCAGAGGCTCATGCAGGCGTGCTGACTGACTTTGATCACGACGTAATGATTGGTGAAGCGAAAGGGTTTGTTCCATTTCGATCAATCACTTCTTGGCAGCTGAGAGCCTGCCTCGCTAGCCTAACAGATCCTTTGCAATTGGTCAACTTTACATGGAAGTTGCAGATTCGAGACTGATTGCAAGTGTCACCCAGTATTTTATAGAGGTTGTCAGTTGACGGTTTTACCTGCGAGAACAAAATCGGTCATAGTCGACAATCAAAGAACAGGTTATTATGCTCAAGGAGTGAACTAGGGAATTGGCGTTCATGCCTATGACGGGCTTAATCAATCATTTGATGCAACCCATCAACCGCGATGCATATACATTCCCTTCCAGTTCACCCTAAGGTTATCTGCTTGAATCTATTCATCTTAAGCAGATAGCCTAATTCTACATAGAGTACAGTTCTGGGGCATTTCAGCTACTAGAACGACCGCATAAGCTTCCTGGTGAAGGTTTTCAGTTTTGTTACTCCGCTAGATAATTGTATCTGTGCATGGGGCCGGGTGGGGGGTGATCACAGGACAACAACAATGACGACAACCAAGACCGAAAAAAGGAAAAACACCTGCGATAGGAACAAAAGTGATAATAACAATGATTGAGGTAACAATTACGATGTTTAATATATTAGGTGAACATCTGATTGGATGTACTCATGGGGAGCAGAACTCAAGTATCTTGAGTAGACAGCTGGGGACTAAGCGATGCACGCCCTGTGCGACTGCGCAAGACCGAGACATCGGACGAACCAAGTCCTTCATTTGTCATATGGATATCTCTGACGTCGGACATATTTTTGCTAGAGGCCGAAAGTCAACTTCGTGGGCATGCAGTGGCTGAGGTGGTCGGACTTATCATCTTAACTCCATAATAGCGGCATCTGTGGAAACACGGGTCCCCTGGCAGTACGATCCGACAGAACAGAACCAATTGGTTTTCCGACATCAGATACGCCCATAACGTTATGTATGCGGAGATTCTAGGGGTTGGTTACCTGTAGAGTTGCGGAGTTTAGGCGGGTCAGTGTCACGAGGAGTGATGCAGGCGGCAAGCTTCCAGATTGCTTCAAGACGAGATGAAATGTCTCGATGAATCTTCCTATGACACCAACATTCGTCACCTGTCTTATCATACCTTAACTTGCCCCTCCTCTGAGACTTGAAGAAACCCCGGACATACCAATCAGACACTCTCAGTGAGTCGCATCATCATGGCACGAAAATACACCAACAAGCTCGAGGGCAAGTCTGTTCTAGTTGTCGGCGGAACTTCCGGGATTGGATACGCCGTCGCAGAAGCAAGCGTCGAGTACGGCGCTAATGTCGTTGTGGCGAGTCGGACCCAGGAGAAAATTGACAGCACGATCAAAAGACTCAAGGAGTCGTACCCGAGTGCTGCGGACAGAATCCGAGGTCACGTCGTCGATCTTCACAGCGACGACTGCGAAACTAGCATCACGATGCTGTTTGAGTATGCGACCAATGGTAGGAAGGACTTGGTGGATCACGTCGTGGAATCTGCCGGAGAGTTCCTCGCCAACTCGCCCACGCTCCAGGACGCCACGCCAGGCAACATTACAGACTTCGCGCGAACCCGCTTTATCGGCGTATCTATCCTAGCCAAGGTGGCAGGGAGCTATATGAAAAAGGAATACACCTCATCGATCACCATGACGAGTGGCGTACTGGGCTACAAGCCAATGCCTGGCTTCGGCATCAAGGCCGGCTTAGTCGGTGCCAAGGAATCGCTGGCGAAGGGTTTGGCTGTCGACATGGCGCCTATCAGAGTGAATCTGGTGGCACCGGGTGCCGTACAAACTCCGTTGCTGGACCATGCCAGTGAGAATATCCCGATGGAAAAGGAAGCTGTGGCCAATATGTACCGGAGCTCTACCCTCTTGGACAGGATCGGAGACCCGGAAGACCTGGCAGAGGCCTACCTGTCAATGATGAAGAACTACTTCATAACCGGAACTACCATCAACGTGGAGGGTGGCTTTTTGTTGAAGTGAGCGGATATCACGGAAGGATCCGGCGTTCGGCAGGCTGAGATGGCGATGTTGCCGGCTGGAGATCTGACGGAGCTTGCCCCGGTGACAATCCGCCGGGAGGTGAAGAAAGGGAGCACCCTGTCTGGCGCCGGGCCACAATCCCAGGCGTCTGGGTGGAGCTAGTTTAACAGCCTTTGACGATGATATCCTTGACATATCGTCGGTAGATGGGCACCTGTTCTGCCGCCTCTTCGGAATATCCCTAGCTCAAGACTACCTATGTATGTATGAAGTAAACAGATGATGGACCCAAGCCAACAGAAGAGCTTTGACCAAACCTTGTGTGAACTTTCGCTTATGTAATAGATCGTGATTTTGCTGCTGCCACGGACCATTTGCCCCTGGCCTTTTCCCCGCGGGTTCTGGATTTCGACATCCGTCAACCCGTCACAACATTGACAAATCCAACCCTCTTTGTCTGTCTCGGAATGACTGTGCCTAGTTGCCGACTTTGTTTCTGTGTCTTACATGGGTGAATGGACTTCCGGATGACAACGGCTTCACAGTCTGCGCCCCTGTCCTGGTTGTCTCGCCCTGGGAAGGCCGCTCTTCGTCCGATGCCAAACACACAATGGAGGTATGCGATTCTCTTTCTCCAGCAGTCCAATTGCGAAGAAAAGCGACTGACGTGAAGGACGCCACAGTCGTTGAAGTCCCAGCCTTCCGGTGGGAGGGCAACAGTACGACGCTGCCCGCCGATCCCCGATCCGGCCCCCGACAAACACCATCGGGACGCGACTATCCGGAGAGGATTCCGGCCGAGAACGCGTTGCCTTCAATTGGGAACCCGCGAATGCGAGACGGCCGGATTCGCATCTAGCGAACGAGGGCGATGAGCCGCCATCAATCAGCCCCGGCGCCACGCTCCTGAGCCAGACCGCATTCTGGCCACGACGCCGGCTTCACGCTTGGGCCAGATTGTTCATCCCCACCGAACCAACTCCACAAATAGCTCGATCGTACACTTTTGACAAGGACGAAGCTATAGACGCCGGTGAGGCTGGGATATGTGCTGTCAACATGGCGCGATAAATTGGGAATCGCGTGGTAGGGAAGCCGTCCGGAAACCAATGGTCTTGGTGGCTGGAAATCTTCAACTCCATTGTCAAGCAAGACATTTTGACACAGCAACCGCCGTCATGCTGCGCAATGGAGTAGCCCTGTCGCCGCGGGAGTAATCCAATGGCACATCAGCGCTAGAGCGGTCCAGGAGTTGGCATTCTATGGCAGGCGTGCTATTGAAACCTTGCTCCGCCGATGGATTTGGCACTCCGCGGCGGTAGGCGGCCTTCAAGAATCCTTAGGGCGTAGGGTGATTTACGTCCGAAATATTGGATCATGATCCGGTCCTGTTTGATGTGCGTTTAGATGTGCTACTTGCACGATCTTAGCCTGCAAGATGTGAAGCAGCTTCAGGCACCGTTGGAACCAACGGACCAGTCTGACCAAGTTGTCGGATCCTGCACCCAACCACCGCTTTTGCCTGATGTTGAGAAAACGTCGGCGAATCGGCGACGTCACAAAAGGTCCGAGGCGCTCCCAAGTCCTTCGCGCCACGGCGCAGCCCGCCGCACTTCAAAGGGCCCGTGGCTTTCATGCCAAATAGATGATCCCTTTTTGGTGATCGATGCTGCAGAACAAGACGCGCTCTGACTCAGCCATGATACCATTTCCCCTCGAGCTCTCGCCGAATCACCCTGATGACCCCAACGGTGCTGCATCTTCTCACGTGTTTTCTGCTGGCTAATGCAGCCAGAATTGTGCTAAACCTTGGGCTAATTAGCACCGGCCACGCGGCAGGGGATGAAAATCAGGTGTTCCGTATCTTCGGAGCCGATTGATGCGAATCGTGAGTTCAACATTGCAGCCGACTTTACCGACATGCAACGGGGCCAATAGTGACGATGTTGAGCATCGCGAACAATTGGTAGTGCATTTGATATCATGAGAGGGGGCCAATGCCTGTCTGATACATCTTACTTCATCCGGTGCCCAAAGCAATGGGCCAGATCTGCTAAGGAGCGCCGATCCAGTCGCGACCACTCACAATGTCTCACTCGCCCAAGAGCCCCCAGCACTACAACAGTGAAAGAAAGAACTGGGTGATAATAATGGAATAAAGATGCTCATATTCCGGATGCGAATGAACATGGGGGGAGGGGGTCGTCACTGGCCCACTTAGCCTGAAATCGTAGATCTTGACGGAGCAACACCTAGGGAGACCCCGGACTGCCTTGGCCCCGGCCGGTCCGACGCCGCGGCTGTCCGAGCGAACCCTCTATACCAAAGTTTCTCTGTGGTGATTCGCCAATTCGCGTTATTTGCACCACGCTGCTGCAGGAGAGCCGGTGCGGGAACGTACTATGGGTAGGCGAGATGTGTCTTGTAACTGTGCTGTATGCTGCAGCGTACCTTCGTTCGTCCCATGAATGCAATGCTTCTCCGTTTCTCCCCCGACATTCCCGGAAAGGAAGGACAGTCGTTAGGCGATGTCTCCGAGTGTCACTAGGCCCGTTGTAAGGTGTGTTGCAGTGTGTTTCCAACATGGGGCCAAGGAATCCCGCAGAACACGGCCCATGTGAGTTGTGATGGGGGAAGAGCTGCCGAGGACGGCTCCGAGGTGCTTCGCTTCAGTCCTCGTATTGGGAGCACACGTGTGTTTGCATTGCGTGCATGCTGCGCGCTCTGTCCAGACGGTGTCCAGAATGCTGCAGAAGAGGGGCTAGAAAGAGGGAAGAAGCAAACGAAGAAACGGGTCTGGAAGAAAAAGCAATATGCAGAAGTAATTTGGTTCAAAATCACGTACGCAAGTTATGTCCCCGCCGACGAACTGCGTATGTGTCTTTTTCATTTGTTTTGATTGTCTAGGGGGTGGTTTCTCATATCCATCTGATCGGCTGATCGGCTTGTGGGCCACTTCTCATCTCCATCAGCTAGGGAAAAGTTGGGGAACTGCTCGACCGATTCACGACTCTGATCTGATTCCACTGACACAGGGAGATGAGAGGACGCCGAATAGACTTCTTCCGTGAATAACTTTGTACAGATTCTCTGTGGCAAGGAACCGAAGGCTTGTAACAGAAAGTTATGCCCACCAGCCCTGCATCAGCAGATCATGCCCATCTTTGTTCCCCTCATCCCCCAAAACTGCTAGAATGCCAGTGCAGACTGTAGCAAGTGAAACAAGTTCGCCAGCGAGCAAAAGTAAACTAGTCTATCCCAGCCGCTTCCGGAGCGACAGTACCACGTGTGCAGGGACCCGATGCTGACGGCTAACAAAAGAATGTCGAACCAAGCCTACGGGGTGTGGCGTGCATCGAAGTCTGGAGCTACTTTTTGTAGTTTCTGCCCTCGAACCCCCCGGTCGGGTTCATCTCGACAGCACTATGGGCGAGACCGACACACAGGCGGGATCATTTATCATACCCTTCCCTCCCTCCCTCCTCTCATCAGTCTCCCCCTTCTCGCATGTGGTTTGTCTGACATTCAACAACTATCGCTCGGGTTTGAAACCTTTTTGCCAAACGATCTCAGGGCAACTGCAAACGACTTGACGCCTCGCTCAACCCGCCTACGCAACTTGTCGAAGAGGGAGGAAGGGGGACTCGAGTATGCGAACGGGAGCGAACGCTCCCACATCAAGCGCCAATGGGCTCCATTCTTGATCTGCTCGGCAAGGCCGACAACCTCAGCGACCCCATGCCGATATTGAACGAGCGAGCTGCAGTGCTTGGCATGGTTATTTCTTTCCTGGTGGTCGCCTGGATCTGCGGCATCTTTCGACTTTACGTTCGATTCTTCGTCGCCCATTGCCTGGGATGGGACGACTTTTTCGTCGTGCTGGCCATGGTAAGTCGTCATCATGATGGGAGCAGGTTATGAATAGGCATCTAACATCCATTTAGCTTTCCAGCTTAATGTTATCAGCAGCGACATGTGTATCAACGAATTATGGTCTAGGTCAGCATTTTCTGACGCTGGGCTTCGCTGGTATGGTCGCGTTTGTTAGGGTAAGAGTCCTCTCTACGTCGCATTGACATCCCGTCTGACCACTCCCACAGAGTTTCTACGTATGCGGTGGCGCATACGCGATGGCTACGGCCTTAATCAAGTTGGCGTTGCTGTTCCAGTATCTGCGCATGTTCGAGGCCGGCTCGAAGTCGCGATTCGTCACTCTGGTGGTTATCTACATCACCGCCGCGTGGGGTCTGGCCTATAGCTTTCTCGCCTTCATCCCTTGCTTCCCGGTCTCTGCATTCTGGAACTTGACAACGGTCACGAAGGACAGATGGGCTTTCGGCTCACACGATCCCGTCATCTTCGCGCGCACTTTCGAGAGTCACGTCGGCATGAACGTAGCGTTGGATCTCATCGTATTCCTCATTCCCCTTCGCCTGTTCTTGGAGCAGGGCCTGAGGGCGAAGTCACGTCTCGGCCTCTTGGGTCTTTTCACTATGGGAGTTCTGTAAGTTGATCAACTTTGCAACTCTGGGGGACATCCCGCTAATGCAATCTGCAGTGTAAATATTCTGGGGATTTTCCGATTGATTGGCATTAGCCACTCCCAAGCCGGTACATATCCGACACTGGACCCCTCATGGTACGGTTGCGTGCCCATTGTTCTCGCCGCCGTCGAGGTCAACCTCGCCACAATATGCGCCTCACTGCCGATCTTCTGGCCCGTTCTCCAGATGAACTTGGGCAAGATATTTATCACGAAGGAAATCGAGATCACATCTGAGGTCAGGCGATTCAGCGGCGACGAAGAAATGGTCGGCGAGCTTGGTGATCTTTCGCCACAAAAGTCATTGAAGAGTCTCGGCAGAGACCCCAATCCGAGGTGGTCGGACATGTATGCCCCGTCCCCGGATCGTTCAAGGGCGATGAAGGTGCACGTTGAGGTGGAATCAGGCCACAAGCATGGCGAAAAGCTATTTGTTTCTGAGCGTTCCAGGCGAGTTCTTGACGACCACGAGTCGCAAGAACATATTGTTTCTTCCAATGTTCCATACGTTTAGTTAGATGATACCACATTTGATTTTCCGTTTCACCATTCAAGCATTCTCCTCATCGTCCGTCACAATGAGTGTCATGTTCACTTTCAAGGGGTCCAGAGTGACAGCTCATCACTCGTAACTACGCCCGTAAATCCAGCATATGTCTCAGCCCTTAGAGGTTTCATAGCCTTGGCGATGAAGCGAAGCCTTTGTCAGGTTGAGGAAGTCTCACTTCTTTCGGCCGTCTTCGGCGAAATGAGTCGCAGTTCGTCGGTGATAGGACCGTTTTTTGACTGGCTCGCGGAACTCTATCCGGTCACACTGACATGGTGGCTGATTCCACCTTTGTCCCGAAACTCTATTTCCAGCCTCAACAGTCCTCGCCAGCTTTGATTCGGAGCATGTCCTCCTGAGTCTATTGCTTGTACGTTAATAGATGTTATGGTGAATAACAATATCAGAAGATCGTTTCTTGTCCAATCACTGACTTATTACTATCAAGAATGGTCATCAACTGTCATTCGAGAACCAAATAGCCCCCTCACATGCAAACGTGCGCTAGCTGCGGAGGCTCCCAATTGAGATACACTGATACTCGTAGCAGAAGGGACCACCCCTGATGTCCATCATATCGCTCACCACCATCTCCTTGCCGAAGTTGGGGAAACTCAACGGGTACTGTAGCGTGATATTCTCATAGGGCACATCCCCGAAGAAGTCGAATGGGTAGGCGAACATGGCGTCTGGACCGCCTATGGCAGTCTTGCGCGCGGGCCAGTCTACGTACGGAGCGTTGTCAGTCGGCAGGTCTCCGAGTCAAAAATGTGGTCATATTCGTGAACTCAAATCGGCCTCATGATGTGAGGAGTCGAAGAGAACAGATGAGGGAGGCAATCCTTCCGAAACACGAAATCAGGGACACTTACCACTGCGCTGCCAATCGTTCCAGAGCTTGTCCACAGCACCATGCACCAGATAGAAGATCGGATCACCAGGGGAAGAGTACATGTCAGCGTTCTGGCCGCAGTTAGCTTGATGCTTGGGGCAACTGCAGTATTTTGACGTAAACTTACTTCCCCTACTTGGCCACCGATGCCCAAATGCATACCCGCATGGATTGTCATGCCGCTCAACTCAAAGCTGTAGCCCTGCATATGGTAGTTGAACTCATCAAATGTCGTCGCTGACAATGTTCGTCGGATGATCTCGTCAGACATGGCACTCGCAACCAGAGTCGGGCTGAAGTCACGTCGAAGGCAGTGGGGATTATACTTGGTTGAATTGCCTGCGCATGCGGTCAGCCAACACCACGAAACATCATGATTGAGCTATGGCCGCTAGCATACCAACGCCCATGGGAACAGTCAGGTTCGCAAATGGGCCTTGCTGAACGCATCCTGGGGGTCACGTCAGTTGTGCGGGTCTTGACTCATGGCAAACGTTTCACGAACCTCCGCCCGTTCTGTTAGGAATTTCCGTTGGTGTCTTAGTGGGAAATTCTTCAGGGTCGCTAACGTCCTGGATGTACGGTCCGTTCCCGCCGAACCCATACACGTCGTCGAAGATGGGAGAGTTGACGAAAGTCTCTGCGGTGTTGTCAAGGCCGATGTCCCAATATGGCAGAGCGCCTTGGTACGAGCACTTGTTTCGCAATTCAGACTCGAAGAGGTAAAGCATCCAACGATGCCAGCTGCAAGTCATCAGTTCAACATTCCCTTGACTCTTGCTAGACATTATACACACGGAAGGAAAGTGCCCTAAACATTTATTTTTGTTAAAACAACTTCCGTCTGAATAAATCCCATGAGACTAACCGTGAAGTGCACTTGCTCTGTTACAAAAATGTGCAAGCCTTGGAAATCGTCGTATCGAGACTTTGCACCAGCCCATTGGTCACTGGTCTCTGAAGGTAAAGACATGAGGCATTTCATGGCGGCGATGTAATCAAGCCTCTGCTCCATGGTCGTCTGCCGCCATTCTTGCCTGATCAGAGGGTCTTTGCAACCTTCTGGGTTAACATTCCCTGACGGAGCAGCAAGGACGTCATGCAGGGTAACTAGGGTGACGATAGCTGAACTTAGGTGTGCTGCGAACTGCATGTTGACGATACCTTAAAAGGGTGCAACTGAGGCTGTGCAACGCTTAAACATTAAAGTCTAAGAAAGCACGGTAAACATTGAGCAGACATTCTCCTTATTTATCGTGGAGAAGGGGTCTGTGAAGAGCGGTTCAGTCTGACATCGGGCATGGCTGGCCAAGTGATCACTATCAACGAATCCAAGTCGCACATGCCAATGCAGTCATCATGACCCTGGCGGTATAAGTTTGCTAATATCTTCTTCTGACAATTTTGATTGAACAACAGAACTGCCAGTGCATATACGCACTCGGCTTACTTGCTGATTTCAGCCTGCTGGAGTCGTTCCAATGCACGTTGGTAGCACTGCATGTTGAATTGGATGAAGTCCAGACTTCTTTGTGGTTTGGGTCGCCAACAGAACCCGGCTCAATCGGCGGGGACGATAAATGGAGAGTTCTCGCCGATGCTTGCCCTCCCCTGACTCTTCATTGTCTCCGCAAGGGCATTTGGGGGCGATGACTGCCCATGGGCAGAGAAATGAGCTTCACCTCAGATAAACGGCCTTGTGGATGCAAACCTTCACCAAATAGCACAAGCTTTGATTGCAATGCTAGCATACATAGTAGGTCAACCCACCGGCCGCCTCTGTCAGCACTCAAATGCCGGCAATTCAAGATGACTTCAGTGTTTACAATATCGAACGAGAGCCCCGAAACCGGGCGCGATCGGAAACTGGAGTTGCTCTTTAGCGTGCGGCGTCGAAAAATGGTAGGGTCCTTGCCCCTGTCGTCCTGCAGGCTCCATTTTGCGCACGAATGATAACTCAGTGGACGTGCATCACCTCACGAGTCGCGGCCACGCAGTCCACGTCTGTGGAGTCTCACTAGTGGGACCCTCTGTTCATCTTGTTGATGGCCGAGCTGACGCTGGTGCCGGGGCCAGCATGGCACGTTTTGATCGTGTAGGGGAGTTTCCAGCTGGATAACGAGTGAAATATGATCAGAGCCCATATCAAAAGGCATCAAGCCTGACGGTTGCAAACGAACCAGCGGTCGACGTCTTATGCTGTGAGACCTGACAAGTTGCCTCATCGACGGATCGGAGTTTTGACAGTGATCACGATAGTAACTTACTTATTGGCACCTTTCTAGTGGGTGATCCCACGAAAGACAGGGAGTGTCAAACTCGCGCATCGCATTCACCACGCCTGTATTTCCCTACATCACTGTTCAAGCCCACTCCATGTTTCTTGCCAGTCCTCCCTCTTCTTCTCGATCCTCTCAAAGGTGGACAGAGCGCGCTTGAGTTGGCCCTCGTTGAATTTCAAGGCATCAATCACAAAGCATCGACCAACCCGTATCCTAGAGAGTCTCTCATTGGTCAGATATGATGTTCATGATCAGTGCTCATGCCATTGCAATGCTGCTATCTTCCTGCATCTTCTTGAGACGTGGGGCTGGGAGAGGGTTGCTACACATACATTGATGCCTCAGGTGACTAAACAACTACCTGCGACTTTGAAGCTGTCAGAATCGATTCAGGTCTGACTTCGAACTATTTGATAATCTCCGCCGCTCTTAGTCTCTCCGTGAGTCGTCTAATAGATCCGAGATACTCCCCCGAGTCCGACTTTGTTCTAGGACTATTGTCCATCTCAGACAGTACTTTCTCTCCCACCTGGAGAGCCTCCGCGTTTTGACCATTATTCTCCAAAGTCACAGCAAGATTCCAAGATGTGACGATAGTTTCTCGATGATCAAACCCCAATATTCCCCTTTTCAGTTGTAGGTTATGTCGAAACATTCTGAAAGCTTCTTCGCTTGTTTCGTATTGATAGGCTAAGTGAAGAGCCAGGTTCGACTCGTGCACGAGCACGTCTGGATGTGCAGGTCCAAGGATATCTCTCTTGACTTCAAAGACCTTCCGGTACAAGCTCTCTGCCTCGATATTCTTACCCTGATCTGAGAGAACACTAGCTAGATGCGCCATGCAATCCATGGTGGGGAGGCTTTGCGACCCAAGAAACTGTGTGCTTCGTGAGAGTGCTTCTCGCTGCATCTTTTCAGATCTCTCTTTGTCATCTGTGAGTGCCACAGCCACGGCCAAGTCACTAAGGGCATCGATTGTTTGTCGGTCATTTTCTCCAAGCAGCTCCGTTCGATCTTTTACAAGCTGCTCGAGGATAGGAATAGCACTTTCATCTTCATGGTACACCGCCAGACTCCATCCGAGATGTCCAGTGCTCTCCAAAGTGTTGACGTGTGTAGCGCCGAGGTGCTTCAGGTTCATCTCCCTTGACTGCTGAAACCTTGTCCTAGCTTCCTCATAGCTCCCCATCCAATGGAGGTATCTTCCAGTCGAATTGAGAAGGATTGCCTTGGTCCTACCGATATCTTGGTCTTCGAGAGTGAATGAATGCTGGAGTACGGATTCTGCGTGAGGCAATAAACCCGCACACTGGTTGAAATAATTTGCTTCCGAATATGATGTTGGCCTGGGAAACATGGAGTTGACGCTGTTCAAGGCACTAAGGGCCCATTTATCAACGTGTGAGGGCATCATCTTCCGTAGCCATAACTTAGTCGCAACTTGCACAAGTCGGTGCGTGCTAAATGTAGAGCCATTCTCATTGGCGTTGATGAACAAGTACGCTTCCAGAAGTGCTGCGCTGTCTTCGAAGTCGAAATAGTCTTCTTCTCTGGACTGCAAAAGCTGTGCTGGAATTCCCTGGTTTTGAAAGAAGCTGATGAGAAATAAAAGTTCTGATGCCCTTTGATCTATGGTCTCAATTGACTCGAACGAAATCATCCATGTTTTTGCGACAGACTCCATGGAGTTCCCTGGCCGTGCGTGGTCTGAGAACTCGTGGCTCAATAGCATGGCTTTGGCAACTTCGTTCCGCAGATACCGTTCGAGGTATTCCTGTATTGTTTTCTGCCGTTTGACCATAAAGGCAACTGCTTGGTTGATGGCAAGAGGGATGTATTCAAGAGATTCGAGCAATTCGATGATATCCATGTCAGCTTCCTCTCGCTGCAACCGGAGTTTCACCAGTTGAATGCCTTCGCTCTTGCTCATTTCGCGTACGTTGATTGGCTTCGAAGGAATAGCCACGTCAACAGCGATGTAGCGGCTTCGAGTTGTAAACAGAAGAGAGCCACGGCTACAATGCGGGATGTATTCGGACGGTGTCATGCCACACCTCATCCTTTCTTGAAAGAAACCATCGGCCTTGTCCACGTTGTCAATGACCATCAACCAAGGTCCAGAATGTCGGATTTCTAGCCAACCTTTGACCAGTGCGACAGCGTCTGAGCCCGCATCTCGATAGTTTATGAGATCACACTCGCGGGCAATCCGAGTGAAAGACTCCTCAAAACGCGCTGCTGTCGCCGCATTCACCCAGAAGACAGAAACACTCTCATCTCTCTTTCGTGTTCGATAACAATGCTCGAGAGCTACTTGGGACTTTCTGTTTGATCTGTTAGACAGAGATGCAAGTCAAGCATGCAAACTTCCTCACCCAATGCCCCCAAGCCCATAGAGTGCCACCTTTGGCTGCGAATCCCTCTTGATGGAGAGAGTTTCATCCAGAGTCTTGAGAATCTCATGACGCCCGACGAAGTTGATATTCTTATCAAATGGAACAATCCAAAAGGGGTGAGCGTGTGTCTTCTCTGGTTTCAAGGCGGTGGCAATATGAGTAACTTGGTGGAATATCAAAGCGTGCATATATTCCTTCAAGGTACTAGCAGCGTCGTCGATCTTTTTGTCGGATGCTAAGCTTTTCAGTGCTGCAATTCGTCGGCTCCATTTGGATGTGCCTTCCGCAGGCAGCACATTTTCGAGGATCAGATGGAGCTTTTTGATGACAGTAGAACAACCTATTACCACGGGTTTGAGCGCTATTTGCACATTCTCTGAAACTTTCTCGGCTTGGACCTTCCGCTTCAGTTTCTCCAAATCATTATTGATGAGAGGAAGGACAGTTGCGATCCGCTTGAGGTTTTCCGGGATGTCTTCGACGGCAGCGTCGAAGTCTGCAAGACGATCTGCCACTTTAATACCAATTTCGACAAAGTGTGCGATAGCTGCTACGAGGCCGACGACATCCATTGTGTCGAGATGAGGCGGGATGATGTGTGCGGGAATCCTCGGAATCGGTGCCAGAGATGGGTTTCGTAGAGTAGATGGCAAAGCCGTTTTTTGCATGCGGCATCGTAAAACAGAAAAAGGCGCATATCATCACCCCGCTCACCCTGCATATGTTTATGTGGAACCCAGCTGAGATAGGAATTTCGCGGTGTCATGCATGCTGACAAGATGGACTGAAGTTTTGGGTCGGTCACTTAACTATCAATAATCTATCCCCAATTGGCCGGCCACTTACTTATGAAGTACTAGAATACCCAGAGAAAATCAGTTTGTTCTGAAACCATGCGCCAACCAATTTGGCTTTCGTAATATTACATCGACTAATGTTTTATTGTTCAACCGTCACCCTGACTGACCGGCGCATGTCGGGGCTTCCTAGCAGGCTTCATATCGATGTTGGGTACGAAAGGTCATTATTGCCAGCCACGCCTTGTCTATGAGGGTTAGCTCAGGCTTACTGCCTCGTATAGAGCGGCACTTTCAACATCATGTGTGTTCATAGCCCCTAAGTATCAAAGCAAGCACGTTTGGGGACTTTTTCTCCCAGTTACGTCATGCCCGACTGATCGCAGCGCAGCGCCTATGGCCCCGACAGCTGCTTTCATGCAAACGTGGATAACCTAGCAAGACTTGATCCGGAGAATCAGTAGATCAATGTACAAACACAAATTCGCCGCCCCTTGGAAACGACCTGTCTTTCGAGCCTAGGTCATTTCCAGCAGATGGATTGAGGTACAAGATTAAACCGTATGACTGGGCTGTTTCGTGCGGTACAGGAAATTACTCCATAGGTAACATTCACGAACAACCTATTGAATGAAATACAACAAATGGTTGTCTTCTTTCGCAGTGAAATAATCATGAAATAAAATAAACTGTGGAACGTTGGCTCTGCTAGCTTGAAACGGAGTTATTGAAGTAGCACCGGAACTGACTCAGGGCAATGTCTCTAATCAATTCCATTGGATGTGTAGTCTTCTGATGCTTTGAAATAATTGATGTTCTTTCTCCCCTACATCTTAGCAATTGCCCGGTAGCAAGGATAGTTACCACGGTCTAGAGAGTTTCGAAGCTCTCTTATACGCTCCTCAGTCAACAACAACGACGTAGGGAAGTCTTTTGGAAGTTCCTCTCCCAATATCATACAAGCAGCAGCCTGACAAGAGCGGAACGCCTTGACCATACCAGTAGCATGATAGGCACCACAGACGAACTGATGGCTTCGGCCTGCGAAGGGAAGCGGCCCGATGAACGGAAGGCCGTCTTGGGTGAAGCTGACAATACCGGACCAGGAGTGGTCGATGCTCGTAGCCGCATCTGCCTTTGGGTTTGCAATAGCCTCGAAGGGGAAACCGCGAAGATGTGCGTGAGGTGCCAGATCAGTCACAGTGTCATCGCCGGTCACGGTACGTCCTGTGCAAGCGCGACCAGTGACGATGCCTCCGTCCTCGCGTTGGATAAGGTAATCGTAGTCTTTGCGTCCATAGCGATACCAGACGGAGTACCCCGGAACTGTCCCAAGAGGAGACTGTCCATTGCTGTCGGCCGCCCAGTGAACAACATTTACACGGACTGGAGAGACGAAGGGCTGCATCTCGGGGAGAAGATAGCCCATCCAGGCGTTGGTGGCGTGGATGACCTTCTTGGCCTTGATGGTACCGCGCTTCGTCTCGACAGTAGCAAACTCCGCAACGTCGCGATCCTCTATGGACTCCACAGCTGTGTTGGTCTGCATGTTGACCTTGTTTCCTCCGATGAGGTTCTCCCAGACCTTGGCGATCCACTTGTAAGGCCAGACAGAGCCTGCGGGGATGGTGATGGCTCCAATGCAGCGCTTCGATAGCTTCATCTGGTGCTGCAGAACATCTCTATCGGTATGAACGGTGTGAAGAGCGGCAAGGTGAGGTGCGTGCACGCGAATGTCCTCTAGTGCCTTGAGGTCTTGTTCGAAAACTACCTGGTCGTAGTAGGCCTCAACACCAGTGGTGAGAACCAAATCACAGTCTGCGCCGTCTTCCTTCGTTGCTGCAGCGATGGCGTTCAGGTGACTTTGCTCAAATTCAGAGATCTTGATGGCCTCTTCAATTCCGAACTGGTGTTTTCGCTCGTTCCACATCGAGAAAAGCATTGTCTTGATGTGACCTCCATTGCGGCCGGTAGCACCGGAGCAGAGAGTTCTAGCTTCGAGGACGACGATCTTCAGATCTGGCCTCTTTGCGCATAGAGTGCGGGAGAGGGTCATGCCGGAAATACCGGTGCCAATGATGACGAGGTCGACAGGGTCTTGAGGCCATGGCGAATTGTGGTTGGCATAGGCGCTTGGGTTAACGTGCCAGTATGGCTTGGTCGAGTTGGCGCGAGGAAGTCCAGGGTTGACCACGCCTGGCGGGTAGATGCCTTCAAGTGCTCCAGACATTTCACGGCAGCTATATATGTTGAGTCAAATGATCTCGGGGCAAATGAAGAAGAAGCAGACCGAATGCACGGATGAAGAAGCGGCGAGAGCGAAGGTAGCGGTAGACAAATTGGGGCGTTCTTTACACATTAAATGATGAAGTAGTTAACAACGTTTTGGTGTGTACCTAGACTGGCCTGATGTGCCATGAAGCTCAACATGGTGACCGTGCCAACATCAACCCGTTTTGGGAAGGTTTAATGAGACCTTTGGGCTCTCCACGAAGCAATTCTGGGCCGGTCTCATCAATGGTGGGGCATAGCTGGACAACGGCATTTCGTGTCTTAGTTACCCCGCGTCACCCCTCCATTCTGCAGCTTATCTTCCTCAGCTTCGGCAATGGAATTCTAACACTTTTCATGCCAATCCACCCATTGGTCTGATAGATTTCCGAATCTCCACCGATATCTGCCCGGTCCCTGGAAAGGTGGAACTCTAGATGCTCGAAAGGAAACTCCGACTGAGGTGGTCTCTCAGCTCTATCCCAAAAGAGCCCATGAGGTCTCCGCAAGGTCTCTTCGTACTTTCTCTTCCCAGAAGGACACGCGCTAGTCCCAGTCTCCCAACATGTGCATGGTTCATTTACTCAACATGAAGCATAGAGAATAGAATTACTTAGTCGTCGGAAACCCTGGCGCACCCTGCTAGGCTGCTGGGTTATCGGTTTTGTGACCTTGTTTTGAGAACCCACTCGTGAATCTCGTAGATAGCACATTATTATCGCAGCTACGTAACGGCAGGCCGAAAACATTTCTCTTCTTTTCACTTTCACTTTCTCGTCATCTCTATTCCTGTTGATCCAGCCTGCAAGATGGGTCACACAGTTCCAACCGTGAGTTATGTCTTCATTTGTCTCCGTCTCTTATCCTAGACGTGTATTCTGACCATGACGCAGTTGAAAGATGGTACTCTTTTCATCCAAAAGTGCCACATCGATGGCCAATGGACAGAAGCAGCCACCGGTCAGACTTTCAAAGTCCACGATCCCGCCACTGGCCAGTTGGTCGGAACATGTCCCGAGTGCGATGCGACAGATGCTGAATTGGCTATTCGCGCAGCCGAAAATGCGTTTGGCTCATTCTCGCAGCTCACCGGTCGACAGAGATCCAAGATACTGAGGAAGTGGTACGACTTGATGGTGGAAAATCTCGACGATATTGCCATCCTTATTACGTGGGAAAGTGGGAAGGCTTTTGCGGACGCCAAAGGCGAGGCAGTATACGCTGCAAACTTCCTCGAGTGGTTTTCTGAAGAAGCTACGAGATCTTACGGCGATACCTTCGTCCCGACGACGAAGGGCATGCGTGTCCATGGGATCAGGCAGCCGATTGGTGTTTGTGGCTTGATAACTCCCGTATGTTCCAATATCACTTCGCAAGACGTAAGAAATGCTGACTATCTTGTCTTTTGACAAATAGTGGAACTTTCCCGCGGCTATGGTGACTCGCAAGGTTGCTCCAGCCCTTGCAGCAGGCTGTACCGTGGTGCTAAAGACTCCAGGTGAGACGCCATTCACGGCCAATGCGGTAGCGGAGCTGGGCAAAAGGGCCGGTCTGCCGCCCGGAGTTTTCAACATTGTTACTGCTTTGGTAAATACGCCTAAGATCGGTCTCATCTTGACCACATCGCCGGCTGTTAAGAAGGTCTCCTTCACTGGCAGCACGGATGTCGGCAAGCTCTTGATGAAGCAGGCCTCTTCGACTATGAAGAAGCTCTCACTCGAACTCGGCGGCAATGCGCCCTTCATTGTTTTTGATGACGCTAAGGACATTGATTCCGCTGTATCCGGCTGCATAGCTGCATAGCTGCCAAGTTCCGGAGTAGTGGGCAGACCTGCGTATGCGCGAACAGAATCTACGTTCAGAGTGGTGTCTATGAGGAGTTCGCAGCTAAGCTCAAGGACAAAGTCGAGAGCAGTTTCAAGGTTGGCCATGGATTCGATGCCGAAGTAACACATGGTGCGTTGATACACGTCCGAGCTGTTGAGAAGGTAGCCCAACACGTGGATGATGCCATCGGAAAGGGGGCTACCGTCTTGACCGGGGGGTTGGCTATGCCCCATCTTGGAGAAACCTTCTATGCCCCAACGGTGTTGACTGGCGTCAAAGACACTATGGATGTTGCGGCAGCTGAGACCTTTGGCCCTGTCGCCGCATTATTCAGCTTCGATACGGAGCAAGAGGTCATACAGAGGGCCAACTCTTGTCGGGTAGGGTTAGCCGGATATGTTTACAGTGGAGATCTCGATAGGGTGTATCGCGTGGCAGAGCAGTTGGAAGTTGGAATGGTGGGAATCAACACCGGCCTCATAAGTGACCCTGCTACGCCGTTTGGCGGTGTGAAAGAGTCAGGCTTCGGCAAGGAAGGCTCCAAATATGGCATCGATGAGTATTTGGTTGCGAAAACCATCACCATATCTCATTTGTAGATGTAGATTGCACAGATTTTCCTAGTAGTCTGCCAATCTACAAATTTGGTACAGCGCTGAGACTGCATGTATCGTAAAGGCCCATAAACAAAAGTTATACAGTCTCAGCGTGGCTGTGCCGGCGATGCGTCAAAGAATTGATAGGTAAGTCGTCTTCTATGCCAACCACTTGCACTAACGGCCTATTCACATCAGAAATAGCCCCGCTTCAGATAGCAACTCCGTCCACCTCGCTCCTTGGTCTACCTTTGCCCATACAAGGGGTAGATGATTGATGCCTCTGAGTAAGTTGGCAAATCGGCTGCGACTATGATGCCTCAGCAACAATCTTCGAAAAAAGGCCCGATGACTCTCCAATGAGCTGGCAGCCGCAACCAAGAACGTTGCCCAGACTAGAACGTGCGTCCCCGGCTCGTGTTCTGGAATTTGCTCCAGAGTCTCCTTGAACGCCTCAATTTTATCTTTTGCATCTGGCGCGACTGTATTGCTCCCTGTTACCCCTTGCAAGTATATGTCGTGAGCTTGTTGCATCACGCGAGCGACAGTAGCAACGATAGACGAGTCTCCAGCCTGACCTTGAGAGCAATATCTAATACAGTCGAAATACTGATCCCACTGAGATTCGGAAGCCAGCGTTTCAATCCCTGCCAGCTCGCTGATGTATGGTGCGGCGTACACCCTGTTTCTGATGTCATAGTCAGCTCTTGTTCAATCTGTACAAGTATGAAACGCAGTTTATGTCAAGTTAATCAGAGGAAGAATTGTAGCCACGATTCGAGTTCAAATCAAAGATGTAGATGAATGGCGACAGAACTTACTTCCGCACCTGGCGAACTAGGAAACCTCCTAGTTCAGTAGCCCCTAGCTTATGCTCGCCGCCAAGAACATTGGTTGCCGAGTGCAACATGCTGAGGATTGTTGAATAATCTTCCCTTCCGGTCACCATAGCCGCCACGAGTAGCACAAGGACCGCAACCGAGATAGCTTGGTTCGCTTCATAACTGCAACCCGCGAGGTTGCTTCGCTGCCGCAGGCCGTCAATGGCAAGGTTGTAAAGGGCCTGTGGACTATGGGGAGGCTCTTGGCTGATATGCTGTTGTTGAGAGGAATGCCGCAACCCATTCGTGTTGGTCTCTAAGTACCTAATGCCGTCTGTGTTCATACCATCTCTATGAAAGGCGGATACGGCGAGCACTGCGTTCATTACCAGCTCATCTGCATGGGCCATTGGAAGAACGATGTATCGCCAGCCATTGTGACTTCCATCGATGGCCACCATTTCGCCAGCAATATGTCCAGAGACTTTTCAGGGCAGCAGAGTCAGCAAGGTTTTAGGATTGGAGCTATGAATATGCGATGATAGTGGGCTTCATTACTCACAGTGCAAAAGCAGCTCTCTCTTCCAGCAAGGAATGTCGTCCATGAGGCATCCCCTAAAAGCTTGGTCATCTTGGCCAATGACGAAGCCTATCAAAGGAGGACCAGGTGGTGATACATGGTCCCGGCGATTCAATGACATTTCTTTCTCATACGAGTTATGCAACTCGTATGGGTTAAAGGACCCTCTGGATCCAGTATCGAAAACGGGATCCACATATGTGTTGGTGTACTTTGAAACTCTTGCTGGACTTGGAGCATTAATACCTTCGCCCATGTCACCTATATCCGAAGATGTTGATGCATTGCCCCTCGTTGGTTGCAGACTCCAACATCCTGCTTGCAAATGGAAATCTCCAAAGATTCGATCTCCAGAATATTGCTCTGAAGATAGGTTTTGGGGTGACTTCGTCTTCTTCGACTCTTCTCGCCTGACAAATACAGCAATCAGCACGTATGAACTATCAAATTTTGGGAAAGAGAAGAAAATCAGGTCAATACTTTTCACATAGGCTTTCAATGGTCTCGCCGGCCCATTTTCCGCGTGTGTTGACGCCATGGGCAAATCGTACTCTCACATTTGCATCAGTGCCGCTGCAGTCCAAGCCCCGAGAGCTGCACTTCATACATCGGGGTATCCTTCGGTCGCATGAGACGCGACGCTTCGAGCATTCATAGCACCCTGCGTCATTTTATCTTAGTTTAAGCTATCTCTACGGAATTTTGAGGAAGATTGACCGCTGAAACTAGTAAATAAGTTGGCTCACCTTTGACTTTTGGGCGGTAAGGACGCTTTCGTGGGGCCATCTCATGTCCTTCACAGCTAGACTGCGTCGTCCCTTTCTGCCTTTGCGTGCTGCTTACTGTGCTCACAAAGGCGGCTCAAAGCCTGTCACCGTCAAATCGGGAAGTAAGCAGGAGATCCACGATTGTAAGTAGATCTTGGAGTTGCACATCGGATGTTCAAACGAAGCCTCGCAACTGGGATCAAGATACCCGAAGCCTCCGCTTTCCGGCGCCAATTGGCTACGGGGGCCGTCCGTTGGTGCGGGGGAAACTAGGATGGGGTGTGTGCAATCAGATGCTGTCACACAGTGTTATCGGGCTGGTCTCATTTTACTTACCCGAATGAGAATGCGGGGCAGGCGCATGTCATTTGAAAACACCGAAGGCCTGCTTCGAGTCTTCCTACCTATCACCGATGTACGGATAATGGCGTATCTCTGGATGAAGCCCTATCATCTATCATAGCCGGGTCGTTAGAGGTCGGCCCAGCCTAACTCCGTCCGATAAGGGACTTATTGTATTTCCTGGACGTGTATTCGAGCCAACGACTCGCCCTTTTTAGCGGCAAACTCCGGCACTCATCTTCAAGTTGCGACCGGGAGGGTGGGGCGATCAACGAGTGAAGCTTCCACAACTGGGCAATAAGTTGCACGAGGTACTTTACTTCAGCTTTTGTCACGGCATCGGTAATGACGTCAGCTTATCAGTTACTGCTATGTAGAATCTGCGATGTGGTTTCGTGGACTTGCGGTCTTGTTTCTCACAGCTTTGGTGGTCGCAATCAAATCAGGTGCGGTCTGCCTCACTCCTCGGGCACCCTACACATTCAGGATTAGTGCAAGAAATAAGAGTCATTACTCATGTTGCCACATTTTAGATAAATGGAATCAGTGAAGATGAAATAGAACAGGCCAGAGCCAATGCTACTTTTCACCGCATTTACCGACTTACACAGTAGGTAAATGAAGGATCAGTGGAGTCAGTCTTGATAATTGATAAGCTATGGTGTCGGTGGGGGCATGCTACATGAAGAGGCTGCGTCTGATCTGTCCGATTATCGTGCTCAAGACGATTCTGGTTCTTCTCTAACACAAAGAAAATCGCATGAAGGTCTGGTTGTGAACGCTACTAGTCTTCGGGTACATGCTGGTGATCTCACAAATGGAGAGACATGGATGAAAATAGTTCACGTTTGCACCAGTTGCATCTGGGGAATCTGTCTGTCTTAACTGACGGATTTAAACCATGAAGCTATCTAAATCGCGCGGGAGGGGCTTGTTTCAGCATATCTTCTCTATTGTCGCCGCTTGATAACCATCACTCTGCCTGAAAGCTCATGTTAATTGACTACGGACTGAAGAGTTCCAATTGGTGTTACATAGCAGATACACCTATGTTCGCTGCTAAGAAGGCCAATCCCAGAGTGGTCGTGGCGCTGAATGCGGGGTCAGACTGGCTGGGATCTAGTAAAACTGCAGTAGCCAATGGCCAGGTTGCAATTATCAGCCATGTCGACGGTCTAACACGCTTTTAGAAACTGCGGGGAGACCATCGAGAGATAAAGAAGTCTGAATCCCATGGTTCTGAGGCGAAATGCTGTATTAGGAAGGAAGCCTGAGACCGAGGGCGTGTTTCTCAACAGCGAAGCTACACACTCACATCCGTGCCAATACTCCAGCAAGGCGGCTGTTATGTGACGCTACCACACGTCGTCTTCAACGTAGGTCCTCATGTGGTCAATTCTGGAAAACATGGCTGACATTGTTGTGCCGTCAGTTGAAACAACGCGACAACTTTTATGGTGATACGTTCATGTTCTGGACTCATGTATCCTCACATACCTTGCGTGGGGAGCTGTCTTGGTTGAGCTTTATTGCCCAATTTCATCCTAGCTCCCGCTACCCCTCACCCCGTGATTTAAAGAAGGTTCTCAGCGGTATTGCCGTATGTAGTGAATGTTGAAGGCGTCTCGGGGCGGCGGTCCAGCCTTTGGAAGAGTTTGATCAATGAGGCTTCATGAATTATTAAAATGGTCTATCCATCCGTGCTTTGCATCCCTAGCAACTCTTTCCTCTCCTTGCACAACAACACACGAAGGAAATATTTGAACCTGTAAACCATCCCATCCTCAATTCTGCTTGAACCTTATTCCATCTCATCCACTATCCAAAATGTCCGTACCTCTGAAGATCCCCGAGGGCAACATGCCAGCCTCCTGGTATCGTGAGCCGGCCTTCTTCGACTTCGAGAAGCGAGCCGTATTCTCCAAGCAATGGCTGATGATGACCCATCGCTCTCGCCTACCAGAGTCAGGAAGCTTTCTTCGCTTTGAGATGGCTGGCTTCGACTTCTTCCTCATCAAGGACAGACAGGGGCAGATTCACGCATTCCATAATGTCTGTCGTCACCGTGCCTACCCCATCCTCGTGGACAAAGACGGCCGTGAGGGCAAGAAGCTCATTCTTAGCTGCGGCTACCACGGTGAGCTTCTCCACAAGACTCCTTCTTCCGGGTACACCTTCTTATCGTGGCTTCGCAGGCTGGTCTTACGGTCTCTCTGGCAAGCTTGCAAAGGCTCCTAAGTTCGACGAGGTTGATGACTTCCGCAAGGAAGATTACAGCCTCTTCTCGATCCACACTCATATTGACAAGCTCGGTCTCATCTGGGTCAACTTTGATGCTTCAGACAACCCCATCCCATGGAAAGAGCTCAACGAGGGTACCGACGAGCAAGAACGTTTCCAAGATTTCAACCTCGATGACTATGTTTACGAGCGCACCTGGACCACCAATGGCGACTACAACTGGAAATTGGTTGGCGAGAACTACAACGAGGTGAGCGAACACAGCTGTGCATGCTCTCAATGGGTCCGACACGTCCAAAAGACTTCCATACTGATACATACGCGTAGTGCTATCACTGTCAAGCATCCCACCCTGGCATCACCAAAATCACCAATCTCGACCGCTACTCAGTTGAGACGAAGGGCCCCAACAAGGGGCGAATGGAACACTTCCCGCCTAATAGGGATGACATCAAGCCTGATGACGTTCAGTTCTTCGGCAACGGGGCCTTCACGTTCAACTACCCCAACACATCTCTGAATCTGTCCACGCCGTATTGGTTCCTCATGCGCGTCGTTCCCAAGACACCCACCACCGTCACCACCGAGTACGAGGTGTATCGGAACAAGAATTCGCCGCGAGAGCATTTCGACCGCGCCGGAGAGTTCTTCGAGGGTATCGAAATTGAGGACTTCCATCTCATGAACGGTGTCCAGAAGAATCTGGTCACCAACGTGTTTGTCAACGGTCCCCTGCACTCGAAGCGCGAGTCGGGCACTATGGCCTTCAAGCGTCTACTGAAGAAGGACCTTGACAAGCATTGGAAGGCTGAGAAGAAGGCTCGGGCTGAGATATATCCTGCCAGGAGGAACACTCAGATTCACCCCAGCATCAATGTGGAGGAGAGGTTCTGCGGAGATATATGTGCTTGTCGAGCTGCTGCGGAGGCTGCAGCATAAAGGAAGAAACGGACCATGTACTTCTATGGATTCAAGTTGACCACCTCAAATACATTCTCGCGTAGTCCAGCCCAACCTGTTGAGAATGCAGAATGATCATATCGATCTTTATACAAGGGTTCAAAGACGCCGCTTAGCTTTAGTGAAGTCAACGGTCTAGGAGGATTGAATGTTAGTCAATTACATACCTAGTAGGGAACCTAGTATACTGCTACTGAGAAGCAAGAAAGAACGAGCAAAAAACCTAGTTCCAGTGCTAGCCATGGTGTTTCGCGCTGCTGCATAAGTTGGCACCAGCGCCCATGGCAGCCTGTGAAAGTTGGCAGCCTGTGAAAGTAAAAGCCCAGCTCATCAAAGGCACCCAGCCATCACTTTCCCAAGTCACTATTCGAGCTCACTCCATGTTCCTCATCAGCTCTCCCTCGTCTTCTCAGAACCCCCAATGGCGGACAAGACAGCGCACTTGACTTAGCCCTCGTTATTTCCGCTGGCTGAAACTCTTTGGCGGCGTTGCGCTGCATCTTTGAGTAGTATTGGACGATCTCCAGCTTCCAAACGTAGGCTATGGCTACCAATAGAAACAACAATGGCACGACGACTATCATTTTATCAGCAGCGTGACTTGGGTACCAGAGTAGAGCGTTAAGAGATCACTTACAGATGACGTACAGCGACCAGGCAGGAGCCGTGAGGAAAGATGCTACATCAAGCGCGAAGAGTGACGTGAGAAAGGAGAGAGGGAGCTGTGAGACGAATACGTTAGTGGAAGACTGTCTCATGAATGTTCTGCGTAGTAGAACGACTCACAAACCACACTGTGACAAGAGTAAATATTAAGACAATCTTGCCCTGTTTCACAGCTTCCATTCCTTGGAGGTTGGCTATATCACTCTCCACAAGCGTCAGAGTAGTTTTGACTTACGCGTCACTTGTTAATTATGGCCTTTGAGGGTAGTCAAAGATTACTCACTGCCTCTTGGGTCTGCTCCGCGAATCGGTCCATCTCCCTGATGTCACTAAGAATGTAATCCGTCTCAAGATCCCCGTTTGCAGAGGGCCCTGCCATTTGATACTGTACCTTACGTTGGAAGGTAGCCACGGTTTTCAGGATGTTAAGCTCATCTCTGATGTCCTTAATGTCGCACAATTGACGTGCTACCTTCCCAAGCGTAGAGCTGAGATGACCCATTGTCTGTTCTGTGGATTTGCCCTTGTTCTTGCTGTCTTCTCTGTTGCTGGATAAGTGATGGTGACCATATGCTTGGTTGAAAAGGCTTGACTCTTTTCTTCCCTGCAAATTCCCGTCAAATTTTCCATACTGCTTGAAACATACGGGCCTGTTTTTACCTACAATTTCGTTGATGGAGTCGGAGAATATCTGCCGGATAGATCGCTCTTCCTTGGGCAACCCGTTTTGCTGAGCATTTTCCTGGGTGCTGACAGGCCCTTTAGTCATGACCGAACGCTTTCTCTTTCTCTCGTAAGCTCCGATACAATAATTCACGATAACCTTGCTCATTTCGGTAGCCGATGATGGTCCAATCCGTCTGCTTCCATTCTTAATTTGTTTCTGAAGATGCTCAAGTATATTAGTGAAGAGATTGTCTTGGACATCATTCCTGGCGGAGGATGTGGAGGTTATGATCCATTCTGAGATACACTTGCGTCAATAGCTGGTTCAGATGCATTTTGACTGATGCGGTACATACTTTCGTCTATGATCCATATCCAAACTTGACTCACACGCAAGAGGGGCCAGTATTTCGGCTTTTTTGTGTCTCTTGGTTTCAAGTATTTGGTAACGACCTGATCATTGTTGCGCAAATTTCTGTCGTTGCGCGAATCGTTATCTGACGCAAAGTGGTAGTAAAACTCATCTAGAGTTGCTGGTTGATGGATGACTGAATCCTTGTACGCCGTGAAGAGGCTTTGCCGCAGGTCGATCTCATCAAGAACTGACTCTTCGTCCGGTGGCTCCGTACCAGTTCTCGCCCTGGAGTGTCGGTCACCTTCACTTCCATGATACATTGAAAAGTATAGAAAGGGCATCTAGGAACACATCAGAATTGACAATGCACTTCTGCATTCAATGCGCACTTACGTAGATGGCTGAAGCACTAATACTTTCTTCACTCTTGCCGTCGCTTTGGTGATCGATCATCATGCTCTCAGACGGAGGGGCGATGAACGAGACTCTAGGGGCTTTCCCCTCTTTTCTTGAAAACTCCCCATCTGACCCTCCGCCTAAGCTCATCATATTCCTGTTATCCACTGGCGAAAAAAAGCCTTTGTCATATTGGCGCTCTTCGTTGGCTTGGAACCGATGCCAGCCCATGTCTTCATCGCTAATGTCTTTTGCAACACGTCGATCCTTCGAATCGGTAGGAAGACTTTTGTCTTTGACAACATAACGGGGTCTCATGAAGCGTGACGTTGACGTTCTGTCTGGAATCTCGATCCAACAGCTACGCAGAAATGATGCAACCTTCTCGGCTTCGTCTTTGCAATCCATTTTCTTAAGGATTTTCTTCACGGCATCCTATATTCAAATCTTTAGCAATCCGGCAACATTGTGGAGGCGTGGAGTGTCAACTCCGGGCTGGGGCAGAGGCTCTCACCTCCATCCATGTAATCTAGTTGATATTAATATGTCGTCTGACAGCTTATGCCCCCGAAGAGCAACTTACATTGCTTGCCGGTAGATGTATCCACGTAAAATCTGGACCAACTCTGAAGTTGACACCAGAGACATGGGGCGATGCTTGCTTGTGCGGATTGGGGTTGTACTCGAATTTCTGGAGTCTCTCAACGGTCTGTCGCACATTCTCCATCTGATCCGAGTCGTACAAGATCTCGTGCACATTTCGGAACTTGAAGAAGTTATTTTGAATGATAGCGGCGGGGAAGCGCTGGGAGGTCGCCTTCATAGGCTCAGTTTGCTCCGACAGGGCCCATGGGCTTGCTCTTCTCTCGGCCTTTTCCGGATAAAGATAGTCCAGGATATCCTCCAAGTCTTTCAGATCTTTCAGGTCTGGATCTCCATCTCTGCTTTGGTCAGATGATTTCTGTTCCGCCTGCCGTCTTTGCCGGTCGGGCTCACTCGGCCATGGCAGTGAAGCTTGAGTTTCTGCTGTTAACCTTCGAACCAAATTCAAACCCCGTTCTCTGTCCTCGCCGACTGGGCTGTCCTTATCGCCCTTTTTGTACAACCCTACTGCTCTAAGATAAGTCAGCAGCACTCGGGGGAGACGAGCGTGAATTGCCCATTCAACCAATGAGCATCCGTGGGGATCAAAGTTCCCTCGTATCTTCCCGACCTGTTTCAACTTGCTGAAAAGCGCCAACGCAGTGGTGTGTCTCTCCAAGCGGTACACAGTCCAACACAGTGGCTCCTCGGCCTGCTGAAGTGTCTGATCTCGAGCAAAAAGTTCAATGAGGAATTGTATCAAATCTCTGCTCTCAGAAAATGGACAGTCTTCGTCCTTGTCGAAGCAAGAGTCGAACGCTGTCTCGCCACGAATGTTGGATTGTAGGATTCTTTCCGGTCTCATCAATTGAATCAGGCATTTGATGAGGTTCTCGTCCCGTGGTGCTGCAGCATTCATCGCGTGATGCAGTACCGTGTTCTCTTCCACGTCGATCGCATTGATATCCGGGCCAAGCTTCAACAGATCTGTAATGATATCCGAAGCCGTTAACGAGTTGCCGGCGCCGTCATCGAGCACAGTTCCACCACAAATGAGCATGATGGGCGTAATTCCATCCAAACCTGGCGTATCGATAGCTGATTGAATATCCTTTGGGGCTTACCCTACCAAGTTTCGGAGCAGCTTTGCCACGGTTTTGGGGTAGTTACGTCGAATTGCTGTCATCAAAGGTGTCCATTTTTTAAAGTCCACCATGCTGAGGCTCGCACCGACTTCTAGCAGGAGGTCAATGGCACTTTCAGTGCCATGATACACAGCCCTATTAAGCAGCGGCCATTCAGATTCCTTGTAGACCTTATTGATGACCTGTTCATGCGGCTTAACGAGCTGTCTCATCAACTGGGATTTCAGGGGCCATCTGACAGCTCCATCGAGGGGATATTGTCCATCGTGACCTCTCTTGGCAGCATCAGCTCCGGCGCTCAACAATGCTTCAATAATCGTCTCGTTGCCAACATCACAGGCTGCTTGCAAAGGCAACCACCCGGAGTCATCCTCGAGCTCAGGGTCGGCTCCTTCTTGGAGAAGCTTGGCAGTCACGCCTTCCAACTCCTTCCAAATGGCGAGTAGAAGAGCGGTCTCCTTGGTATCCGAGCAGCGAATGTTGATCAAGGGCTTCCATTCTTTCAAGTTTTCTTCTAGATCCCTCAAGGCGGACACATCATCAGCTGCTGTGTTGATCAGTTTGTGCAAGAGCGTCTCTTCATATTCGTGCTGTGCTTCGTCCGGGACATTCCCTTTCTGTGGCTATATCAGTAGACTTTCGTTGACAAAGGACTGAGTTACCAACCCTCCAATTTATTATATCTTCAAATATAGGAGATGTTAACTGATCATCGTCTCTTCGGACATCATCTTGGAGAGTCTGAACATGTAGCAGCCCCGACGGTTCGATTCTAGGGGGGCTGTTGCTCTCAGAATGGCCTCCTGAATTGGAAGAGCCATGCATGGACATGGCTGCAAGTGAAAAAGGTGACGGAGGTCAAAACATAATTGAATGTCAACCAGCTGGGTTGCGGCAGTCTCTTAGATAAAGAACATCAGGCTATGGACGTGCAAGAGACGAACGCGGACCCTCTCCTCTCAGTCACTACCAATCCATGCAGCCCTTTTGGTAATGACATGACGAATAACACGCCCAGAACTGCCAAGAGGGGCACATTACAGCAGGCTCCGGATCTCACTGACTGATGCGTCACATTTTGTCCATTTCTGGGTCGTTCATTGGCCAGCCTTCTCCCAAATCATGATCTTAATGTGAAAAAGATGTGCGATCTGATCTCGGCCTGCCCTTTTAGTTGAAATATTGAGTATTAGCGCTGCTCTGTCTTACGAAAGCCAATTTCGTCTGTCCGAGCCTTGCATGCTGCCCGAGACGAATTCTCAGTTGGTCCATAGTAGCATGATGGCTGCCACATCGCCTAACCGTCTACCTAGGTTTCTCAAAACCCTTGCGCCTGCTCACTACATTGAACAATCTTGCTCCCTTTAAATGAATCAGATATTCCACTATCTCTAGTGGCAATCAGTGTGTGTGTGTGTGCGACATTCTACGCCGATGCGTCCTTATTGCATAGGGCAAAGGGCGTCCTGCAGTCATGCGACTAGGCCTATCAAACATATAGAGAGGTCAGATGTAGGCGCGAAGAGACCATCAACGATAGATATTTCCGTGCTTTAGGCGCGGGGTTTGTTTGCTTTAACGTCACTTGCGATAAGGTACCGCTACACCTGGAGGTATCATGATATTGGCTTGTCTGTTGAATCTACAAGTTCTGGACTTTCAGTCATCATCATCGTCATCATCCTTCTTTCCACCACCACCACTACCACCTTTCTTCTTATCATCATCGTCGTCATCGCCACCATCCTTGAAAGCATTTGGCGTTGCAGCCACCGCCTTGGCCGAGCCTGCTACCGGCTGCCCAGCAGTCGCAGCTACCGCCGCAAACTGCGCCGTCCTTGCATTCCCCAACCTCGCGGTAAACGGTCCAAACCCACGCTCGTGAAATCCGAGATTCGCCCCGGGATCGCTCGGGTTCCTCACTGCCTTCTCAGACAGCGCCCATCCCATGACCGCGTTCGCATTCGTGGCCTCTGGTCCCAGTCCCAATGTTGTATCGAGGCAGTTTTCGCAGAGGAAGGTGTACGTGAGAGATGTGGCGTTGACGGAGACGCCTTCGGCAACGGGTCGAACGGCAAAGTTGCCCTTGACTTCGGGCGGGTTATCTTCGTCGGTTGCCTGTCGGAACGAGGCCATCACGCCCCCGGCACCATCCGGCCATGCAGCCAGGATGAAGTTGCCCTCCATCTCACCGGTCAAGCCCATGGCGCCCCACCCGGCGCCGTTGACGAGAGGGAAGGAGAGTTGCCCGATGAAGGACCCGGCTCCGGCGCTCCGGTTCTGCTCCGGGAGGGCCATGGCGAAGGCGAACGATGTTCGGGCGCCGAAGAAGCGCTCCATGTTCAGGCCGGTGGCCTGGTCCACGAACGGAGCGCTCTGTTGAGCGGGGGTTGAAGTGGCATCGTCGCCTGCCAATGTGATTGTGACGATGGAGAAGAAGAAGAGGGCGAAGATGAAGAGTTTTGAAGAGAGGAGTCGGGATCGGAGGGGGAGTGTTTGGGATGCCATGTTGAGCTGAGTGGATATGTGATAGAGCCTTTGTCTAGAATTGAGTGATTACAATTGAAGACTCGGCGGCCCGCGCTGGAACGAAACGAATCTAACGATGCGAGAACGAAGGCGCTGGAGGGCTGGAGACTCTACACGAAACCAAAGACCGCGAGATCTCCATCACTATTTATCAACTCAAAGTCTATAAGGTCTATCTACCCCTCATCTCAATTTTTGCCAAGAAGCCATCGCGATGTGACAGCTTCGTCTCATTCCTGCCCAAAGACCGGCTTGGTGAGGCCATGTTTGGGCTTAGATTAGCATCTACCCAAACAGCCATCAGATAATGAAAACTGCAACCGGCCCCCGTTCGGTGGGAAGTTGGCTAACTTTGGCGAGGAAATCCGGGGGATTTTCTCGGCTGCTATTAATAAACGGACCAAAGAGAGAAGGTGGTGCGGCAGGTTTTGGCGACACACTTCATGTCAAGGTATCTGACAGCTGAGTCGTTTCGAATTGCCTGGGGTGGGGGCTGGTCGCGCATCAACGGCGGTGCGCAGCCAATTGGACGGGGTCGGCACTGAACCCCTTGCTGTTTCATGACGTGAAAAATCGCGAATAGCTTCAATACGAGGCGGAAGACGATGGATCAGATTATCTGTTGGAAATGCGGATGCAGGCTATTCGTTGTGGTCCTCTTCAGAGCTGCAGTGCTTCCGAGGTTGAGTTGTGAGACTCCGCGGGTAATTGACACTAGGTGGGGTTTCAAGAGAACTTCCACCCGCGTCGGCAAGAGATGCTACAACTTGTGAAGGCTAGGGTTTCTTGAGTTGCATCATAATTGAGAGAGTTATGGCCCCCATTCTAAGATTTCCACGTGAAGCCCCCGCCAAGATCGCCAAAGACGTCGACTGGAACTGCCCAGGCTTGGAGGCTTGGAGTCCAACAGTTGCGCCAAGCTTTCGGGATCGCGTCGACTTGTGAGTTTTTGACATTGAGTCTTGGCAACGGAAGATGCAACTTGAGAACATCAACCGTCCATCATATGGCATATTTTCCACTTTCATCGACAATGCATCACGGAGGCAGCCCTGCGTTCAATGAGCGGCAGCGTGCTCGCGTGCCCTCTTACCCCTTCAGGTCGCAGAAACTCGGTAAAGTTCCACCAATGCCCCGCCAGCGGGGGAATAAACTATTCAAAGATCTCCGGGCCTAAGAATAGCGTTCCGCCAGAGACCGACCGGCCATCTTCGGGGATGGAACGGGATTGAAAAGGGCGCCCGACAGGAATAAGAATAAAGATAAAAATAAAAGCAGCCGCGTTTGAAATGAGGGTCGCGACGATTAAGGCTGTCCAATGGGGTCCCGTCTCATGTCATCTCAACCGCTGTCGTTGGGTGCTGCCAGCGCTGTTGGGAGGAACAGGGGGTTCGTGGTTAGGTGCCCTGTCGGCTGGAGTTCCCCTCGCGCAGGCTGGGGTTGCCCCGTTCGTCTGATCAGCTCAGGGGTGAGAGGACCACCAATCGACTGTTCTTGCCTGTCGTCTCTGGGATTGGACGTTCTGTCGATCTTGGCGCGGACGACTCGGGTATTTCGGATTCGTTACTAGGTGTCTTTGGTCTGGCCAAGCAATTTGGGGGTTGTATTCGGTTGTGAGGCATGCTGGTAGCGATGTTTGTGGAGCGTGACCTACGTGTGTGATTGATAATACGGTGAGGCCTCTTTGCATGTTGGAGGAGGCATGTTCAAAGACAACCTAACGCAAGACCATGGGAAAACGACTCTGGCAGATTGAAGGAGCGGGTTCTGCTGGAAATCGGTGATCTGTCCCTTCACGTGAAATGGTTTCATCAAAGGTCAGAACGATGGTGTGCCATCTGCTACAATTTCTCACACATTGTATGCGCCCTCGACCAGGTTGAGACTACTTTAGGTATCGTTGCCCGCACCTAAAAACAAATTAGAATAGAGAGAGTGACACCCAGATAGAACTAGTACAGCTTCACAGTCGTGGATATCAGGCGATTAGTATTCATATGTGAACAGAAGCTTGGGTTCACGATTCTCAGACGACCGGTGTGTCTAGGTAGATTTCGCGTAATATTTCCATGGGACATGCCACGCTGAGGGGATTGCCAAAGATCATATGGGGCTGGTACCGCTTCCTTTGGCGATGACTATACGCAGAACGGATAAGAGCCTTCCGTCTGCAGAGACGACACCCCAGAACTTGCCAGTTTCAACTAGAGTGATGACGAGGGAGAAGCAGCGCCTCCTTAAGCAGAGTCAACCATTAACCACCCTTCTTACATCCACGAGCAACTGCTCAGGTCTCCCTGTGGTTGTTGAAGCCAAGGGAATAACTTAGTTCGTTCGTCATGAAAGAAGATATTCCACTATTCCTCTTGTTTAATGTATCGATGAACAAATGCTACTCACCGCTTTACGGTTAACCCAATTCCGCATTATTTATGAATGAGTTGTCCTATTCGGGCTTACCACTACCTACCTCTAAGAGGGTTGTTATGCATGTCGTCCTATCATCAGTATCTACCCAAACAGCAAAACCTTGATGAAGTACGGTTTCTGAGGCAATGGAATATGCAGCAAGCAGGTTTGATAAATTCAATGCAACAGCAGATGTCTGTTGTTCCGTTTGTCGGCGCTAGAAACGGGCTCCGCATCTTAGAGGGTCCAGACTCACAGAACATAATCTAGCACACCGCCATCCTCAACATCCCCGCCTGAAAGCGGGCTCATTAGATTGAGGCGTTGTGGCAGAGTGGTCTAATGCGCAAGACTAGAAATCTTGTTCCTTCGGGAGCGTCTGTTCGAATCAGGCCAACGTCGATTTACCTTTTGCTCTTTCCGTCTCGAGGCGTTGTGTTTGTTTTTGTTCTGTTTCATGATTTTTCCCTCTCTGAAAAGACATGCCAGATTCTGCTTTTGGAAAATTTGTGTTGTGGGGCCGGGTTGAGACACCGCAACGGCGCGCTGCTGAGAGGGCTCGCAATTGGGAGCCGGCCGGAGTGAAAAGTGGGACGCCGTCTTACACCGGCCCCTGCCTCGTGCTTCCCCGGAATACCTCGCATCGCAGACTGCAAAGACACGGCTCTTCCTGCTCTGACCTCAAATTTGAGCGACTCAACTCGAAGACGCCACTGTGTAAGGCATCACGCCCATCTCAACCCCTGCGCAAGCAACCTTCCTCGTGTCTCCCATCCACTCTGGAGATCTCACACAGCACGCCCTATCCCACAACACAAAATCAGCCTTACACCACCACGAAAACGCCCAGTCACCCGTCACCGTCTATCAAAATTTAATCTGGACGGCATGACTCAATCCCGCCTTACCAACTCCCACTCCCAGCCGTGCCAACACATACCCTCCCCCCGTCGTCTCGATAAACCCTCACCACACATCCCGTCGATCATTTTCTCGTCAAATCAAGCTTAACTCTTGTCCCCAGCTAACCTCGTCTAATCACCGAATAAACACCAGCTCAGCCGCAATGCTCCCCTCACCCCGCGATGTTGACAAGGGTCCAATCGCCCATCAAACGCCGCTAACGAGCGCCTCTCATCTCTTTCCCGCCGTCCAATTCGTCCGCGACCTTCAGCCGCACGCGCCGTCGCCGTTAGGGGCGTCCATCACTTCCCCTCTCCAAAAAACCGCTTCTCTTCACCACCTGCGTGAAAACGAATGCAAAATAAGCATTCGGGGCTAAGGTTCGTCCGGGCCAGGATAAGCATAACGAAATGAAGGCTGTCAGTCGCTTAAATCGCCCGGCTTGGTAGAAGGGAGGAACAGCCCGCTTGTAACGAGTTGAGTGAGCTGAGGTCTGTTGCTGGGGTGGACTGCTTGTTATTTCTTGGCGGGGCTTTCTAGGCTTCAGCTTTGGATTTTTCTGCCTTGAAGAAGTGCCGTGATGTCTGATTAGGACTGAAAGTAGGAAAGAAACGTCGAGATATGCGGTGCTTACATTCACAGCGGACATTGAATGGGTATCCCATGCCGCAGTCATACTCACAGAGACTGCTCCTCCGACAGACCACCTCAGTCAAAGAAGGCAACACCGCATCATGTCAAACAAACCTCGTGAAAACAAGCTACAATGTGGCAAACAACCCTGCGTCTCTTGACTCTCAGCCCACCCGTCACCTCCAGCAGCCTGACTCCTCGCCTACCACCGCGCCCGCGAACGCGAAAGGAAGCCAGCTCGTCTATCAACGCGCCTCATGGCGTCTCCTAGCGTCGTCCGGGGTCACACAGAAATCTCCCGTCAACCTCCCCCAGCCCATGTAGGCTGATTTCCCAAGCAAGGGGCCCAGGGGTATCATTCTTGTCAAAGCTTCCTGTTCAACATCGTTGTAAGTCCGATACTTGGCTCTCTTTCACCATCAGATATATATACCTCCCGCCCTTCCCCATAACTCACCTCCCAATGCCTCCTCACCAACACCACCACCATCATGCTGCTCAACTCCCTCCTCCTATCAACGGGCCTCGCCCTCGCCCTCGCCGACTCCTCCTCCCCCTACCTCGGCTCCCAATCCTCCTCCTCCTCCTCCGCGTCCAACCCCTTCCTCCTCCCCGGCGGGCTCGGCTCCTCCGCCATCTCCCTCGGCGCCGTCGCCTCCACCTGCGACATCGGCTACAAACCCTGCGACGGCAAATGCATCCCCACCCTCGGCACCTGCTGCAACACCGGCAGCGGCGGCTACTGCGAGGCCACCAAGGTCTGCGTCTCCGGCGGCTGCTGCCCCATCGGCAAGACCTGCTCCGGCGCACCGTCCGGGTGTTCCTCCGGTAAAGTCCTCTGCAACGGCTTCTGTATCCCCTCCGGCACGGTGTGCTGTTCTGATGGCGGGTATTGTGATGCCGGGGAGACTTGTACCGCTGACGGGTTCTGTTCGAAAGGGAGTGGAGGGGGTGGTGGTGGGGGGCAGTGTGCGAGCGGGCAGACGGCGTGCGGGACGGGATGCATGCCGACGGGACAGGTGTGTTGTAGCACCTACTTCTGCGATGCCGGGGAGACTTGCGCCGGTGATAAGAAGTGCAATAAAGGATCTGGAGGAGGCGGTGGCGGTGGAGGAGGTGGTAGCCAGTGTGCGGCGGGACAGACGGCGTGCGGAGCGGGATGTATGCCCTCCGGCCAGACGTGCTGCAATACGTATTACTGCTTCTCGGGGCAGACCTGCGCGGGTAACAAGAAGTGCAATGGCCCAGGAGGTGGTGGAGGGGATGATAGTACTACTTCGACGAGGTTGATTGCGACGACGCGGCTTCGGTCTGCTACGACTACCTTTGACGATACCCCGAGTACTACGGTGTTGGGCAGTGGTGACGATGATACGAGCACCACCTCCACGCGGCTTATTGCCAGCGGCGCCAGCACCAGCACCAGCACCAGGGCGACACTTACGAATGCTGCGCCGACGGCAGCAACAACCGCGGGTGGCAGTACGGCCGGTGCGGCTGCGATGGGTGTCAACGGCGCCATCTTGGTTGCTGGTCTGTTGGCTGCTGCGCCGTTGGTCATCTGAGAATGGTAGGAAAGGACTTCACTTCTGGGGACATGTGTAACGAGATGTCATGATTCGACCAAAGACCAATCAATCTATAATAAGAATGTAATACCCTCACGTTCATCACGCATGCTGCCAACGCCAGATATCCAGCCTTAGGTCCGGAACGCCAAACTTTTTTGTGTGCCGGTTTCAATGCAAGGGCGCCGTGTCAGTGCTACCAAAAACAATGCCGCCTGCGCCTGTGAATGTGTCCCGAAAACAGAGAATAGTCCTACAAACACCTGGCCCGCATCCATTCAACATTGCGGAGTCCGAGATTGAGCCCGTTGCTGGCCCACCATTTACGCACCGGCTCCTGGTCGCCGATGCTGTCCTCCAAAGCTTCCTCGATATCGCACGTTCGGTATTCGACGCGTTGTTTCCTTCCTTCCATGCCGTCCAGTTCGCCGTAGGCAAACTTGCGCCACCACTCCAGCACGCCGATGTGCTGGTGAATCGTCGGCTGGACGAGCACCTCGCCGTCGAATGTGAGTTTGTCGTCTCCCTTGAGCTTGCGCCAAAGCTCGAGGACGCCGACCTGGCCCCACCGCGAGGCAATCTTAGCTACACCGTCACCGTGGGCGATGGGAATGCCAGAAGCCATCCACCATTTAATAACATCAACCTGGCCATGCTGAGCAGCCCACAGCAGAGCTTTGCCGGGACGCAGGACGATCCTTTCATCCTGCGCCGCAGCATCCCTCCACCATTCAAGGACCAGCAGATGTCCCTTTCCGCTGGCTTGCTCCAAGGCGGCCTCGGTGAAACGCAGAGGCAAACCGGAATGCCGCCACCACCAGTCGAGTACTTGAATAAACCCCATTTTGGAAGCACCGTCGACAGCCTCGGCGTCGTACGACTGTTGGTGCTTGCCCCTGAAATATTTGCTCTCCTTCCAATAATCCAAGACATCGGGGCGACCATAATACGCCGAAGCCTTGGTCGGGAGAACTTTGCCATCGAAAGCGTGCTTGAAGAGATCGGGCCGGTTGGCCTCCATCCATTTGAGCACGTCGATGAGTGAAAACTTGATTAGAAGCCCGACCACAAGGGCGGGCAAGTCGTGCAGTGTAGGGGGCGATTGGAGGAGCTTCTTGCAGATGGCGGTCGTGTCGCAGGTGAGGACAAGCCATTCTAGCTCGTGCTCGTAGACCTTGATCGGATCTCGCGAATCTTTCGGCTGCAATGTCCAAGGATGCGGCATTGGTAGGTTCGTAAAGATTCCCAGGGCCTGCGCGAGTTCCCAATCGCCAGCATAGTCCAGAATGATGGTCCAAATTTCGGGAGGCAAATTAGAGTAGACCCGCGGATCCCCAGTCGCCAGGTACCCAAGGTGAGTGACAACGTCGACGTCCCGCCCGAGGCCAAGGAGGTCGGCCTGGTTCTTGATGATGCCCAACACATCGTTGAATCCATTCCAGTTGACAATCCGCTTCGGGTTCTTCGGTGATCCGTCGTAGTGCCACAGAATCGGGGTCATGGCGCGGATCCAAGTCCACTTGCTGTTGATCTTGTTGAGCTGCCGTTTTGTGACGGGGTTCTCCCACATATGTGTGCTCATGCCGGGCACCAGGAGGATCTTCTTGGCAGCATCCCACCCCCTCAGTACCTCGAGGAGGAACGTATCGGCAATGCCCGCCATCATCTTGGAAATGTTATCCGCGTCGATCGGGGCCAAAACCATGAGATCGGCCCACTCTACCAGTTCGAAGGCTTGCTGGCGGTAAAACTCTATATCGTCGGCGTCGGTGTCGGCGGCGCGCACTGGAGGCAGGGGAGGACACATGGATCGGTTCTGCATGGTAATGACGGTCTGGCTCAATCGGGGGACGGTATCGTCGACGATGGCGCGCATCTCGATAGCGGAGCTCTTGGAGAGCCGCACGACGAGGGCTTGAGCCCATGATATGTCGCGGGGGCCGGTGGCGGCGACCAAAAGGTGAAGTTTACGGTCGCGTGGCTTGAAATGGAGGGAGGAGGACGACGAGGCGCTCCTCGTTATACGGAGCGGCAGGGGGTCGGGAGGGTCCATGGCAGCATGCTGGAGCGACAGTCGGGCAAGAAGGTGACGAAGGCTGGCCGTTTCGGCGGCGTGTTTGAAAGGTCGGCTCGGAACGTCGACGGCAGATATGACTGTCGTCGTGCAGCGGGCGCTTTCGAATGAGGTTTGGTGGTAAATTTGCCTTCTGTCGGCGAGTTGAAGATTGAAGGCGGGTTATCGAGAGGCGAGATCTAGGGCTTCGGGTACGATCGGGAGAACGAAGAACCGGAAAAAAAAGAGTCGGTGAAGGCGGTCGGCGAACGGGTCACGGTCGAGTATCAATGAAGCCTTATTGCAAGGTGAATGCGCAGGAATAATCGCAGTGTCTGTCGGTCTGGGAGGCGTTGTTGCGTCGGTCGTTGGTGGTGTGGTGTTTGTGGTTGGTTTGCAGCAGACAAGCAGGGTAGCGTTGGGTATGTGTGCAGGGCAGCAGTTGCAGATGGCGGTCCAGTAGCGTAGCAATTGTCAGAGTGCCAAATACGTCGTACGGTCGCGGCTGGGCTGGGTTGGTCTCAGCTCAGATCAGCGCGTCGGGGGACTCGTTCAGGCGATGGGAGGGAGAAAAGACATGGATCCGTAGCGACATGTGGCATCACCATGACGGGGGTGCGAATTCCTTAATTCCACCGTCGGGTCGCGGTGCATGCAGCCACCGACTCTGAAGCAAGGTGAGTCGCTGTCGCCTGTCTCACTGTCACGGTCAGGGCTCAAAAGGTGGGTGTTATTGTCGGTGTGCGGATACTATGCAGTAGTGTACTGTGCAGTGTCGCTGTCGGTGACTGGGAACAAGCAGGTCTTGTCTACGCAGCGCCGTAACCGTGGGTATCGAATGTTCGATGTTCGATGCAGGAATTCGGTGGCAGACGGGCTGGAGCCTTCACTTCTGTTCCGGTCGCGATGATTCGTCGGGCGAAGAACTAGCGAGGCGACGATGCAAATTGTCCGGGGCCTTCCATGAGCCGACGACGACGTTGCAGGCTGCGGGAACAGGAACAGGAGACAGCAGTCGGGAATCGGAAAGACCAGGACGAGGAGTGGATCCGGTGCATGTGGAAAAAAAGGGTCATGGGCAGGATTTCTGGAAAAATGGCAGGGGACGAGCGGGCATTTTGGAGGGGAAGCAGGAAGCAGCGACCCGTCAACCGGAGAGGGGTTCCTGCCAACTGCTGTGTCTCGTTCTTTCCTTTTTTCTTTTCGCCTTTGATTTGGCAGGCGCACTGCAGTCAGACAGTCGTGGACGGCCGGTGACGGTGACATTGTGGAACTGTGCCTCTTACCAAATGGGAAAGTGGTCACCGCCTTCCTTTCGCTTTCGGCCCCCCTTCCTTCCTTCCCACTGTTTCTGCGCCAGAGACAGAGATTCAGGCGGGAAGGTGAGACCGGCACTGGCTAGCAAAAGGCAATTACCTAATCCGTCCCCGCCAGCTGCAAGCCCGTTCCACGCACTTTCCCAGGAGCACCTCCGGTCGCTACGTCACCGACGCCCCTTCCGCCTGAGACAATGCGACCAGTGGCGGGATGAAGGAGCCAACAGTCCCCATTGCTGACTTTTTGCTCCTTCCTCTCGCATTCCGCCCGGAGACCGGACGCCGTGCACCTAATTTTCCAGGTTGTATGACTGCTCATCTGCATTCAACCTCACCGGATTGGCTGCCCTCTTTTTCACTATTGATGATGCTCTCTCTCTCCTCGTATTGCTGCTGCGTATTCGCTCCCCCTCCGCATCTCCTCAACGGCCGTGGTGAACTCTACATGTCATCGCCCAGTCATCCCAACGTCCGTCGCAAGGTTCCGCCACCTCGACCTGTCAGCAAGCGATCCCCGTTGTCAATTATGAGACACCCGAAGAACCCCCCGAGGCGTCGTCCAATGCCTGCCAAGAAGCCCCCCGTCTGCACCTCCAAATCTTGCTCCAAGATTAGCGCATCGCGACCAACCTTCCCCCGTGTCACCCGTGTCGGATGTCCACCGATAAGCTGTGATATCGTCCCGAGTTATTTTCACTCCTTCTGGAACCTCCATGCGAGACCCCAGTCGCGGCAGCGACAGGGGCTTCCGCGATCCGACCCTTATTGATCCATTTATGCTGACATAATGTGAGCCCTATCGCCAACTTCACCAGATGAAGCCTCATCTCCCAGGCCAGGTGATGGAATAACTTCTGAATTAGTCTAGAGTAACAATACTGATGCAGTTAACGTATTCCGGGCATTCTCCTGGGGTCTGGGCCCAATATCTTCATCCGTTGACACATATTGCCAGGTTCCACAATTCACAGGCCAAGATCAGTATTCCCAACACCCTCACGATCAGAGCTTTCTCTCACTTGAGAACTTCTCAATTTCCGGCGTCTGCGCGGCTATATTTTCTGGATGCTTAAAGCCTGTGGATCTATGGGTTGACTTCGATCAAAGGAACGTTTGCAACGACGATAACGAGCACGCTCGACAAATAGGTCATCCCAATTGAAGGTAAGGCAGTTGACATGTAGAATCGACATTACAAGATAGTATCAACTAGCTTATCTAGCCTCAGTCTACGCCCCGGTACCGTCCGAGTTCGCGACCAATACCCCATAATGTTTAGTAAATCGAGGTCCTGTTTCTTGTCATGACTGCCGATTTAACTCATTCGATGTACGATCGACAGCTGTGTCTCTCCCTCGGAGTGCCACAAAGAGCCTACTTTGGCCTCTGGCCGTTCACTGTGATTTTTACCTGCTTAGAGCGACAGACCTCCTAACTCCGCGCCTCCTGAGATGTTCAGAGGGTTTGCCTGCCAGCAGGAACGTATAGGGTTTCTGTACTGTTTTCCTTAATTGGTAGAGGGCACAGGTCAAAGTGCCCATATAGTGTTTCCAGAATTGTGCTCGCGTATGGGGTGAATTTTGCCGTAGTCTTTTTGCGGGGGGGCTGCGTCGTAACTACAAACTCAAGAGCCTACTTTCTAATTATCAGGTGAAGGACGTGAAGAATATCGAACAAGCAGGCGACTTGGGGAGGCAGCAAGTAAACACGACACAAGATGCTGGATGTAGCGACTTGATGGGGGGTAACCGTACCCTTTAATTGGACCAGCAGTTTCCACGGGGCGAAGTATTTATGTCCAGTAGGAGATGCAGGAGGATATCAATCAGGTGACAAAACAGCTTGCTACCAAGCTCAGCCACCACAATGAGGCGGCATGAGAAAATGACTTCTTTCATTTCCCCCCTTTTTCGTGATGATAATGCCGCCAGCCACGACGTCTTGCTCTTAAGCGCGCCCCCCCCCAACGACACGCGATTCACAGATGGACAAGCCACGAAACATATCATAAGTGTACACTAAGATGCGAATACCCTTTTTTTTTCCCAAGAAAGCTCCAATCGTCGGACCGTTTTGATTTCGTTGGTGTACCTCAGACATGCTTGGGGCTTTCGGGTCCAGGAGCAAGGCAACCATCGCCAAGCCACCATTAACGATTTCACAAGACTGCACCAAGCGCTCTCAAAGCAAGGCAAAATTATGCGCCGTCGGCGGACGCTGTCTTGGCAACAAGACCTTGTTGCTGGGAAAGAGGAGCGCTGGAACAGGAGGGTCATCTTCTTCTAACACGCATTTGAATGAGGGAGGAGGTGGAACAGACTCACTCTCGGAGGCATCCTCTGTTTCCGACGCAAAACGCAGCGAAGACAGGGGGAAAGGGCATGGGAAAAAATACGAATATCAATGGGCGTGGACATGTGTAAGTCGACAATTGCAGAAACGCCGTTCCACTTCCAATACTAAGATGAGAACAGTGCCAGTGCGGCGATAGTGGGATGAGTGCGAATTCGACACCAGGCTGCCCGAACTGCAATATTTTCAGATGCGCAGATTGCCCGTTACAGCAAGTGAAGGTCAGAGTAGGGTAGCCTAGAAAAATATAGGTTGCTATGCAGCAGGCAATGGAACAGATGATGTCTCGCGTCTTACGAACGCCATCGCCAACACGTGATAAGCTGAAATGCCTTGGGCTGATACCAGCCCACCTATCACAGAAGCCCTACCCTCAGATTGGGCACAAATTACTCCGCCCCCGTAGCCACATCGAGAGGGACAGTGGCCAAGGTATCTGCTGCACCGACCTTTGATCCTACTTCACTTTACGTGGCCGCACTGCACGCGCTACTTCCCCGTAAGGTTGATTCACAAGAAGACCCAACTTGCAGTCGTCTTTCGGTCTGCAAACATGCATGCGAAGCCAACCAAAAAGACCAAAGTGTCGATCGGGACTCCTCATCACACAATATCACAAGATTGCACCAAGACGTCAGCGGTTTCGAGTGGCAGATTGTATGCTCTAATGGGCAGACCGCAGCAAAAGTCGCTACTTTCATCATCAGCCAGGATTGAGGCACAGCCGGCTTCGTCGAGCCGAAATCAACCAGAAAAGGCCACTGGAGACACATCGAGCAGCACGGAAGCAACCGCAGGTGCGAGTGGACGCCGTCGACGTTCAAAGCCTGCGGTAACTTACACTTGGGTTTGGAATTGCGTCAGTCTTCCCGAATGACTAGGAATGAGACTAAGAGCCTTGTTCTGACAATGTTAATAGTCCAACTGCGAAACAGGTCCATTGAATGCAACAACCGACAGCGCGTGCCCTTCATGTCAACATTGGAGATGTGAATCTTGCTATATAACCCAAGTTGCGATACCGGCAAACCGTTGAGAGCGGCAATAATTACATCAGAAACAGCCCAAAGCTGCCTTCGTACTGATGAGAGGAGCTCCGTCAGTGCGAAAGCAACACTTCGGTATAGACGACAACATCTAAGGAGGCTTCACACGACTAGGAATCAACTGCAAATTAATAATGGTGAAGAGATGGCCAAGAAAGCTTCAATAAAACCGTTGAACATAAACACATAAATAACTCAGTTTCAGTCTCGACTAAGTGGAAATACAGAAACATAGGTGGTTAAGTAGGAAGTAGGCCTGAACCTCGATTAACGTCATGTGACTCTCGCAGGCCTGGACAGATACTTCCGTCACACTATAGAGAGGATTCTAGAATATTTGGGTCATCTCGAGCCTTGTCAACGTAGTCCTCAAATTCTTTGGCCACCGCCATAGTCCTCTGGACATGCTTAGATTCCATCCTACGGCCAGTGAATCTGGCAAGCTGGCGTGCGGTTGTGATGACGTTTCGAATCTGTCTGCCGTTGAAATTTTCTTTCGCTAGCACAGGGGCCATCCTACGCAAGTCCTGGATGTCGACCATATCTTTCTCGTTGGAGGTAGCTTGATCTAGCTCTTTCTGTTCTTCCTCGAGAAGGTAGATGAAATTGGTCCAAATTGTCATCCTACCCTTTTCGTCTAATGGTGGATAGTACAGCGCAAGCTGCATTCGAGATCTGAATGCATCATCGAACGTCCCAACTTTTAGGGGGGAGGGAAAGTCAGCGTTGTGGTCGATGGAAACGACCATTTGAAATTTTCGCTTACCTCTGTTCGAAGTGAGGATCATGATTCCTTCATAGTACTCCAAGGCACGAAGGAAGACGGAAACCAATGCATTTCTTTCCAAATCGGTCTTTTGACGCTGCTCAAGGAACACATCGCTTTCGTCAAGCAACAGAACTGAATGCATCAGCTCTTATCTATGGGTGCACAAGAAGAGTTTCGCATGACACTTACCTGCTTCCCAAATGGTTGCAATGTAAAATGCAGACTCCAGGTATTTTTCAACACTCTCTGGGTCAGTACCGATATCCCCGCAAGTCACGCGATACAATGGCTTCTTTGCTAATTCTGCCACGCTTTCTGCCGTCAGGGTTTTACCAGTTCCCGGGCCACCATGAAGCAGGATTATGAGGCCGTTGCCTTTGCCCTCGATAACATCTGTAGACTTATTGGATGCGATATGACTCGTAACCATTGCTTCAACCAGATCCTTCTTAAGTGAGTCAAGAAATAGCTGTTGAAATGCCCTTTGATTCCACCGAATAGGCTGGATATTTCTGACACGAATATTGCCTATTATTTGATACATGATGAGCAGGCTGCTTCCGTGATAGATAAGTATACTTACGCCACTTCTTGTCGTGCATACCGAAGCCAACCATGGTCGTGGGCAGCAGCATTACAAATGGCCCTCCTGGAGGCTCGTCATTGTCCATCAATCCCTCTTCCAAAACATGTCGAGTGTCCGACTTGTCTTCTTCTTCGTCGTGGAGTTGCCGGTATGTTTCCATGTCGATCATATACCGTGGATTGGACTAAAGTTTCAGCATCAGTCAACAATCGTGCTTTTCAAGATGAAGACAAATGTCCACGAGAGCTTACCACTTTCATCTGGTAGGTACCAGTGGGAGAGTCACATGCAATAAAATTCCTTCTTCGACAAGACCAGAATGTTCTCCCGCGGTCCTGTAACAGACTTTCTAGACTGGAATCGCCATGGAGCCGTAAAGGGTAGACATCCAATTCACTAATGTCCAGGGGCCCATTATCATCCAATGGCCACTTCACTTCCACCTTTCTTTCTTGCCTCTTGAACTTTCCATCGTATGCCCAACCTGAGCATTCAAGTTGGAAAGGCGGATTCTTAGACTGGACACATTTTTTGCGAGAGAAGTCCCACAGGCTCCCCGTCTTCAAACGTCACGACAACCTCGTTAGGGCCAAAAAGTTTTGCGAAGTGTTTCCTGGTGACACGTCCACGAGCAAATAGGTTGTCGGCTTCCTGATATTCCTTGGCGAATGAAGACTCGACATACGCCAGGAAGCCAAGTAGATGCGTCCTATGAGTCTCGTTCGATGTCTGAGATGCAATATCTCGAATCCTTTGACGAGTGTGGTAGACATGAATGTAAGGAGGTGTCATATGTGATTCCCAATCAGAAAACGTTTCCGGATCACTAGCCACCAAACTCGCCATTGAGATTCGAAGATTCGATGAGATATGAATGACCTCATTTGAATGAATCGAAAGTTTGCCATCTTCGTCTAGAACATCGAAATAAGGTCGCATATCGTAAGGAATCTCAGGATCCCGGAAGGGCGCAGGTTTTGTTTTGAAAGCCTTCGAATGGATTTTGTGGTATGATTCGCAGTGGTAAGTCCGCACGACAACCGTGATATCCGAACGTGACAAAGGAATACCGTCCTTTGAGAACTGGTGATCATTGATGTCTTCGATTCCTTGCTTTCCGCGTAGGATGCTGGCACGACTATCCCCATTCCAAAGACGAGGATGGTCGAGATAGATGTTTTTGGACGCATGGCCACGGTGGCCAGCTGCCTTACGGGCACATTCCACTTGGTGTACAACAACGACTGTCTGCCCTGCCATGGAAGGTTCGCCCATGATAATGGAAAGTGCTGGTGTGTGGGGTCTGTTTGAAAGTTGAGTAGTCCCAGAAGAATTCCCTTTTGATTTTTAGGACATGCGAATCCGCTGAAAGATCACGTAAAGGCCTAGGCGAGCGGAGGAATTTAGTTCGTTGACTTCGGTGCGATTGGTGTGAAATCCTGGTTCACTACTGATTCTGATGGGATGTTTGTTGAAAGAGGGGTAATGGGCTTATAGATACGTAGAAGCCCCCGCCCTGATTCTGCACAGCCAAGCCAACGTGAGGGCTAGGCCCGCGGATGCTCGTAATTCGTTGGATAAGCCTGCATGAGCGTAGCTTGGATTTGCAAGGCAGAATTTGGAAGCTGAAATGCAGTTTGATTGGATTGTCTGATGCGGATGACGTATGACCTTGGGGAATATTACTGGGTTGGTCACAATGGTACGACACGCAGTAGACATGTCGGCCAAACAAACGATGCGAATGATTGGCAAGCCATATCACGAATAAAGAGTCATTGCACAGGAAAACGAGAAAGCAGCTTTCCCTTTAAAATCAGTCGATAGTAGGGTTGGGTTTGGTCAACCTATGTACTAATGCTATGGAAAGTGTCATACAAACCCTCTTGGAAAGATGGGTTGAAGATTAGCTCGCCTCTTTCTTTTAACAATCACCTCTTGTCGAATGTTGACGATCTGTGTCGAGAGCTGCCTAACATCAAAGACATTCCCACTTCTTGCATGCCAAACAATCAGGAGCTTCGTTGCCACTGTTTCTTCATCCAGAAACTTGCCAAACCTTCGTAACGCATTGAATAGATTCTGAGATCCATCCGGATTTCTGAAAACATCTTCTGCTTCAATGACCATAAAGCACGGCGGCATACGCCGTATCAGACGACAAAGAAGACTCAAATATTCTTCATCAGAATGCTGTCCTTTGAGCTTCGCTATGCTGAAGTTTGAGAGGTCGGAGGCCACCAAAGTCGGAGCCATTTTTAAACACTGAAACAAGAGGCAGCGGAAGACGCCACGTGCACAAGCTGAACGAAGACCGTCGTTATCCGTTGCCGACAGGTACCAAATCACAGGCATTTGGCGGCGTTGCAGATTGTTGATCAGTTCGGTAGCAATCTCTCTTACTCGATCGGAAGCTCCTGGCTGTGCCCTAAGCACAATCGAGGAGAATCCTGAAGCTGTCATCCACTTCTTGATAATGCCCAAGATTTGTGGAATGTCTGCGCCTTGATTTCGCCAAGGCGATGCTCGTTTGATGATTATTCGTTTATGAATCGAAAGAGAATCCTCGGGGACTATGTTCGGCTCCATAACTTGCAATAGATCTTGAAAATGAGCGTCATGTGCAAAAGCTTTCAATCCATGCATGTCAAGTTTGATGCTGTTGAAATCACCTTGCATCTCTCCCAAAAGAGTTTGAATGCCTAAGTCTGTCAATGAATGGGTTGATCAACGATTGATAGACATGATCAGAAAGGCTTGTCTCACCCTTGACGTCATAGCACAAGCTTTCGAGCATTGCAGATTGCAGTCTTTGCCCATCTTCCAGCAAGCTCTGAATCTCCATGTGCCTTTTGAACCTGGTCTGAGACTGGTCGCTTTCACTCTTGACAATCGTCTTGATTGCCCGAAGTTCGGTATTGCTCTCCATGCTTGCAATATCGTTGATGAGTTGAGCGCAACGCTTCATTTCAGCTTCAATGCCCCGAAACTTGATATCGTACGGCGTCAATACCGACTCCAGAATTCTCTGAGTTGTACCAGCTAGGTACCATTCGGTTGCTTCCCGCAGGAACATGATCACCTGAACGTAGAGCTGTGTGATGGCGCCCTTCATCTGTTCTGTTCGGTATAGACCAGCATTGCCCTCGGCAATAGGGAGTATGTCCGCAACAGACATGAGCGATTGCGAGAACCGTTCCACAAATGTGCCATAGGATATGAAGCCCTGAAGCCAAAGATATGTCAGTATGGGGATATTTCTGATAAAAGGATTCCGTTCAATTTCATGGAATGCGTACCATGAGGATAAATTTCATTGTGCCCCAGACCAAGGCCAAATATTCAGGGTGGTGTTGTGACAGTGTATCAAAAATTTGGCCATAGAACACAATTCTCGTTGACAACCCCCTCATACCCTTCATAAGGTGGCCTTTGCTGCGGGACTTCTCATTATGATTCATCTCAGCACTCCTGGCAGTGTCTAGTAAGCTCCCGAGAGTCGTCGACTTCGCAAGGTTGAGCCACTCAACAGCCTTCGGTTTCCCTTTGAATTTATCTTGAAGATACGCCATAGCCCCAGAGAAAGCTTCCGCCGCAATGTCGCACTGCCTGGAAACCCCAGAAACTAGTAGTTAGCTGAGGCCGCATCGTATCTTGGGTATTATAGCAGACCTGTCTGGAGATGAGCTGCCGGCTTCCCCGCAGGAGTGGCACGTCCAGGATGCTGGAGGCGTTTGCGACGCCATCTTGATGATTGATTGGTCAAAATAGTGAAGCTTGTCGGGAATCTTGAACCATTCACATTTAGTACCCTGGTAATTGGAGTCGTTTGAGTTTGGGGCATCGTCAGATTTCCTTGAGTTCAGAAGGAGGACTGAAATGGCGATCCGAATGCGATCAGTGAGCTGTAGGAATTGCGCAGCCGGGGGCCGAATATGCCTTGGGCATTTTGATGAAACGAAAAGCCAGCGATTGGTGCATAGTCCACTCAAGTGATTCGTTGGATTGAGTGGCGTTAGGCAGACCTGCTTACACCGTACATGTCGGCTCCCTCTGCTGATGCCCGAATGGCTTGGCAGCTACCCTATCGGTCAATTGACACACCCTAAGGGTTAGAAAGCACAGGGCTGCAAGGACCATATAACATGATTAAAAATGTCCGAAGGATTTCATCAATATCCAATAGCCGATAGGTTTCATGTAAGTTTATAGATACGAGTACACTGAATATGTTTTGCTGAAGGAATATCTCAAACAATGTAGTGTACCGGATCTATTTGCAACTGCGTCATTAGAGGCTTAAGGGGCCAATTTGCCCGGAATACCTCTCATGGACATAACGTATCTAGACACTGGCAGACCTGTGCTTTGACCTTCTTTAATCTTTGCTTAGCCATGCAGTTATGCACTAACATATTTTGAGACCCATGCCTCTATCCGTGTCTGGACTTGATGAGATCAGCAGCCTTCTCGCCAATCATGTACGCAGTGCTTTGAGTGTGAGCCCCAACCAGCAGGGGAATGATGCTGGTGTCAGCGATGCTGAGGTGACTGGTGCCGTAGACCTTAAGGTTGGAGTCGACAACACCACCGAGGTGACGGGGCATCATTGAGGCGGTACCGCAGCTGTGCCCGTTGGAAGCGTTCAGGTTCTCCTCATCCACCAGCCACTTCTTCACCTCGGCGTCAGACGCGCGGTCCTTGCCCGGGACGAGCTCGACAGGGCCGAGGGCGGAAAGAGTCTCGGACGTGGCGAAGTGGTGACGAATGTACTGCTGCATGCGAACGTGGATCTCGAGGTCGATAGGGTTGGACAACAGGCGGTAGTCAAAGACTGGGTCCCCAAAAGGGTCCTGGGGGTTAATGGTGACGGAACCACGGGAGACGGGCTTGAGGAGGATGGAGGTTCCACGAGGAGAGCCCTGGAAAGGATGCTCGAAGATGGCGGACTTGTCCGAGAGGAAAGACTTTAGGAGAACCTTATGCTGGAGAATGTAACCGGCAATCAGGGTAGGGTCAAGACCATCTGGCAAATGGTATTTGTGTGCGGCCTGGAGCCCGAGTTGAAGGCTGAGATTGGCAAAGTGGCTGCCAGTGAAGCTGCGGGCAGGGAGCAAAAGGCCACTAGAAATGGTTGGCGAGGTAAAAGGTCCAGTGTTGTAAGCCTTGTACTCGGCGAGTGCTTCGGCGCGGAAAGTCGCGTTGGTATGGATGGTCGTCGGCGTCGGCCACACATCCTTAGTGAAGTTGTACAAACTGAAAGTGTGGGAGTGGTCCTGCAAGTTCCATCCGACACCAGGAAGATCGATCAGAGACTTGATACCGGCCTCCTCTACGACCTTCTTTGGGCCAATACCAGAGAGCTGGAGGATGATCGGCGTGCGGGTCGCTGAGGCAGAGAGAATAATCTCCCTCTTGGCCTTGACGTCGAAGGTGGCATCGTCGCCGAAACGAGGCTTGACTTGAACGCTGACAGCCTTCTGGGTCAGATCCTGCTTTTCAAAGTTGACCTTGAGACCACGGTGGAGAGGCAGCAGGTGGTAGTTCTGACGAGGCTGGACGTATTGGTAATGCCCGAGACCACTGAAGCTGCGGTTGTAGGCCCTGCTGGGGTCGTATGAAGAGGGAATCCAGATCAAGCCGTAGGCGTTACCATTACCGTGCTCCCTCTGCACCACGATGCCATCGCGCTCAGACCACGCCTTCCATTCGTATTTCTGTCCCGGGTACTGGTATCCCGGCATGCTCATGTAGATGGGTGTTGTGTTGCCATAGGCCAATAGGTCAAATGTCATGCCATATTCATCCTGGATATCTTGAGGAGGGGGATTGAAAGAGTGACTCTTCTTGTAGTATGGGAAGACGCTTTCCCAGTCCCATCCTGGGTTACCCAGCAGAGACCAGTTGTCGTGATCTTCTTTGCTCCCACGGAAGAAAATTTGACCATTGACAGCAGAACCGCCACCGACCACAGCGCCATTGGGAACGGGGAAGACGCGGTTGTTGGCGCTTGGTTGTGGCACGCTGGTCAGGTTGTAGAGAAACTCAGCGGCGGGGGTGTTGAACGGCGGCATGAAGGAGTCATCCACGGCAATACGTCCATATTCGATTACCAGCACGGTTTCTGGTTCGGTCAGGGTTACGTCGACAGACATTGGCTTGAAGACGTACTCGTGGGGTCCTCTGAGAGGCGGTCAGCCACGGTCAAGCCGGCCGTTCCTCCACCGACTGAAGAATGTTAGCTCAGGTCTTGCAAGCGGCAGTGAGAAGAGGGGCTTACCAACGATGAAGTCATACTCGGGCAGTAGGTCCTTGCCGTCGCGCTTGACGATGGCGGATTGGTAAGAAGCGGGGAAAGCCTGAGCAACGGCTAAGAGTCCCCATAGACAGATCAAAGTTCGTGGCATTGTGAATAAATGACAAAGTAGCTCTTAACAGATGCGTACACCGAAAGTGACGATGGGGTACCACAGCCGTTATCTAAACATGTTCTGATGGACTGTCAACCCCACCTTCACCTTGTCGCTAAGCTCAGGACCTTACGCCTGCCTAATCCGTCATGTTGCCAAAGCCTCCAATTGTCGGGATCTCTGCTAGCGTATCGACCATAAGCACCTTGAGATTATCATAAAGCTTGGCGGGATCTGCATCCAGGCGGCGCAGGCCTATCACCAGAACAGCCTGAGCCGCCGACCCTTCAACGTGACGAGGGTCGCCCTGCTACCTCAACAATCGGTCTAAAAGTCCCCACGCTTTGTTCGTCATGAGGTAATGTGGAGATATGGCCGGATGTTTTACTACACTGGGTGGGCATTCGGGTCACTGCCCAAGATGCTTTATTTCGTTGCCACTAGGACACGGCGTTTCTGGTCACGAAAAAGAGGGGCTGACAAGAGCTTCGTTACAGATAGACACGCAGCAAGAAAATCCTGGAAAGTGAATATCAATAAGCATAGCGTCCGGGGATTCTACAAGCTTCTTGTCGGGACGGTGCCTCCATTCTCCCCATCTAACTCCGTAAACACCACCCTATCGTACCTCTGAGACAGGTACGTGTACAATGTGATGTCCGTGAGCAACGACGGCCAGCATGGAAACATTCCGCGCACACGTCAAGATCTCCGTCATTGCAGCCTGAACTGTCGTGATAATAGAGAGTCGCCTTTGGATATGTTGCAGTGACAAATTTAGCAGAAATTCCCGAACATCTATGGGATCGCTTGAGTGCTTTCTGTCGGCCTTTCTGGCTGACTTTCATCCTTTTGAGCTTGCTCGCTATCCTCCGAACCTTCATCCTCTTGAGATTGCTCGTTATCTTCTAAAAAAGCTTTCTCGATATCTTCTTCAAAAGTTTTCTCGAAACTGAAGCTTTCATCCTGTTCCCCAGAGGGGGATGGAGCTTGCTTGCTACCCTCCGAGCTTTCATCATTACTAGGTAGTACTTTCTTCGCCTTCTGGCACCTGCATCCAGGGATGACTCAAACACTGCTCCACTGTAAATCTATGCCCTGGATCAACGACCAGCATCGAGTCGATAAGTTCAAGTGCTGGGTCTCCTATCGGGTCCCAATAGGGCGACGGGTAGTCAAAGCGCGCCGATTTGATTTGTTGCGATAGGGTATATGGAAAGTCCGTGCTGTAGAGCTCATCTGAAAAAGGGGGGAACCCGCACAGGCAAATGTAAAGGATCACCCCAGCAGACCAAACGTCGACAGGGTAGCTGTATCGTCTATCACGACTTTCCGCAAGTATCTCTGGGGCAACATCTTCAGGGAACCAGTCAGTTATTGATAGGGCTCTCAACGAGTGGGAGCATATGAACGATCTTACAGCTTGGCGTTCCGCAAAGGACGTTATCCGTCTGGTCCGGCCGACTTGAAAGATTCACAGCCAGGCCGAAATCCGAAAGCTGGATAATATCCGCACTTTGCATCAGAATGTTTTCAGGTTTAATGTCTCGATGAACCCATCCTTCATTTTGCTGGCAGTATCCTTATTTAGTATGTGTGGAGTGAGTAAAGAGGTTAGAGATGTACTTACGATGTAGTCTAGAGCAGAAAACAGCTGAAGAAAAAGGCACCGTGTTTCCGCTTCAGTCAGTTTCTGCTTCATAACTATATAGTTAAAGAGTTCTCCCTGTGGTGCCAGTTCCAAAACCAGGCAAACCTGATCCATAGCGTCCGATACCAGAACTTCCACTAAATTTGTCACGTGCCGATGTCTCAAGCCCGTGAGGGCTAGGATTTCTTGAGGCGGACTACCGATGCCACCGCGTCTGTCGTTATCAACATTTACCCACCTGGTGTTTGCATCGACAGTGAATATTTTCACTGCGTAGCAAACGCCTGTGGTCTTTCTGGCGCAGGAGAATACTTCCGCGAAGTGCCCTTTGCCCAGCTTTTTCAAGATATCGTACCTTCGATGAAAACCCCTTTGATATGATAGACCGTCTAGAGCAAGTTCGAGACTGAAACCAATTTCGGGTTCCGTCATCTCAGCAGTTGGTACTTCTTCTAATTCTGCAATCTGGGCAAGCTGCTGCGGGGCTGCAACGGGCTCACGCGGGATTCCAGCATCCGCTACAGCCCCATAGTCAACTGCGATAAGGGACAGTCGGGTAGCAAGAGTCACGAGCCCCTTCCTCGAAGCTGACAGTGTCGCCCTTCTCCCAGCACGGTTGAGTGACAGAAAGGCCCCTGCATCCATGAGCAGATTCGCGATGGCCTCCTGTCCACTCAGCGCTGCCAGACTCAAAGCCGTCTCTCCCCAGCTGGTCTGTGCTGTAACGTCAGCTGCGGAGTCTATCAGCAGCCGCACAGTCTCGATACTGCCACTGGAAACGGCTGACATGAGAAGCGACCAGCCTTCCGTGCCTGTGATCGTGTTTACATTGGCACCCCCGTCAATCAGAGCTTTTACTGCAGATGCCTTGCCAGCGATAGTTGCAACATCAATCGCGGTTTCACCCGCAATGTCAGTCGCAGCGACGTCAGCCCCGAGCTGTAACAATGCCGTGATGTTATCCTCATGCCCTAGTCGAGCTGATCTGATGAGCGCGGTTTCCTTGTCGCTACCATGGCCTTCGATGTCGTTTCCTTTCCCGACAACTCTTTCCAGTCCGTTTGGCATTTGAAATGAAGACGCGAGGACTATGGCGGGGACACCCTTGGGGAATTCATTGCTCCAATATGCATATCTTTGCCGAGGCAGACTCCATGTTTGACTTGCCACGCTGACGGCGACGTCGTTCGATAGAAAGCGATTGACGGGTTCCCAGATCTCCTCGATTTGCAACGCCTGGAGTTCAGCTCCCCAGTATTTGGCGGCGTAGTCCAGAAATGGGAAGTTGGCCAATCGCTCCACCATCACGCTGTCTGATAAGGCAGGTCCTTCTTCAAAGTTGAGAAGCTGCAGGTATTCTAGGCTGATTCTCGTGAGTTCCATTCGCGGCTCATGCAGATGGCCTCCGAATGTGCGGTTGAGATAGTCCTGGGCCGTGTAGTGAACTAGCCTGACTGTCTTGGAGGTGCTGTCGACCACGATCAAACTACCGCAAACACCGGTGATAATATCTTCAGGTGGCAGGTCGTCATCTTCAAGCAAAATGGCCTCGGCATTTGGACCCTCGTCGCGGGTAAGAAGGTGGATCGCATACATATGCTGGAGCTCGTGAACATCTAGGGGTCGTCGGGCACATAGGATCCACAGAATGATTGTCTCGGCTAGTTCGACATCTTCCTCTGCCTGGGTACGAATTCTCTCGAGTGCTTGCTCATATGTTGCATCAAGCGTCTTGGGCAAAATTGACAGGGAAGAGCGAACATCTCGACGTGTGAGCTTGCGGGAGAGGAAATCCAAGTTGAGCGCTGCGAGAAGGAACCTTAAAGACATCTAGATGTCAGTAGCCAATCCAATGATCGTATAAAATTAGCATAGTGACTTACATTCCTTGAGCGCTCTGAGCGATGCTTGTGACGATGTCATCCTGCAATTTCGGGTCTGCACGGATGTGTCTCGCTAGCCTGGAGTGCGTTGGAACATTCCTCTCCAAATAAAGTCGCACATCCTCATCATTAGCTACAACATCTATACGTATGGCATCCTTGAAGAAACTCTCAAAGTTCGTCGAAGTACGTGAGGTGATTAGAAGACGAACATTACTGCCCAGCGCCTGAAGAGCACTGACTAGCTCTAAAGCCGCCGGGTCCGAAGACGCGCATTCATCAACAGCGTCTATGACAATAAAAATATTGTTGTATGATGAGAAGAGCCTTTTGAAGACTTCAGAAAGTTGTTTAAGCGTTGGACGAGTTCCTTTCAGGGCGTGTTTTGTGTAAAGCATCTTGACCTCTTCAGGCAAATGTGGATGACTTGCGCGTCGAAGAAGATATTCCAAAAGACTGGAAACTACGGCGGACTGGGTCTGGGACTCGCAATGATTGTAATCGTAGTAGACATATGCCAGAAGACTATTGGAGCCATCAAGTTGAGTCTCGACAGCATCTATGACCAGGGACCTGGTCTCATTAGCAACCAATTATACAAAAATACGTGGCGTCGTTCGTCAACATACGCTAGTCGAGTTTTTCCAGCACCAGCTATACTTTATGTCAGAACAATATCACACCGCTAGGTGATCTAGAGCAGTGTATCTTACGGATGCCAGGACACCATACAAGATTGGCATTTCCCGAACGCCAAGCATGGTAACCCTGAGTTTCAAGAAACCATTTACCGGTGCCAGGCTGGACACTTTGTAGCACGTCAGCTTGTTTGGACCGAAAGGAAGTCGAACTGATCCAGCAAAGAATTTTCTCCGCCTCTTGAACTCTGGCTTCAAGGTCCATGTCCTCGAGCTGCCTGCCGACCTGGTGAACCTTTTCGCTGGTAAGCTTGGAAATTGTCCTATCAGGTAGTGTTAGCAACTTCATCAAGTTCTTAAATTATGCCTTACAATAGATCATTTTGAAGAACAAGCATAAAATGTGATTTGAGCCTTTCTATCGTCCCAAATAACTCTAAAATATCCTTTTTATCAAAAGGCCATTTAAACGGCTGGACAAGTTTGCGAAAGCCAGCTTGAGGTGCCAGCTTTGACACGATGTCTTCCATGGTGGCCTTCATCCTCGCCAGAGGTCCGTCCGGGCCTGCCAACGCTGCCATCGCGGCAGGCTTCAGGCCGTCTTCGTTCTCGGATTCGCCCTGGTCTTCGACGCGATCATGGAGCATTTCCAAGAGACATGTCACGCTGCGCAGCTCATCTCGCAGCTTTGTGCGCTCTCTGCCGCCGTCTTTGACATCTTTGAGATACTCGGTCGCTTCGGTCGTTACTTGAATCAAGGCTATGAGGCCGGTGGCAATGCTCAGGGGGTCGCTCATGATCAGTGATTTTGGCTGCGTGCAAGCAAAAGAGCCACAGTAGGTCACTCCACTCGTAGCTCTCGCGGCAACACATAAGGTATGAAAAGAGTTGAGGCAAATATTGACGGTCGCTCATGAAAATTCTGAAATCAGGCTGTAGCCTGCCTGCCTGTCTTACCCCTGTTAACGTGTTCCGTGTCGGGTTGCCCATAATTATTAGTTTTCTGATTGGTCCTATCTCTTGATACATGCGGATCGCCTATCGCCAATTGATGGACCGTATCGATTCTGCTTTGGGTCAGCCGAACAAGGGATCGTAACACCAACCTCGACACCAGCGAGCCATAAAGAGTCACCTACCAAATGAAAGGTTGACTCTGAGATTGGAAGCCAAAAATCAGGACAGAGAATTGCCGGCTTCACATAGCACTTTTCCATGTGTTCTTAGTGGTCTGTACTGAGAAGGATGCTCTACTAGCGACTTTCTCCTGGAAGGTCAAGAGTAATCTGACGAGTTTTACAATTTGTCTGACTAACCGGGCGGCCAACTTCCTATATTTGGCTCAACAATTTGTTTTATTTCAAAAGTCTTGCTATTACTTTCGTTTCTGTTGTCGCTATTGTCCCTGCCTTCTCTATTTCTCTTCTTATCCCTACGTCGTCTATGCCCATTTCCCGCCCGGATAGCAAAACTCAATCTTCCTTACATAACCTCCCTAGGCACTCCCGTACTTTCAATTTGGCCTTGTTTAGCTCGTGGTTGCTTTCCTCGGCCCTATAATTATCCAGCAGCCACCACGGTGCGATACGTTCTAGGAGCTTCTCCAAGAACGTCGCCCGTTGCCAATGATCCTGACTGATGCTTTTGAGTGGTGTCGGCACGGCATTGTCCTCCAGACGCTTGAGGTACAGTTCGTACATCTCCTTTAGCCAATCTCCATTCTTTTCAACGTTGTTATTTAAGAACTTATCAAGAGGTGAAAGAACCCCGAAAACTCGAAATCGACAATGCCGATTTGAGGTGGGGAATCGGAGACGGGAGCGTGTCTTGGGGATAGATCGTACAAAGACATCGTCTGTTTCGGGTATTCTCAGCGTGTTTTCCAGTCCGATTCTTTTGTTGCAGATGATGTTGATTAGATCAACTGGCTCACGAGACGCTCGAGCTATCAGAATTCAGGCTTCTAGAGTTTCACACGTGGTTTTCAGATTCAGAGACTTGATGAGAGCTCGATCTGCTGAAAATGTCCGCCGTCAAAACATCTTGGGACCTAGCGACTGACCTGGGGGCTGGACTACCAGGTCAATAAGTCTCCGGTGAACAGAGACAAGAGATTTTGTTCTGGATCTTATCTGCCCCCAATCCTCGCCGGTGGATCTTGGGGACATAATCTTGACATTCGAGCGCGGCACCGTGTTCTTAAGTGTTGAGCTGGTTGAAAAATGCTTGCGGAAACAGATTCGACTTGGGATGGATTTGAGAGGTGGCAAGGGGACGATGTACATTTTCCGAATTTGGTCTTCGCTCTGCTGAATCATTGATGTTTTCTGCTGAATTGTAAGTATGCTCTAGGCTTTTATGACCCTGGGCTGGTAAGATAGGCAATCGACGTGGATGCGACTTTCCTTCGGAATGTCTGTCCTGACTCATTCACTTGGGTTATGGGAGACCCTATTGGGATAGATCGAATTCTTATTTATGAAAGTGAGGACAACCCTTACACCAGTTGGTTTCCCGGGTCTGGACCGGTCGCGACTGAGATCAATCAAGTCAATCCATGCAAGCCGGCTTGGTGACTCTAGCAGCCGTTGAAGCACAAATACGAGACGGCTCTAGAGTCTCGTAGGGACGAGGAGTGGTTTGTCACGATGGCCTCAACCATGCTAATTGGATGTCGGGGACCGACTTCGCCTCGGAGTCGGCTACAAAACCTTATTTCCAGAGATACCTCCGGCGGTGACACGTCAGCGTGCCATCCTGTCTATCGACAACTTGACTCTACCAGGAACACCTGTGATGAGACCGTCCTTCGAGACCCTACAAAAAGCTTGCTCTTACCTCAACAGGTAGTTGTCTTCACAGCAATGGCTCCAATGAATCACATTTTCGAGTCACTGGTCTTGCTGTGCAAGTCACACCAGAGCGAAGGTTCATTGAAAGTTGTTTTAGACGAGGGTCTCGCAGACTCGATGGGAGAAGATGTCGTGACTGTACACCCAAGTACCTCACAATGTAAATGTATGATAAATCGCGTATCGTCTGGCTGTTCTCTCGAAATTAAGCGCTCCAGGACTTTGCGTACTGAGAACAAGCTTTTTTTCCGCAGTAGCGGCGACTTTAATCCGTCCGCTATTGACAAGCCTATCCTTACAGGCCCCTTAGGCTCTCTTCATAACCTTGGCCTGGTCTGAGTAAAGTTTGATTACGCAATCGTTCTCCCACAACTGCTAAGAGCACATGAGGCATTCACTGGAATAATCTGATATTAGGCAAAATACCTGAACTCAATAATATGCGCGCTGTCCGTGTTGAATGAGCACAGTTAATCTAAGTTGGTGTTCTTTCGGTCCTTTGGAATCTCATAGTTAGGTCTTCAGGGGAAGCCCTAGAGGGAGCCTTGACTTGATGATGGTAGGATTACCTCGATCCGGGCACTTTCTCGACGTCTCAAGTTCCGGTCAATCATGATATAAAGACTCAATTCCCAACAGGCTGGCAGACTGGATAGATACTTCCAGCTCGCGAACCTCAGAAACTCAACACTTCTCTCTTCATCTGAAAGCTACACACATCTTACAAACAAGTCCTTCCGCAGCTGAATCATCTCATCTCGAAAATGGTCTCTTTTCGCGTTATTTCTCTCTTCCTTGCCAGCTATCTGGTTGCTGGTGCTTTTGCTGATGGGGGAAGTGGCGTTGCTGGTTGTAAGTTGGTTCGACATATACACCTGAGAGTAACGCTAATAAATCACCAGCTGCTTGTTCCAAACAAACTGACTGCTGCGCTTGTGACGTTAAGGCTGGGCAGCAGTTGACTTGCAAGGGTAAGTTCAAGCCAATCCGATTGTTTACTGAATGCCTACTTAATGATTCATCATCTTCACAGTCGCCGCAGGGCAAACCCGAGGAACCTGTCAAACTAACGGCTTTCCGTGCGCGAACTCCTGCAACTAGATTACTTGCGCTCTGGAGTGGTGGGCTCCAGTACAATGTTGGGCCGGGGAGGCAATGTGGACCTGTTATCGCGGTAGCTCTGTAGCTCCTCATGGTAGCTCTACCATGTATCCCAGAAATGAAAATCATCAGATCCACTTTCTTTGGATAAACAATGATAGTCATCCAAATTTGTGTCGAGTTTTGTGTTACCCAATGCCGTTTGTTGTTCATTCCGCCTACATGTTTAGCAGCCGAGCTGCAGACATGCTATTATGTGTAGCCCGGAAAGCAAAGCGCTGTTCTAGTACCATTCTCGTGTATGGTAGCGAAGATGAAACTACATCAGATTTGAAAACATTCCGTATCTTCCCATGGTTTAACAAATTGGAAGATAGAAAGATTGTGATGACTTTGCACTTGTTTTTGGAGGTAACATGAGTCTCAAGGGAAGGAGCCCCTAACCGAACGGCGTTGGTGGTCAGTGCTGGATGCGAGTACCCCTGGACACAAAAACCCCAGCGACCCCACGTCGTCGCATTGGGAGCTATTCCTTCCATCATCACCGGCAGCGAGACCAGCACAGTTGTGTCGAATTGCGGCACTGAATGTTCATGAAGGGTCTGGCTACTCACCGAACATGAAAACCAAACAACACTCAGTCTGCGACGAGTGCCGAAGACGAAAACTTGGTGTAAGGGCCCGCAGATTATGTGAAAGACCTGACTGACCCCTCGTTTGGCAGTGCGACGGCAAACAGCCATCCTGCTCTCAGTGTGTCTTGTCCGGCCTCGGCTGTCCAGGGTACAAGAAACACATTGTATTCCGACAACCCACGTCACCCAGTTCAGTCGCTTCAGGCCAACGAAAGACGCGGCCACGTCAAAATAGACGCCCTAACAACACGAATCAAAAGCCGATACCTCCGACTCGGGCTTTGACTTGGCCGCTCAGCGACGTGCTTTCACTATGCATACAGAACTTCGTCCCTGCCAACGAGTTGGGATCAATGTCCAGTAACTCAGAACTTTCACAGTCTAGAATATGCGGAGCATGGGTGGAAGTTCTTCGAGGACTCGTCGGAGCAGATGGAAGACATGACGGACCTTTATCCTCCGCCATCAAAGCTCTGGGGATTTCGCTGATCGCCAGAGGCCCCAGCGGGCGAGCCCCTGTTCATGAAGCCATTGCAGCGCACTCCTCAGCACTCAAGGCTGTAGGGCGCCTCATCCCACACGCCAACGATGACCCGAACAACTATGACGAGATATCCGCGGCTATCATGTGCTTATTCCTGTCAGAGGTGTGCACTTCTGGTCCCTATTTCGCTGAATACACTGACAGGAGACTGTCGCAGAAATTCTTTCCCACATCAAGCTCTGCAGCAACAGTGCACGCGAGGGGCATCGGGGAGCTCATTCAACTCCGCCCGCCTCAATTCTACGCATCAGGAACACCCCATAAGCTTTTTGTTGGATTCCGACCAATTCTAGTATGACAACACTGGACTCACCATAACGTCATGTGCGCTGATATCTCAGATTCTCCATGCCTTCGACACTCGGAAATCGACCTTTCTGGGAGCGCCTGAATGGAAAGCAGAGCCGTTTCGCCATATAGCTGAAGACCCCCTTCAGATCCTCTTGAGTGAGGCCTGCGTCATACCTTCCATCCTCGAAATGCTCGATCACCGCAGCGACAATAGCGAACCTGCCGCACGGCAAGCTGTGACCCAGTTTGTGGAAGCCATCAACCGCCTAAATGACTGGCACATGTCAGCAAAAGCGACCATGGGAGACTTCACGCTTCTAGCAGAAACCTCAACGTCCGAGGCCGGCCTTGAATTCCCGAATATCACCGTGGCTAATTCATTGAGTCACTACTGGGCGTTCTGGATCATTTGCGCCACTCAGATCAAGCGATTGACAGCACAGCACCCAGATATCTCAGACGACTATCTTCTGATAGACGGCGATCGCCCCGAGAGCGAAACGGTGACCCGAAAGGTTCTCCAACTGTCGAATTCTATCCTTGCAAGCACTGGCTATTTGATGCGAGAGGATATGAAACTCTACGGCACAGCCTCTGCCTTCTTTCCTTTGCATATTGCGAGGAGTGCGTTGGAAATGTTTGGAGGCAGTGACGAGGCCATTTGTGAGCAGTTGAGGAGGAACGCTGAGATCATATACCAACGAGGATATGAGGATGTAATATTGCATACAAGCACAATGCTGCTAAGCTGATTTTTGATTTACAATATATCGGTGCTCTTGACTACGGTGCCGAATGCATCCGCAATCTCGGCCAAAGAAACCTTCGTCAACTCCTCAGCGCCGGTTCCAGGGATATTGCGGTCACCGACCGCATCTTCAACGACAATCACGTCCCACCCCTTTTCACTGGCCTGTCGAGCGGTCGTTGAGATACAGACGTGTGCCTGCAAAGTAAGGGAAAGTTAGTCTAGTACACTCTCAAAAAGCTCCCTTCGTTGGAATCATCTCACCATGTATCCAGTCAAAACCACCTTGTTCCTTCCAGTAGCCTTCAGCAAATCTTCCAAGTTTGTACCTGTGAAGGAGCCAGGAAAGTGCTTGGTGACCACGCTTTCCCCCTCGAGCGGCTTTAGCTCCGAAAACTCCTCAGCGAGGTCGGTGCCAGGAGTAAAGATTGGCGCGCCAGCTGGCACTTCATGGACGACATGGATGACCGGGGCCTTTGCGACGCGATAATTCTCAAGCAGGGAGGCGATCTTTGCCCGAGATGCTTCGACCCCTGAGACTGCGAGCTTTCCATTTGCGTACTCGTTTTGAGCATCGATGATGACAAGGACGCTGTCACTCGTGGAGGCCGTGGACGCTGGCACGCCAAGCATGGAACGCATCGATACTGCAGACGTCATGGTAATTATTGTAAGCCGAAACTTCGAGAAGCACTGATTTGCACAAGTGATGATGTGAACAGAGAATACGGGAAATCGTCTGACAGTCCGCCTGGATTATTGCTGGCTCCTGGGTCATATTCATACAGAAATGTGCCGGGATCTCGGTCTGTGATGGTGGGCATGGGTTCCCCAGGAGTGGATCGCGCTAGGCCAGGTAAGGTAACATATTCCGCCAAGACCAGATTCCCCCACATGATGGAGAACGATCGAGGGCCTCGAATCGATAGGAGATGGCCAATCGGAAGCCACCAAAGTTTGCAATGAAGGCTGAACGGAGATGTCTTGGCGAATAATGAATCCTATTTTGGTCAAGCGCAGAGTCTCACTTGCCCAGAAACACCTACTCACCGCCGCTCGTCCTGCACCACGACGACAGTAAAGCTCATGACTCAATAACACCCATCAGCAGATTCGCAAAGAATCCATTATTATTGTTTCTAAGCTTGATAATCTCTGGCCTTTGACAACTGACAAATCTTCTTGCCGATTAGTGATGGCTCGTAAGCATGACTCCCGGTTGATGATACAAGCAAGTCATGGGGCCGCAAGCGGATCGACGTGTCCCGAGTTGACACAGGATACTGATTCAATCAGCTAACAGCAGGAGATTTCGAAGTCAAAACCAACATGATTCTCTAATCTTGAAGGTTCTCGGTAACTCTGCATGCAATCATCCGCGTCATCTTACTCCTTCACCATTACACGTGCCACCTACCTACCTCGAAAATGCTAGGCCTCAGCGGTTGGAAACCTCTCTTTTTCTATACTGCTGCGTTTCTCAATGTAGCAATCCTTCCCAAGCACCTCAAGACCGGTGAGACCAAGATCAAGGGCGCTATCAAAGCCATACCATCCGATCCAGAGTATTCTATCCCCAAGGCGATCGTCAAGACAGCTTGGGACGGCTGCAACTCCTTGCTTCTCACTTTCGGTAGAGTTCATAAAACCCTCGTCACGTTAGCGAAGTTAACCATCTGTCAGGCCTGCTCAACCTTAAGTGGGCCAAATATGGTGCTCCCGAACTAATAGAAGAGAAGCTGGCAGTTTGGATAAATGTCATTATTTCTCTGTACGTAGGCATTCCTTACTTCCAGGTCGGCATGAAGCTGCCTCTCTTTACCCTGTGGGGTGGTTCGATTCTCACTGTGATGGCCATGCTTTTGTGATAAAGGCAAAAGCTCGCTTGTCGGTTAAAACGACAAGTCACACTTTGTAAAGGGCAAAATACTCAGAGAGTAATACCAAGATCATGGCGATAAAACATAGAAACGGGCGTTTTCTCGAGTGTAAATTACTGGGTATCCACGTATAGCGAGCATCGCACTCCTAAAGTTCCATAAACATAATGCCTGGCAAGACCTTATTCTCAGAATAGTTCCCTCGTACGTGAATTATCTACATTGTAGTGATATTCAAGCTCATAATATAAGCGCAGTCAATCACAATACCAGATCCAAGACCTAAGGGCCGACAGATAGTTCTAGAGGTCAAGCGGGGGAGCTGTCACCGATGACCTCATTCGTACTCAAAAGTAAATGAAGTGACTTTAACATTCTTGTTATTTAACCCACTTTTCAGCCCATGCAAAATTGGTGTCTATTCATTGCGGGGCTACCAACCATCGGATGCTTTTGGGTTGGTAATCGGCGGCTTACATGGATTTGTCAAAACGGCCATTGCTGAATCATGGTTGCAAGTTGTAAGTCATGGGGTCGTCAGACGTGAGAAAGCTTTCTTTGAAATCTCCCAGAGGCGCCGGAGCCTGCAAAGTCCACACCCTTTAATAGTATATATAGGGGATTTCGAAACAAGTCTCCCAACGAACATGAAATTCCACAACACCATCCAGTAGCTTTCGCCTTCAGTTGAATCATCCATCAATAACCCCTGATCCCGATCCAACGACAGGCATTCATCAAACCTCCAGCAATGTCTTCCGGAACCGACTTCAAGCCGAAAGTGAGCATCACTCACATCGGCACTGCCACTGCTATCCTTGAGATCGATGGCGTGCGCTTTTTGACCGACCCTTTCTTTTCTCCAGCAGGCACCACATGGGACGTGGGCATCACTATCCTCAAGAACACCGAAGATCCCGCGCTCAAGCTTGATCAGCTTCCTCCAATCGATGCAGTGCTCCTGAGCCACGAAGACCACCCCGACAATCTCGATGAGCTGGGCCGTAGGCTACTTGACGGTCGACACGTCTTCACCACTATGGACGGAGCCAAGAATCTCACACCTCGCCCGGCGGTAGTTGGAATGAAGCCATGGGACACTGTTGAGAGACGCATCGGCGGGAAGGTCTTCCGCATCACAGCCACCCCGTGCCAGCACCTGCCCGGCGGTGAATGCATTGGCTTCTTAGTATCCTCTGATGACTTCGGGAGTGGACCGAACAATTTGCCGAGCGCAATCTACTTCACCGGCGACACGGTCTTCATCGACGAATTGACCAAAATTGCCGACAGGTTCCACGTTCCCATCGCCATGATGAATCTTGGGTTCGCCCATGTGCAGCTTCCCGACATGGAAACGCCGCTGCAGATCACCATGGACGGCAAGCAGGCGGCTCGTTTATTCCGAGAGATCAAGGCGGATCACTTGGTACCTATGCATTACGACAAGTCGTGGGGTCATTTCACTCAGTTCGAGGAAGGATTGGCTAAGGATTTCAAGGATGAGGGTGTTGATGACAAGGTCAAGTGGCTGAAACCAGGGGTTCCGGTTGAGATTATCTGACTAGCGATGTTGAAAACCTTGATGTACTAAAACGAGTAGCTGGGAGGTTTTGACGTTTGTCATCGAAAATGTTGAATTGAAGTTATCACTGAATTTTCCATCATCATTCAGGCTCATAAGACACCGAAGACCTCGCGGACTCTCATTGCCCTTAGGAATCACAAGACTCAAAAACACAGAGCATCGAAAACACAAAAGTCCATTCATCACTGGGTCAGTCTTACAAATGCCATCGTATCCCCTAACCGTGACCATGTTGATCTAACTTACGACACGAAGCTTTCAGGGCGAGGAGAACTTGTAAATAGATCATCTTTTCGCTTCAAGACAAGTGGTTCATACGAGTTTCCTCTGCGGCCTTGGCGGCGGAGTCCGTTGTCAATTTTCCCTCCTAATTTTCCCGTGGGTATATCCTCCTTCCGCATTCTGAATAGACTATTGAGCAGGGTTGATCATCCCACAAGTCTTGAATGTGCAACAGTGCTAGGTCATTATTAGTAATGTAGGCCCCTTTGTACGGAGAAGTGATAGATGTAACATCATGCAACCAAGTGAGCACCAAATGAAAAGATGAGCTCCTTGAAGTACCCAGATCAACCCGTCAATGGGTTGGTTTTCCCGTGTGAAGATGGAACATAAGGTTTGCATTCGCTCAGATTGAGGTTGCATACATCCATTATCAAGGTCCGACGTCTAGACCAGAAACATAGAAGCGAAGGATATAAGGCATTTGAGTGCGTTTAAAAAGTCGGGCTACTGCAATGCTGCACAACCTAAAGTGCAGCCACCACACAATTGTAGACCCCCAAACAACACTAGATATTTCCAAATCGCTCTAGCCTGCGTTCTAGATTTATGTGCGTTAAAGGCCGCACCATGTCCCATCCCATCTCCCACCTCCCCTCTTCACCCTCATCCCTGCCAGGCTGCCACTTAAAACCCAAGCAACCTTGCAAAAGATCCATCCGTGCCGCATTTGCCTAATCGTAAACGGGACATCAGATCAAAAAGCTTATGAGTCTGTTGTCAGCCGCAGTGAGCTAACCGCAAGAGAGATGTCAATTTCAAGACCCGCAGAGACGTTGTCACAATGATGGAATTATCAACTACAAGAATTGAAACTTTGGAGACTAGGAGAATCAAATCAGGCAACGCCGCAATCCTACGACGCAGCTAACAGCTGACTACATGATGTAGAGCCATAACGAACCTCGATGTGTAACTGATTCCTTGTCGAGTGTGTTTGCTCGGTCATCTCCAGCGAAGATAACTAAAGCGAGATAACAGGTCAGCAGACTATAAAGTTTGAAGCATTTCTCATCGTTTGCAGTGAGAGTGTCCAGCATCGCTTACACCGGACAAAGTATGTCACTGGCTGGTTTCTCTATCTTACTGGATTTCTACTTTGCCAATCACCCTCTCTTCTGTCACCGGTCGAATTCTATCTCGCCATGACTACCCTCAAACAAGTCCTCATCACCATTGCCGCCGCCGCGGTCAGCGTCCACGCCAGTCCGCTGTCCGCCGATTCCACCGCAACTGCCATCATCGGCGGCCCAGAGCCTGCTGTGACCGAGGTTTCGAAGCCGCTTAAAGGAAAGGAGCTTGAAGACTTCGTCCCATACACCCCCGAGGGAGCCATAGACGTCACCAACACGACACTAGGCTTCGAGTTAGTTAAGTTCATCGACGCTCATCCCGATGCCAACGGCTTGACCAAAAGGAGCGGCCCCTGCGGCCAGGGTGATTGCCCCGATTTCAACGCTGCCTTCGACTTCTTCTCACAGCGCTACGTGAATGCCGTGAACGGCGGCGCCGTAGTAACTTGGGGCTACTATGGCCGCTGGAACGACTGTGGCCAGTGCGGAAGGATCCAGATCAGCGGCGATGGATGCTTCGACTTCACTTCGTGCGGCCGCAAGCAGAGCATCTGCGTCGACACCGGCCACGCCAGAGCCCACCGTATCTGGCATGACGTCGGCCACAAAACATGCTACAACGCTGCTCGGGCAGATCTCGGTAACTGCGGCGTCGTTCTCACGAACTCCATAATCTGGTACCCGACCGGGGAGACTGTGTGCAACTGGTAGTTAAGCAAAACCAATACTGTCGCGACGATGGACTATTCTTATTACAGAAAGGCCATCATTTCCTGATTGCCTGGAGGAGGATGCAGGGAAGGGAGCGACAGCAATGGTGGGGTCTTTTCGTCGCCAGTGTTTGAATTATTGTGTGGTTCAACCAGTAGGGCTATTTGCTCTAAGGACCCTTGTGCGTTGAAGAGAAGTTGCTACCTGTAATCCAAATGGCTGTTGATAGGAAACAACCAACAAGAATTCGAAACACCAAAATAATCTAGCTTCAGGAGTCTCAAGCATAATCGAATACTGTGTGCCATCCTATTTACCTTATGTGACCGTCTAATTTCCTTATGTGTGCGCGGCTAATATTATCCTCGATCCCTGTGGCCTGCATTACTCCTAGGAGACGATAGTAGCGACGAGGACCACGAGGACAATAGAATCGGTAACCACGATAGTGACAGTAAGGTAGAGTAAAGCTACAGGAAAAGCAATTATTATAGTACAGAAAGAATTCGGCGGTCTCTTGATTATTATCTATCATGATAGTCTCACTCTACTTATCGATGCTTCCGGTGTTTCTTTTTTTAACGAAGCCTTGAAAAAAAAAGTGCCAAGGGACGTTAAGACGACCTTGCGAATAGGTGGTACTACTATCGTAGCATGTACTGAAAATGGATGCCAAACAATGCCTTTCGCAGTCGCCAGTGGAAGAAGTAAACACGGCTGAGTTGAATTCGAGAAAAGCTGATGTATCGTCACTTAGGTACCTAACTAACTTCCTGGCGGGTGTGGATCGTGGTAAAAACCGTGATCCTGCTTCTAGACCAGGCGTCGGCCCATATCCCGGCCCCAAAGCCGGCCACCTATGTAAGATGTCATCATAATTCCCCTATTTCTCTCAATCGCGCCTCGGCTTCACGCCCATCTCGATCGGTCCCGCATCCACCAAGGATCTCGGCAGGTCTATCGTCAAGCTTCGGATCTTTGTCCGTGCGCTCTTTCACACGTGATGGTTCCTGGCCTGATCATGCCCTTCGCCGTCTCACCCATTGGCGCGGCTCGACTTTGGCGACCCATCGAGTGCTTAGTTTCTGCTGAGCTGAACTGGACCTGCGGGAACGGAAAATGCGCCAGTCGCTGGCGTGCATTGCGACCTTAGCACGGCTACGTCGGCACCGGACTCTTCCTCGTGACCGTGTGGCTGTTAAGCGCTCCATTGGCCAATTTGAGCGAATGCGACCGTCGGAAAATCCGCCAGAACCAAGCTTCCGGCCAGTTCTGAAGACATCAGCGCATATGACTGAAATATCTCATCTGATTGTAGAGGTCGTTGGTTTTGAGGAGAGATCGTCGTTAACTTGAAAGATCTTCGTTTATGTGAAGCATTGACAGTTGTTCTAGACATGATTGAGGTGCCATCTGCGTGTTTATCCCATGTGTCGCCGAGACGGCAGCTAGCACATCCCCGCAAGGTCTTCATTGTTTTCTCCAAAACAAGCATTTGTCGCATTCCGCCATTGGGCACAAATTTCTTGGCCATGATTTGGCTTTCTCCACACACTGGGGTCGGTCCGGGGTCTGGGGTCTGGGGTACTTCGGCATTCAAAAAACAACAAGTTCAAGATCAACAGTTGGGACGAGATCTACCCGCCTTTAACTGCCTTTCACTAGATCATTTTTCTATGCGATCAAATTGTCTTGCTCGTGAGATATAATCGCGCAGTCTTCTGGAGGAACGCCATCCTTCTATTGGACCGCTTCATCTCTAAAGACAAGGACTGCCGGCGCCGGTTCTGTTGCGATGGATTTCAACGCCAACCCCGCACCCTAAGCCAATTCGGCTATCCGCTTCATCAATAATGGTACATTGTCAAGGCGAGTCCAAGCGGACGCGTATCACCAGTGGGGAAGGTTGCATTAGTCAATCAATCCGATCTGCAATTATTGGAGGAATTCACCGTCACTGGAGGACCGCGTGCCACCCCTTGCTCTCCATTCAGGAACGAGATGTCTTCATAGAAATCATGAAAAGACGGGAAGACTTGATGAACATTGTCGACACTTAAAAGGCCAAGCATTGCCTAGCTTCTCGGCATCGAGTCTTAGAAGCTCACCAGGCGATCCAGCTCCAACGTTCTGCTTCTCATTCCCCTGCCAAGACTGATCCAAGATGCACGTCTTCTCTCGACCAAGCCTCCTGGCCCTGGGCCTCGCTGCCACCGGCTCCCTGGTCTCTGCCGGACCTTGCGATATCTACTCTTCCGGCGGCACGCCCTGCATTGCGGCTCACAGCACTACCAGAGCTCTTTACAGCGCGTACTCAGGCTCGCTGTACCAGGTCAAGCGTGGCTCTGATGGCGTCACCCTCAACATCGCGCCCCTGTCTGCTGGCGGTGTTGCCAATGCTGCCGCTCAAGACACGTTCTGCTCCGGCACTACTTGCCTGATCACTATCATCTACGATCAGTCTGGAAAGGGAAACCATCTCACTCAAGCCCCGGGAGGTGCCTTCAAGGGCCCAGAGGCGGACGGCTCCGACAACCTGGCCAGTGCAATTGGTGCACCCGTCACTTTGAACGGCCAGAAGGCGTACGGCGTCTTCATCTCACCCGGCACGGGATACCGCAACAACAAGGCCAGCGGCACCGCCACCGGCGACGCGGCCGAGGGCATGTACGCCGTTCTCGACGGAACTCACTACAACGGTGGCTGCTGCTTTGACTACGGCAACGCTGAGACCAGCAGCACCGACACTGGCAACGGCCACATGGAGGCCATCTACTTCGGTGACAGCACTGTCTGGGGCACCGGTTCCGGCAGCGGTCCCTGGATCATGGCTGATCTTGAGAACGGCCTGTTCTCCGGTGTCAGCTCGGGCAACAACGCCAATGACCCGAGCATCACGACCCGCTTCACTACCGCGGTCATCAAGGGAGGACCCAACCTGTGGGCTATTCGTGGTGCGAACGCCGCTTCTGGCTCGCTGTCAACATACTACAGCGGCGTCCGCCCGACGGCGTCGGGATATAACCCCATGAAGAAGGAGGGTGCCATCATTCTCGGCATTGGCGGTGACAACAGCATCAGTGCCCAGGGAACCTTCTACGAGGGTGTAATGACCTCTGGATACCCCACTGATGCCACCGAGAACTCGGTCCAGGCCAACATCGTGGCGGCCAAGTATGCTACGTCTTCCCTCGTTAGCGGACAGGCCCTCACCGTTGGCTCTTCCTACTCTTTCCGCGTCACCACCTCCGGCTACACCGACAGATACATCGCCCACACCGGCGCCACCGTCAACACCCAGGTTGTCACCTCCTCCAGTGCCACAGCTCTCAAGCAACAGGCCAGCTGGACCGTCCGCACCGGTCTCGGTAACAGCGGCTGCTACTCTTTCGAGTCCAAGGACACTGCCGGCAGCTACATCCGCCACTACAACTTTGAGCTTCAGGTTGCTGCCAACGACGGCACCAAGCAGTTCAAGGAAGATGCTACCTTCTGCCCTCAGTCCGGCCTCAACGGCCAGGGTCTGTCCATCCGCGCCTGGGGATACCCTACTCGCTACTTCCGCCACTACAACAACGTTGGCTACGCGGCGAGCAACGGTGGTGTTCACACCTTCGACTCTGCGACTTCATTCAACGACGACGCCAGCTTCGTTGTTGCCTCTAGCTTCGCTTAAGGATTCTGTCTTGAGTACCTAGGGTTGAGATAGTTTGAGGCTGGGTTGTATTTAAGTTAAGTAAGAAATAATGATGAATGAGAATGCATTATGAAAGCACATGCAACCTAGGTGATGATCAAAAAAGTGTGATGAATATTGTCTAGCATTTGAATCTTTCTAGCAAAAGTATCATCCAGTCTTCATATGCATATTATTATGTGTAAAGGCATATCACGAAGCCACCCCAAAAACGCCTTGTTCTGTATGCCATGCTTCCAAGAAATACCGCCTGTGAGTCTTGATCCCCATTTTCCTAGCCAGCCAAAACTAATCTCAAACAGAAAGGCTCACTTAGAAGGTAGAAGCATCGGCGAAGCCAACAGCCTTAACGGGCTGGAGCTTAGCAAGCTTCGTCAACTTCTCCTTGGCTGCCTCACCGAGGCTGGCACCTGATGCACCATCCTTAGGGCGAACTTCAATACCGCAAGGGTACATGTGCTCGATCTCAACATTATCGCCGAGGTCAAACAGCTCAGACTTCTCGCGGAAGCACCAGGGCTGGCCGTTCCTCATGACCAGGTCGTGCGTGTCCCGAACATCGCGAGCGTGCAGGGAACGGTATCCACCGTCAAGAGAGACGGCAATGCAGCTGTGCCAGGGAGTGCGAGGGAAGCCCTCCGGGTTGTGCTTCTCGACAAGGAGCGGCATAGACAGCTTGACGGCACCGCTGGAAGGGTGGATGGAGAGACGGACGTAGTCGGGGCAGGTGGCGAGGATGATCTTGGTGAAGGACTCTGCGCGCATCATCATCTTCATGGCGACCTCCTTGACGACCTTGCGGTACTTGTGGCCGGAGGTGGCGTGTGCGGCGACGGGGCTGTTGCGGAGGTCGACCTCGAGGAAGCGGATGAAGCCGCGGTAGGTCATAAGGGTATCGTTGTCAGTGTCGATCATCTTGCGGACTTCCTCGAGGGCATTGCCGAATTGGGACTCGAGCTGCTTGCGGGCCTCGTCGACTTGGGTCATGTACTGCTCCTTGGTCATGGGGCCGAGGCCGTCGGTCATGCCCAGGAAGTCCATGACACGGAGGAGCTTGATGCCCTTGTAGCCCTTCTTAGCGGCCATGTCCATCAGAGTGGAGCCGTACTCCCAGGTCTCATCGTCTGAGATACCGACGACGTCTATCGAGGGTTAGTTTCAGTAGCGGAATTGAGGCTAGGGATTGAGAAAGACATACCGTTGAACACGAGACCGTCGGTGGCAATGTGGACCTCGGCGCCACCCTGGTACACCTTGCCGATGTCAACGCAGAGGGCATTAAGTCTAGCAAGCGCAAGATCTTCACCGAGATCAGGTAGAACACCAATGACCTTGTCCACACGGTTGATGCTCTTCCATGGGAAAGAAGGGATGATCATCTTGATGGGAACATTGTCACGGATGTACTGCTCAACACGGGGAAGGAACATCTTGCGTCCAATCCAGGTGTGCTCAGTCTCACCCTCGGGAAGGATGTGTCTGCCGTAAGACTGGAAGATGTCCATGATCTTGTGGGCAATCTCGGTCTCGGAGGACGCCTCGGGAGGAGGTGTGGGGATATCAGCAGGGCTCTGGAGCCTGATCTTCTCATCATTTGCAACAATGAAGTTATCTGCAACCCAATAGTTAGCTACTTGTGTGGATGCAACGTTGTTGGTGGCGCTGCTTACCTTGGCTTGAGGCGGCGTCGAGTGATAGTGCGGGGCCCGTTGTGATGCTAACGGCTCGCAGAGGGCTCTTCAGGTCGGATGGGTTGATTGGAGAGCCGGGGACGGCGTCGTCGGATGCCAAGTTGATGCTGAAAGCTCTCAGAGGACTCTGGATCTCGACTTCGGAGGAGTCAATTGGGGAACCGATCTCAAGGTCGGAGATCATGTTAATGTTGAATGCCCTCAAAGGACTCTTGAGCTTGCTGGTGTCCACAGGCGAGAAGCCAGTGTCGAGAGTTGCGAGAACGCTCTTTTGCCAGCTCAGAGGAGCTTGTACTTGAAGGAGAGGCTTGGGCTTGGGCTTGTCGCCCATGACCATCTTCTTGGGGTCGTCATGGTTGGGAGCGACGATGGGAGCGGTGACAGCCATTGTAATAGACTAAGAAAGGAAAGGATAGGAAAACAGTGGGTATATGACTCTTGAGAGACTGATGAGAGAAGCTGAATCTGAGGAAAGGAGATGCAGCGATTATTATAAGATATATGCACTGAGTCGTGGTTGTGATTGTAGTTGTTGTCTTGTTTCCTCAGGTCCAAATCAGGCGTCTGGTGATAATCTTCTTATACTTCAAAGCCAAGTTCTAGAAGGCTGAGGCCATCTCCACCTGGCTGCCAGTACGCCGAATGCATACAGCATGTTGAACGGAGACTTTCAGACCTGAGTACTGGAACAAAACGTGGCGCCCGGACTAGCCCGGCTGGACACCCCAGAGGCCCCCAAGCTGAAGGCTGAACACGTCGAACACGCACAGTCTGGGCCAAGAATTCCCCATCATTCCCCATTCGAGCTGTGGCTGACGTTCTGTCGTGCGAGAGTGGTTGCATTCTGACTTAAGGTTCAGTCAACCTCAAAATAGGAATAGGACCGGGCGCCACGTTCAAGATCGAGGCTCAGGCTTACCTTCGTGTCGGTCATGAACGGGCATACCGAGCGATTGTCACCGACGACAGCCGATCAAACTGGCTTGGCCGAATGGTATGGAACCAAGTGCGCCAGGAAAACATGCCGGCTTTCGTCATTCTGTTACGAAATATTGTGCGAGCTCTCGTATTCTGTAGTCGCTATTACCCTGCGATAGCACATGTATTCGCTGGCAGTTGGTCCCGGGGATATGGTACTTGGATTCCGTAAAGTTCACGCCTGAGAAACCGGTGGGCGGGAATTTTGTCCGTCAAGTGGGGACGGCATGTATCGTTGCACTTGGCAGAGCGGATGCGATCTTGTCGATCACTGCATGGCTTGTTTATACAGACAGTAAAATAGTGCAGCTAAAACAGATGTAGAAGCTCTGGCCATTGGCTGAGACTTCAGTTTTGCCTCAAACGGTCAAGCAGGCTCGGTATAGAAAATATTATGACTTGCATGGTAGAAAAGTATCAGCCAAGCCAAATATGTGGCTCCCTTTGTCAGGCCTCATGGCAGGGGTCTCCATCCTTGTCAGCCATGACACTTGGGGAACTTGTCCAATCACAGTCTTCCCGCTAGATCGTATGCGATCATCAGATGCCAAGGACATCAGCAGTTTACAAGGACATTCCCGCTAGGATGATACCGCCTAGCCGTAAGCGCTTGTCGTCGCTGCATGTAACTAGCCGTCGGCAACTAGTGCCAGGCCAGGCATGATCAGCCCAATTGCAAGACACGACATATTCTAGCGCTTCTTATTTGCATGTCTAGGCACCGGCAGGTTCTTAGGGCTGGAAGGGAGGGCAAATGCACCAAAATAATCTGTCCGACCACGATGGGAGTTTTTGAACGCCCCAGATTATCTGTCGTGGTTGCTGAGTCTAGGCTGGTAGAAGGCTTAGCATGGCTTCGCCGGCGTCGTGGTCGAGGCTGGTCATGGCTTGTGCCCGGTGCTTCTAAATCCGGTGCATATCGACTTTTGACAACTTACTCGCCGTGAACGGACCGGCAACTTTGCCATGAAGACGCGGGCTCGAGATGGAGTATTTTCTTTTGTTAACATTTGGCCATGCCCCCGCTCGTTGACACTGTGAATGCTTCATCAAATTCCAGCTGTCGATTTCTGACACGTCGCTTAGTCCATGCTTTCCGCGGACACTTTGACTGAATCATTCCTTTCTGCATCATCATCACAATCATAGCCAAGTTCATTACCATGGAGAACGTCGTCCGTCCACCCGCACTTGAATACGGGGCGCAAGCCGCAGATCCAGACCAGATGACTCTGACCGATAATCATTACACCCACAAGCAGACCAATATGCTGAGCAACCAAGAGTTCCAACCTTACGAGCCCGATCAGAGGCATTCACAAGGCCAGCAATCATCAAGCCATACCGATGAGGAAAAGTCTGAGGCTATCGTCGACGCGCCTGACGGAGGCTTCGTTGGTTGGTTGCAAGTCTTGTCTGCCTTCCTTCTCGTGCTGGACGGCTTTGGCTTCATTACAGCCTTTGGCGTCTTCCAATCCTTCTACGTGGAGAAGTTGCACGGCTCAACGGCGTCTGACGTTTCATGGATTGGATCCATGCAAATCTTCCTGCTGTTTCTCCTCGGTACAGTCAGCGGAAGGGCCATCGACGCGGGGTACTTTAGGACTACACTATTGACTGGATTCATCTTTCAAATCGGTGGCATCTTCGGCGCTTCTTGGTCTGACAGGTACTGGCAACTACTACTATCTCAGGGAATTGCGACGGGTATCGGCAATGGCATGCACTTCACTGCCCTCGTCTGGTTAGTCTCGCAGTACTTCACCAAGAAACGCGGCCTTGCTCTCGGCATCAGCTCCTGCGGTGCACCCATCGGAGCTGTCATTTTCACCATCATGGCACGCCAGCTAGTCCCTGCGGTGGGCATCGCGTGGACTCTCCGCGCTATGGGCTTTTTGGTGCTCTTCAACAGCGTCATTATTTTTCTCATCTCACGACCAAAGGAGACGAAGCGTTCCTCTGGGCCACTCCTTGAGCTGGCTGCCTTCAAGGAGCTACCTTATCTGCTTTTTACGATCGGCATGTTCTTCACCTTGCTCGGGGCGTACTTTGCATATTACTATGTGAGCAGGCTTGATTGGATATGCGAAATAATACTCTTTGGTGCTAACTCCTCTGCAGGTCCCCCTTTTCGGCCGCAAGAACCTTGGCCTTGATGACAACGGCGCTTTGACGATTCTGATCATCATGTCTGCTGTAGGCATCACGGGACGCCTGATTCCCCCGTACTTTGCCGACAGGTCTATCAAGCCTCTGAGGACCCTGGTCATCTCGACCCTCCTTAGCAGCCTTAACGTCTATGCATGGATCGGCGTGCACTCCACCACTGGTCTCACTGTCTGGGTCATTGCTTACGCCTTCACCGTAAATGCGGTGCAGACTCTGTTCACGGCATCCATGGGCGAGGTCACATCCGACATGTCAAAACTAGGCGTCAGAATCGGCATGGTCTTTACTGTCGTCAGCTTTGCCTGCTTGGCTGGTCCACCCATCGGTGGAAGCCTCGTTACTCTCGGAAAAGGCGACTTTCTGTACGCGCAGCTGTTTGCTGGCACGACCATGCTTGTGGGTGGACTTCTGGTTGCTCTTGCGAAAATCAAGCAGGTTGGCCAAAAGGATTTCTGGAGAATCACTCATTCGTAAACTTCTTTTACAACACGGCAGCTTGGAATCTCGTGAACGGTAGGCGTTGAGCAATCAATTTGTTTTAGGGCTGGGTTTCAATGATGCATTTACACGGGGTCTAGCATGTTTCTGGAGTTTTTGGGTGTTTCTTCCGGGCATAACACGCCCATAGATTGATATGATTTACATTTAAGGATTCACAATGATGGCGTCCCAACCCAGTCTCAACGGTCCCAAGACAATAGTTCTTCTTCGGTGATGTTCTACCGGGTATGACAACGCTGGAAAGAACTTGGCAAGCATGCAAGGTTGTAGATCATCCGTCACTCGTACACCGTCGGGTTCCTGCCTGCAACGTAGCATGGAGTGTGAATCCTGCCGCAGCAGTGAAAAGCTCATTCTTTCCAACGATGCCTTGTGATGCCTCGTGAGACTCTAGCGCATGCCTGGTATGATCATCATGCATGCCTCCAACGTTGTCAGGTCATCTGGGGCCCTTGGTGCCTTCGGGTGCTGTGATATCTGAGTCATCCTGGACTTTCCGCCCAAGACACTCGACAAGGATGTACGCTATTCCATGGTCGTACCATTACTCTATCCCGTGGGCTCAGCCCTCCAAGCTGTTTTCGGGCTGCATTGGATAAGCTCGTATCTGCGGTCTCTACAGAAACTGGATGTAACGCATATTGACTTGCGTCTGGAACGCGTCTGTCCTGCTTTACTTCTTTGGTAGTTTGCGCTTAATCCGTTCCGGGATATGCGTCCAAAGGGGATACCGTGGCGCTGGCTAACCCAACCAGTTTTGCAGTAGCTCCACGACGGTGCAGCCATTGCCACGACGCAAACGTAAGACAAACTTGGGCTTTCTTCTTCCCAACGCGTTTTTTGACCGCATTCTGAGGATGCATTCCAAGACACGCGATTCGGACCCCAGAGTCGGGTCGCCCGAGCTGAGTATAGTCTCGGTCTAAACAGTTAAATCCTTCCCTTTCGCTCCCGCGCTTGGCATGCTTAGCGCCACGAACCTACCCGATGTCCTAGAACCAGGTCGTGGACACCTCGGAAACTAATTCAGGCATGGAGTTAAATTGTGGCTTTGACGAGGTGTTCTCAGCCGCAGGCATTGCTGGCATCTAGAATATTGTCGCCGACTAGTCCGGCCCCTCCGCATCGTGCATCGGGGTTTCCTGGAATAACATAAAGGTCAGACGTTCGTGTGCCTTGAGATGCCATGGAACACCGAGTCTGACCATCATCAACTGTATTCTCTACGCAATTGGTTTGTGTCCGCTAAAGAGACTGCTTTTCTCTATCGTGTACCTAGGTCGGCACAATGAAGTTGTCGGTACCAGCGGCGCTAAGGTATGTTCATGTTCTGTGGTCCGACTCGGCTCTGGGGCCCGATTTCAATCGCCGGCGCTAACCTCCTCAGCTTCTTCGGTCTTCTTTCTGGCCTCCCACATTCCGCTGAAGCGCATTCACAAGAAGCCCGCACACAGACCTCCGTATCTTACGTAGCTGCAACCGGCTTGCCTCGATGGAGAGACTATGACCCCGCCGGAGACAAGAAGGAAGCCCCGTGGGGTAGCCGCACATGCAAGTCAAACCCGGAAAACGTGCCTGACACAGGCGTTGTTCGCAAGTATGAGTGGACGGTGGAGAGAACCTGGGCAGCCCCTGATGGATTCGGTATGTCGCATTGCGCAATCCTTCACTCGGACCGTCCCGTTTCTCACATTTTTATCGTTGCATTGCAGAACAGGAACTTCTCCTTGTGAACGGACAGTTTCCCGGGCCCCAGATTGAGGCGAATTGGGGTGACATCGTAGAAGTCACAGTGCACAATAACATCACTGGTCCGGAAGAAGGCACAGCTATCCACTGGCATGGGTGGGTTTCCCGGGCTCAGCCTGCTTTGAGAGTCTCGCTGACGACCGCATAGAATCCACCAGCAAGAGACCCCGTGGATGGACGGCGTCTCTGGCATCACTCAGTGCCCAATAGTCCCTGGGGAAAGCTTCACATACCGATGGAAGGCCTCCACCTATGGCTCAAGTTGGTGGCACGGCCATCATGCACTCCAATACGCCGGAGGGCTATGGGGGCCAATCATTATTCACGGTCCAACATTCGTCGATTACGATATTGATCTCGGCCCCATCATGCTTTCCGACTTCTACCACCGAGATTACGAAGGCATCGCAGAGGGCGCCATCTCGACTAGTACTGATGAAAACGTCACAGTCCCACATTCGGCCAACCAGCTCATCAACGGCATGAATCCGTACGATTGTTCTCTGTCGCCCTACCAGTTTCCCTCTATCACCGACGCCACATGCCACGACAATGCTCCTAAGCCACAGTTTATGTTCCAGACTGGCAAGACCCACAAGCTGCGCCTCATCAACACCGGTGCCCAGGCCATCCAAGTCTTTTCGATTGACAACCACAAGCTTATTGTGACAACGATGGACTGGACGCCTGTAGAACCATACGAGGTCGATTACATCGCTCTCGGTGTAGGTGGCAGAGCTGAGGTGCTCGTCAAGGCTACCGGTGACCCCACCTCTGCGTATGCCATGCGCATGAGATCGCGATGTGCGACCACATACGTCAACGAGACTATCGCGACTATTTTCTATGACCAGGCTTCGCCAACCGCTGTACCCGTTCCCGCTGCACTTGAAATTCCTTATGCGCTTACCAACTCATCTTGTGGCCATGTAAGTCGTACTTGAACCCGGAATTGCTATGTACATAATACTGACAGGGTGTTGCAGTATGACTTACCAAAGGTGAAGCCGCTCTTCAGAAAGCGCGTCGCGAAGCCTGAAATGACCGTCTTCTACAATGTGTCTTACAAGACAAATGCAACCGGCAACTGGTTGTGGCTGATGAACAACGTTTCCTTCCAAGCAGACTGGAGTCGACCTCTCTTACTGGAGGCAGCCGACGGGAAGACGGACTATCTCTCCCAACCGCAGCACATCCTCACAACTGTGCCTGATGATGTACGCCACGTTCGAGTCATTGTTCAAAACACATTCTCCATCCACCCTATGCATATCCATGGGGGCAACTTCCAAATCCTCGCCGAGGGCGACGGTATTTGGAACGGCTCCATCACCAACAAGAAGAACCCAGCTCGCTCCGATACGGAGCTTCTTCGTCGAAACGGCCATCTTGTTGTTCAATTCGACACGAAGAACCCCGGTACCTGGAGTTTTCACTGTCATACTGCTTGGCATGCCAGCCCAGGTCTTATTGCCAACTTCCTGGTGAAGCCCAAGGCGGTACAGGAGTACGACATTCCAACGGCTGTCCGAGATGGATGCGTGGCTTGGAACAAGTATCAAAGCTCCGGGGGAGAAAATGCTTTGCCGTTTGACAGTGGACTCCGGAAGAAATCTTTGTCATGATCCTACATTTTTTGATGGCTAAAGGTTTCCTACGGCGGCGCGTACATTGGAAGGAGTTTGGCGTTTTGAGCGATGTCTTGCGGCCCAAGAGCTGACTATGATCGTAATCATACTTTGTTGCCAACTAAATATTATGAAACCTAAGTCGATCTCGTCACTCAATCCGCACCTCGCGCTCCGCAACATTTTGAAGCCATGTTGCAAGTTTGCCCTCGTCGGGCACGCTAAAGTGCAACACTCCAACCTTTTCTACCTTGGAGAGAAGGAAACCGCAATACTGGTTAGTGTTAAAGGCTGTGTTGAGACCGGTAGAATCATGCGTAAAGAATTTATTTCTCACCCGCTGAGGGATGATCGTCAAGACCTGGCCTTACAAAAAGAAATAAGATGTCTTGTTCAAGGTAAGTATAGTCTAGCAGTATTTACAGAATATGCTTTTCCCAGAATGTTCAGAAGAGAAACAGGTACCAAAAAAGACAGTCAGGGAGATGCAAAAAGGGGAAAGGTCCAGGAGAGTCCAGAAAAGAAAGAAACGTGCTTCCCGCGTCCTCAGATCTGCCCGTAGAGCTGCATCTCGTGGATAATGGCATCCCGGTACGCAATCATTCCGCGCGTCCTCGGGTGGAACGTTTTGATCTGGCGCGTGGGAACCCACCAGTCGATGTCCTGGATGGTCATGTTGCCACCGCCCAGAGCACGGTTCGTAGCATTGAACCTCGCGGCCGCCGGGCCGCTAGGGTCCTCGGCGACGGCTTCGGCCATGCGGCACTGCCACAACTTCCATGGGTCGCCTCCAGACGATCCCGTCACGCCTTCGCACTCGTTGGCATCCGGCAGAGTGGCGTTGCCCGCCTGGATGAGTGCCTTCGCCTCGGCCTCGTCCTGAGCTCGGGACCGGACCGTCGCAGCGGATTCTGCATCGAAGTCCTTCCAGCCGCTGAGAAAGAACCATGTGTCCTCCCGGTTCTCGTCCGGCTCGTGGACGTCGTCGCTGGAGCACCAGCTGTGGTCGGTCCCGTCCCTCGGGTCGAACGAGTTTGCGATGTTGATGAAGCGCACCGCGGTCTCACCCCACTCCTCGTTGGCCTCGTCGACCGCCTCGCTGATGGCGGTGTTCGTCCGGTAGACGAGTTCGAACATTTCGCTGCGCAGCTTCTTGGTGAGGTACACGATGCGGTTGAGGGGCCAGTCGGAGGAAGGCTTGTATCCGCCCCACCAGTAGTGGAACGAGGAGTCCTTGCAGTCCTCTGTCAATGTGTTGAAGAAGACCGGGTAGCCGGCGACGTATAGCATGATGTCGGTCTCAGCGTCGTGGCCCTTCTGCAGGACCTTTGTATAAGCGGCCTTGAGCTTTGCCTTGAAGCCGTCGCCGCCCTCATCCTGGATCATGGCGAAGGCCTTCTCCTGGGCCTCCTCGCAGTTCTTTCGGTTCGTCGATCCCAGTCTAGCCGTGTTCGGGGTGATGATGCAGTACCATACCAGGTCCGAGAAGCCGAGGTCGTTACCGCCGATAGTGAGCGTGACGACGTTGGTGTCCGCGGCCGTACTCCACGCATCGAGCTTCTGCATCAACTCGACCGTGGTGTCGCCGGAGCAAGACTTGGGGCCCTCCCACGCGATAGAATCGTCGTTGAGCCACTTGTAGATGAGATCGCCGTAGTTGTTAGATCCGACACGGCACGCGTCGCCCGACGTCGTCCCCGTGCCCATGCCGCTGGCGTACGAGTCGCCAAAGTGCGCGTAGCCGGCCACACGTGTTCTCGCGCTCTCGTCGTCACCGTCCCAGACGACGTAGTCGGCCATGGGGCACGAGGTGATCACTTGTCTCTTCGTGCCGCCTCCGCTGGCTGGCGGGCCCGTGGTGGCGGGGTAGGGGATCACCTTGTTGCAGCGCTTGCTGAAGAAGATGCCGGCGGCGACGAACGAGTACGTGTCGGCATTGTTCTCGCTGTAGTCCGCGGGGCATATACCCTCGACAATTACGCCGTCTGAGTTGGTGGTTTGGCAGATGATCTTGTCAGGGGTGGGCAGGGTTCCTGATTTCTTGGGCTTTGCCTTGTATGAGACGCAGGACCTGTCGAAGGTTCCCCTTGCGAGTGCAGTACAGCCGTTGTAGCCGTAAGCCACGTCGAGAGCGCTGATCACAGTGTATCGTCAGTAAGGTCCCACGGGAATGGTGAGAGGTGGTTTTGAGAGGTGAGCTACATACCCTGATTCTTTGTTCACGCCGTAAGATGTATGGGTCATCTCGTGGAGTAAGATGCCAGACTTGGCCCGCTGCGCATAGCGAAGATCCATGACATCGTTATCGCAGGCGTCCAGCGTCGCTGAGGTCGAATCGCTCAGGAAACCGCCGTTGTCTTCGAAGAACGCGTCGCAAACGTTCATTACCTGCAAGTTATCGTTCATCTGGCGATCCCCATTTGCATCAGTAAATCAGTCCAAACTATTCGTCGTAAGGGAGTACCCACGGAAGCCCACCAGCCTTTCTTCCAGCACCCTTCTTTGGTTTCGTCGCAGGTTACCGTGACGGTAAACTCTGGCGATCTACCACTGAGGACTAGAAGGTGAACATGCCCACGTCAGTACCTGCACAGACCGCCACAAGCTAACATCGGCTGACTCTCATCAGATGTGGATAGTCTACTCACTGTCTGCCATGCGACGATAGCGCTCCTTGACCTTGTCACCAAAGTCGTCCTGGTCTCGAAGACTCTGGGAGAAGAAGTGGTTGTAGTAGTCGCCGAATTGCGGGTCGCTGTACGCTTCGATGGCCATCGCATACGCCCACGACATCTCGGTGCGGATGATAGTCTTTCTCTCATCACTACACTCACCTTGGCCCGTGGCAAAGTTAACGGGCACCATGACGGGAGGGTCCGCTCGTGCAAGAAGCTGATGCGAGCCGCTGCCCTTGATGCCGGCATCGACTGGTGATGCGTCAACGGCAACATGGGAGGCGACGAGCACAAAGATTGCGGGAAGGAGTGACAAGAGATGCATGCTGGAGAGATTCTTCAGGCACTGAACGATTGTGGGAAACTGAACGAGAGATAGGACGACCAGTTGATGCTGGCCTCTTGCCTTGGATCTGTGACTTGGAAAGAGAATTACCTGGGCATTAAGAGAGACTTATATACGCTTCTAGATCGCAACTGGATCAACCAATACTTCAGAAACTCTTGTACAGTTCCCGTCTTTCCTCTATCTGTCTGCCTAACTGACATCCACTTCACGAGCCTTCGCGAAGCTGATATCCAGATGGCGCAGTAAACTGACAAAACGCCGTAGACCCCAACTGTAGCTAGCCATGCTATAATTAGGATAATACGCAGCATTCCTCAACTCAACTCTCAACTTGCTACACATGGCACCTCCAGAAGCCGGCATCTCGACACAGGAGTGGGCTGAGGGAGTTGCCGCAGATCCTAACAAGATCAGGAAGTATGGAATCAAGTGGGAAGTAACTTAGCAATTTGCAATTTAACTTGCATAACCATGTGAGAATAATTAAATTTTGGGGGCGTGACGGGATCCAAGGCTCTTGGCCAAGACAAGGCCAACATGGGTTGCCTGGCCTGAGAGTTGTATTCGGGCACTCGTAACTCTCTTCTCAACCCTGTCAATCCTCACGTTGAGCAAAACATCATGATATGTTTTGGCGAGACAATACCGCAAATGTTCACAACCTCCGGGCGCTTACTGTGGGGGAGTAATCGTGGGGTTGTATTGGCCGAGGGCGGGCCGGGAGCCAAGGCCACTTCTTCCAGCCATTCTATTCAGCCAGTCAGCACTAGAATATGCATCACACGACGATCGGCAGAACAAGCTCCATCTAAACGCGGGATGTATTGGTCAGAGCCGGGTTTCGTTCCTGAGAAAATGCCGCGCATAGCCATCCCGCCTCGCCGAAGGATTCGGGCTGTACATGCGGACGGGAGGCGCGGGGCGGCCAACGCAGGTGCCGGGTAAGGCTGACATTGAAACAAAGGGGGAGATGAGGGGAGCGGAGGGAGCAAACGGCGCAGCGGCAGTTCAACATAAACCTCCACTCGCTCTCAGCAGCAATCTCTTGATAACACGAACTTGAACACCCCATAATCGCACACGTCCGGTCCTTTTCCGCTGCTTTACCTTCCGAACCAAGACATATCCAGCCCATCTATACTCAATATGGCAGTCCCGAACTGGCTCAGAATGTGCGTTACTTCTCCAAACCCCAGGTTCCTGGGCACAAGTTGGCGACTCTGACTCGGCGAACTTCGCATTTTAGTGTATTCCTGCTGCTAACCTTCGCATCGTTCCTGCCTCAGCTCCAACGGTTGTGGTCGCGTCGTGACAGCTCAGGAGTCAGCCTCTACTACGTACTCTTCAACCTCTTAGTCGCGACTGAGCTACTCACGATCGACCTTACCCTTTTGACGGGCGCCGAAGACAGCAATGTGTTCGTGCATCAGCCCGCATCCCTCGGCGACTGGTTGAACCTCGCCCAGTTTGCCATCGTTTGGGCTCTATGGGCGCTGATGTACGCATATCCCTCGACGCTGCACAACCATCAGGTTGCTAACAAAGAACTTGGACACCACAGTCTCGTTTCATGCATCGTGTTTTATCCAAGCGATGAACCTCACGGCGTGCCCGCCAAAGTCTCTGCCATCTACACGACCTACCTACTCATCTCTCTCGTCCCCCTCATCATTGTCACAGCCAGCCCATCATCTAGGGAAGGCCGCAGGTGGTTTGACGCTCTGTTCCTCGGTTTCCACACCTACTTTCTGAACCCGATCATCACGATCTTTGGCATGGCTGCTCTATATGCGGAAGCACGTACAATTCGTGCGCGCCCTGAAGACTCAGGACTCGGTTCGCTGAGCATTGTGGGCCTCGCGGCGCAGGCGGTTGTTTTCTTCATCGTGGGAGTTGGGTGGCCTGGTCGCTTGGTCTGGCCCTTTCCGATTTTCGGGAGGGCGTTCCTCGCCTGGATTCAGATGGTCGGGTTTGTGCTCATCGACTACATTATCTTCGTGATCGCTCAGGCGGATCTTTTGTACATTGCCATGCAGCACAATGGATGGAATGCAGGTGTTCAAGGCGCAAACGGCGAAAGAGAGCCTTTGATCTGAAGTCGCGGGGGCTTCCTAAATATCTCAATTTAGGCCAAATTGCAGGGCGCGAACACGAATGAACATATTTTACTCTAATCGCATTTCTAGGCAGATTGAGAATCTGTTGGCAAGGATTTCCACAGGCAATGCGCTAAAATTCCAAGATCTGACTACCTGTAACTACTCGATTATCGCGAACTCGACTGGCTTCGCGCTAGAAACTACCAGCTTCGGCCGACCTCCATTATCAGATGGCTCGGTGACATTTCCAGCTTCATAACAAGGCAGCTTAATCACCGTCTCTGCATGATCCTCCATGATTCCCCAATCCCACCAATCAACTGCAGCCTCGTCAAAAGTGCAGCGAAAGACGTCACCTGGGGCCATATCCCGAGGCAACTCCGTGTCATCTCCAGAGAGGGTCTGGGTCGTTGTCCAGGTCTCCCCCGGCCGTAAGCTCGTGAAGTGCTTGTGCTGCCCAACACGAACGGAAACGTCAGGCTCGTCGACGATCATGAAACCAGCGCTGGTCTCTTCGAGCTCGCAGGATTCCCAGGTACCGCTCTCAGCACTGCTACCGCCTGGAGCATCACCTCGCCGACGGCGATAAATTTGAAATCCTCCAGGCTGTTGCTCAGACACCAGAGATAACCAATGGAATGTCACAGGCCGGTCGCCACTCCGCTCAACGCCTTCGTACTTGATCACGATTTCGACGTCGAAGTATCCACGGCCTCGCAGCGTGGGCGGACACCGAAGTGACGCCGAGAACATTGGCGCCCCGGGACTGCTGCAACATTAGACGCCTGGCTCGTGTAAAAAGACCATGCATAAATAATCCTGGATACTCACATTCGATCAGAGGGGGCCAGCGGCACAGTCGATTCCGCCTTGCGGCGAGCTGCTGCCTGCTGCATCATTCGCCACCTCTGCTCCTCCGTGTTCGCCGCCACGAATCCCACCTGTGCTTCTCTGGCCGCACGTTCAGGCCAGGCTACCTCCTCTGCCACTGCCATGAAGGTGAGGAGTGCTCCCCCGGGCATGATCAGCTGGGGCTGTCCTTGCCCCTTTTTGGCACGCGGTCGCGACCTGAGTCCTGATGGAAGCAGCGTCCCAGCCTTCATCTCAAGTCCTACATTGTCTTGGATGCTGCCCCAGGCCCACATACCGATCTCAGCTCCTGGAAAGACCAGCGAGTACGTCTCACCTGCCTTCAGTACGCGATAGTATCGCTCAGGGAGATCCAGTCTGGTCGGGCTCGTCTGCTCTCCGGGCCCGAGTTCAAATAGGTTACCTTGATGTTGTCCGGATACGACCAAGCTGTCGATAGTTTGCTCTGATAATGCTACGAGACGCGACTTGTTGTCCACGAGTACCCTTTCGAAGGTGCCGTTATCCTTGTGGCGCACGAGAATGCACCCGTTCTCGGCAAACGCGTTGGTGTACATGGGCCAGTGGAAGATACAACGTCTGCCCTTGCCGTCATCGTCTGCGGTGCGGTGTATGGTGCTCATGATTGGGTACGGCGTGGTGAGCGAAAGGCGCTGGCTGGCTTCAAGTTTCCAGATTAAGCGTGGAGCGCTGGGTCTAAAATCATTGCGGTCGACATTAGATCTGTGAATGGATGTCCGTAACTCAGAAGGGAATGTGATTACTTTCGATCCTTCATCCCTATGGACACAAATGAACCCACATCCGATCTTGTCGTCTGCGCCATCGCGAAAGAAGCTTGCGGATCGAAAAAAACGTAATGATTGCAAAGACTTCACCAAGAATAATGAGGTGTTAATGCTTGAAGTCAAATAGATCGGTGGTCAGAGGAGAGTCAGCCTGCATTAAGTAGTTACAGGTAAGCAGATCAATCTGGACTCGCTTATTGCGATACCAAAAGTTCCATAAACAGATAGAAGTCGATAAGTAAATATGACGTATTATCACGTACTAATGCACCAGTCGACTGTTTATTTTCAGCAAACATCCAAATCAAAATATCTATTGTTTTTTTGCGGTGAGGATTAAAGAAAGAAGACGTGCTCATATTCGTTAAGTCTCGCCGTGACATGCCTGTTCCCTGCCCGAGCCTTGGTGGTCATGTTGCGGCTACATAGGAGCGGGTGTGTAGGGCCAGCCTCATGGATGACATACATAATGTCGCCGAAATATGGTCGTTGTAGTCATCCGTTCCAGGAGGTATTCAGAAGAAGAACATATTCCATCCCTGCTTCAAGCCGCCTACCTAGGGGCTTCCCAGTAGACGGACTGATCGAGTTTTCCGGCCGACCAAGGCACCAATTTTTGGCCGATGCGATGCACTTTGCGGTTAACGATTCAACGATTTGTGGCAATAGCAAACTGAAAGTTGAATAAATTGGGAAAAGAGAAAAGTTACTTAGTTACCGATGACTCTAAATTGTGCAATTCACTCGGGCTTTCCAGCGACATAATTGGCGGATCATAACTGTGCGATGCGAGAAAAATACTCAACATCGCCAATCTTTACATTACTCATCACTAGTAGAATTCGCCGCCACGCCTGGCCTTACTCATGCTCGGAAGAATGACTTCGTAGTCTATCCAACTCCATCACTCAACGCGATCTTATCAATTCTTATTTATTTATTTATTTCAACCCGTCAATTTCGACCCAAGATGTGGGCAGTCCCCAGATTTCCTCGTCCTGCATGGTGACCACCCTCATTTATATTCCACCTGAGGTTACCACCCCCATAGCTTTCATTCCAATGGTCTGACATCCTAGTCGCAAGAACGCATGATAAAATGCCAGTTCCCATCCGTCAACGTTACTGACGTAGTTAATGCGCTTAGTACTACACGAATGCCATTGCATTATATGCCTCATTCAAATTGATCAAACATAAATATTTTGCTCTAGTATGCCTCTAAACAGCCTCTTTTGGTGGATTACTGTGAACATACCTTATATTTATAGCCAATTTCCCAGGTACATAAGGTTGTGACGAAGGGAAAGTTATCTCTAGTAAAGAATAACAAATTTCTGTGTCCGAGAAGTATACAGTAAGCTGTACCATTCACTTGTCCATCTTCCCTTCCCCTATATACCCCGGGCAGCCCGACGCATGGCATCATCCAGGCCCATGGTTTCAGAATGATACTGGCGTTCCTCATCCCGAGGATCGTAGGTCAAATAGGCATTCTGACTCACAGAATAGCCTTTCAATAAGTCTATGATCGGTTGCCAAAATGCCAGGTGCTGATATGCTGTAGAATGAACTCTAAACGAGTGCAAGTCTTCTCTGGTCTCTTCTAGTCGGATCAAGAGGGCCGTTACCCGCAAGATGTTTCTCCACTCCACTGCTAGGTCACAGTCTTCATATTTCGAGGCGAGACTGGCACCTGACAGATGCCTCCTTTTCCAAGATTCCATTCCTGGAGTCAAGCTTTGTAATCGGACAAGGGCAATCGATAGTGCCGATTGTCCCCCCATGATGTGCCCAATTGCGTTCATTATCTCTGCTTTGATGTGTATATTGCGTTGCATGCTGTGTAGCCGAGCACTGAATACCTTGACAGCCTTGGTGGAAAGAGGCCCATGTCGAGGAATGCGACAATCCAAGGCAGCACCGCGCTTCATAAGATGACCAAGTCCTTCAAAATCGCCGTAAAGTGCTGCAACCATAACCGCTGTGACACCTTCCGCATGAAGAACATCGGCGTTAGCACCAAACCTGAGAAGACGTTCTATCGCATAACCTTGTGAAAGATGCAAATTGGAACACGGTCTCTTGTCTAGAGCCATACCTCCATGTAGTTCGACCTACACCCTTTTGGTGCATGAGTCGGAACATCTCAACGTCGTGTTTCTCGATGAATACAAGAAACGGGGGTAGTTCGCCATCTGGATCTGCGAAAATGTCTGCACCCTTCTGGATGAGCTATCTAGCCAACGTTCTCAAATCGGTTTGGAGACTGAGTTTCAGAGGCGTCGGTAACCGCAAACTCGGTGATCCGTCGACGCCCGCTCCTCTCTGCCTCAGTAGTTCGATAGCTTGTTCTTCGTAACGATGATCAATTAAAGTATGCAGAAGGGTTCTCCCATTTTCCAAGATGGCGTCAACTCCCGGGAGATGGTGGGCTAGCAACATGATCGCTTCAACGCAACGGCACGTCCTCAATCTTTCCGCCGTTTCGCCATCATGTCGTCTGATGAGTTGCAAGATAGCTGATTGAGAGACGTGACCGAGAGTACTGTGTGGGAGAGTTGGGTCTTGTGCACATTCATACCGCGAGCCCGGACGAAATGGCAGGCATCCCCTCTCAACCAGCAGATCAATGTCGTCCAGGAGAAGTTGCCTCTCTGATCGAAGAAGATAGCGCGGTAGTAGAAGCCCTAGGCTAGAGCCAGATAGGCAGAAGATGATTGGATCGTTCTCTCCAAGATCATTTGTCCGTTGTCTTTGATCTCGTGCCAGCTGCAAGGCGGTATTCACAACTTCTGCCAATTCAACTTTGTTCTGCGTCCGAAGAAGGTGTCTGAATAGCAAACCGTGATTATTCCGTATTGCCCAATCTGTCGCTGACTTTGCTGATTCGGCTATCCACGGGAGAGAACGTGCCACCGAGGGAATATTTCCGCTAACTAGCAGAGCCCACAGATCGTATACGCCTTGATCTATACCCTCGGAGAATACCTTGGTAGCAGATATCCAGTTATTATTTGCGTAGGCGAGAAATATGCGTATATCTTCGTTGACCTGAAACCTATGGCTTTGTAGGTTTGAGGTAAGCTTCTCTAAGTCGATTCCTGACTTGCTGATGCGATGTTCCCTGTACAAAATGGTAAAGACCCTCTTAGAGATCTTCTTCGACCCTAGCACAGAGTCTGATATTACCCCAGGAACATTCGAGAACGAAACCTTCTGGGCTGTAGAAAGTCGATTTTCGAAGACGGTATAGTTGAGGTAGGTGACACATACAGCGCCAAACGTCACCTCCGCGTCCTGGAAGTCGAAGTGAAACGGAGCGGCAGACGCTATCGCGGGCGGACGCAGAAGGTGTAGTAAGGCACTGTGGTGTATGAATCTCACGCATAGATCTTCCTCATCGATATCTAGAAGGCTTCCCCCATAAAATGCAGCTAGGCGTAGCCCGGACCCAACAAGGGTCGATGAGTTCCATGCCACGATGCCAGGCTCCACGTTGACAGCTACGCGAAGTTCGTCGATAGACATGGCTGGATCCGCTGCGGCGACCAGTTGGAAAATCCGGGAGCCATATTTACAATCGGTGGTTCGCAGCAGAGCTTGGTCGAAGGCTTCGGGTAAATTCCGAGGTAGATTATTCAGAATGCCTAGTATTTCTTCGTCGGACCGCAACTCTTGTGTATACTTTGGGCATATTGCTTCAAGCTGGAGAGAGAGCCAAAGGAACATTCCTTGTGACCCCACTAACAGCTGTTCGATCGCGAGGTTCTCCAGCTTAGGCGAGAGTGGTCTTATCAACTTCCATCTCTCTATATCTGCCGAAATGAAGCTTCGCATGTCTTCAGATCTATCCACACCCCCGTTAGAAAGTGTCCAATTGATTGTGGTAAAGGATGCCGCAACAACTTTGCATGTTGACGTTGGCCGGGATGAGCAACACAAGAGAACGTGTCTTCCATGAGAACCTTCAGATGTGAAAACAGCTCTTCTATCTCTTCCACTGGAGCTTCATCGAGACCATCCAGTACGAATATCCCTTTCCAATTTCTGGGAGTTATCTGTACGAGGAGTCTGGCAATGAAATCAGGACCAATAGAGCGACTAATGTCCTCGTTATCCAGAAAATGTTCCGAGAGGGGCGCAATAGCGTTGTATCTGATGACTTGAAAGGCCAGGCTTCCAAGTATATTAGCGGCGACGAGTGTCTTGTGATTCGCGTTCTTGCAGAAGAAATAGGATACCGTTCTCAGCTGGGAATTCGTTGGTGGAACTGCCGAAATCCTCAATTAGCAATTGAACACGTGAAATATCCACTCTGATATGCTGGCAATAATTAGTTACTGCTTTCCATGGATTGTGCATCCCCCAGAGACAGATGCCCTATGATAGAGGCCATTGTAAATGTCTTCCCGGAGCCCAGATTGCCTTGCAGCCACATAGTCGCTGAGACGGGACATTGCAACCACGATTGATAGGGAGTGACTTTTAAAATCCAAGTCGACGTGCCTCGTTTCCGCTCTCTTCGCCAAATATCGTCAAATTCTGGCTGATCAGAACAAATGGATGTCAATAAGTGCAACCTCTGGGCTTCTCTCTGCCGCCGGGCACTGTCTCGAGAGAGAGCGACTTGGAGACGATTGAATCGGTGTAGACTGGCCGACTGCTCGGTCAGATTTGACTTAGCAACCATCACAGCGGTACGCTTCTTGATGAGTTGACCCCAGTCCAAGAGTTCTTTCTCTAGTGGCTTGAATGTGGACTCAAACGTCGAGCCGAAGGAGGATGCCACCTGGGAGACAAAGGACTTTCGTGTATTTGCAACAACCAACTTGCAGATGTGTACAATGGTGATGATATATTCGCACATATAGACTTGTGTCTGTTGACACTGTGGAAACAGCATCGCAAAGTCTTGATTTAGCGACATGGATCGCCCAAGTCGCATCAGTAGGGCCGAGACAGCGTCGAAATAAGACAACGCGGCAACCGATACCTTAGTAAACGGTCAGTAATTGTCCCAACTCTGCTGCCGGAAATGTCCATCCCGGGAAACATCTAGGAGACAGCGTGAACCCACATCCAAGGCCAGTCTAACAGCAGCCCAGACCCCTGATGCTAGCATATTCTGAGCACCTCCAATGAGGACATCGCCTATGGGCGCAAACTGCTGTATCCGCTCCAACATAGGCAGAAGCCGTGTGGCATGTGGCCGCCAAGACCTGTGGCGGCGAGCGCCGTCCTGATTGATTTCTTCTGTGAGCTGGACGATCTCAGACGCCGACGGAGGTTTTCGAGTTTGAAGGTTCTTGAACCGAACATGCTTATCTTTGTCACTGCTGAGTGACAAGCTGAACTAGAGATAGCTTGTGCTAGTCTGATCTCTGGCTTTAGCCTCGCCGCCGCTGTGAGGGCTGAGGACACGTTCTTCTTGGAGTTGGCGTTCTCCATATTGCAATACAAGCGCTCGCCTGCAGCCTCGAGCACGGCTCCCAGCTGAGATTACCTGTTCCGATGTTTCGCGTGTCTCAGATTGGCTATGAGACTAAGGTGTATAGAATGATGGTCGCATGTGTAGTGCTGTTGCCAGTAAAAACAAGCTGAAGGTGACAGAGCCTGATGGGAGAACTAGATGGAGAGTGCATGAGGAAATAGGTCAGCCCCCGCCGGATACCTATGGTCCCGGGTTCATTCGGATATATAATTCTTCCACCTGTATTGGCGTTCCACCTGTGTTGGGAGTCACGCGTCCAGACACGCAAGTGACAATCAGGCTGGCGCTACAATCCATGTCCGATGTAAGACTTGGCAGTGAGAGTATTGGCTACGAAGGAATTGAACTGAGGGATCGCGCATGCCTTATGCAGTTAAGCCCAAGCAGTACTAGTGCAGAAAGCCTTTGCAGATACCTGCACAAATAGTGGCATCGGGGAGTAAATTTTGAGATGGCTTCGTATTGGTCATAATTGGTTCTTAATCAGATTGGTCAGTGATAATGATGCTACAACACAATCCATATGGTCATTATCGCCAAACTTGACATCAATCGGACCTTGATGTCAATCATCTTCGCTAAGATTCGCCGTCAGATCTAGGTTGAAATATTGAGGAAAGTCTGTTCAAGTGAGAAACGATCAACGGGTTGTCATACAAGTGTTCTGACTTGCAGCAAGCCCTGCAAGACAGCTGACGACGCACTCACGTAAGTAGAACATGCATGCACAATGCATGAGCGCTACTGAGAGCTGTTTGTATGATATCTGAGTCCATCAAGTCTAGGTCAAATACGAAGAGATGACCATCTCTCCGTACCCTCATAAACACTGGGATGGATCATTCAGTTCGCATGGTCCAGGTCTTATTGAAAATGAGGGACCTGCGCTGCTTCTGATTCACTTCGAGCTGACTTTGTCTTTCCGACTTTACATCATCATGGTGTTCTCTTGGAGGACAATCGAACTGGCAGAAGTCTTCACATATTCAGGCGCCTTCAGCCGGTTTTTAGACGGCCTCTTGGCGCCGTGATACTGGTGGACTCTGAACAACACGATCCAGTTGCCAACCAGAGCTTCGGGCCCCCGGGCCTCTTTGACGCCCGAGAGAAATCATGCAATGCATGAAGCCGCATCATCACACATCTATTGAGTTGCGCGGAGATTGTTTCTTGGCCGGGCGGAGGTTTTAGTCGGGCTACCTCCAGTTGCGGAGTTTGCTTGTGTATTATAGAAAGTGGAAACCAGTTTGCGACTCACAAACTCTGCTCCGCCACAGATTCTACCACAGGGGCGACACACTATGTTGTAAGATAAAAACTCGGAAGCCAGGCATGGTGTGGTGAAATCATGTCCGTAACCTCTCCAATCAAACTCTTCCCTATACCCTGGGTTCTTCTTCATCATGGTTCGTGTCGCGATTGCGGGTGGTACCGGAAGTATGTTCTCTTCATACCAATCTGTCAAAAGTTGCTAATCTAAATTTTGCAGATGTTTCTGCCGAAATAGTTCACATTCTCGGTCAGTCCGGAAAACACGAGGTCGAAGTTTTGACCCGCTCAGTACGTTGAACCTTCGCCTGATGCTTCAGCCCGCCTGGCTCATTTCTCACTATATCTTACCACAGAATACGCCCAGGCATGCCGTTAAAGGCGTCAAATTTGTCCAAGTAGACTATGGAGATAGAGATGATCTTCGAAGCAAACTTATAGGGGTGCATACCGTACTCTGTTTCATTGGAGGCATTGAGATGCAGAAGCGCATCATCGACATTTGCGTCGAAGCCAACGTCAAGCGCTTCGCTCCAAACGAATGGGCAAGGTAAGTCAAAACAGTCTGTGTTCAGGAGCTACAGCTCATGTTTCAATAAGTCGGAGCTACTCTGGCTCGTTTTCCTTCGAAGACAAAGACATAGTCTATAAGTACCTGAAAGAAATCAACCGCGAAAAGAACGTATGAGCCACAGTATAGCAAATCTGTAATTTCCATGACTGACATTGTTAGATTCTTGAATTTTGCCTGTTCCAGCCAGGCCTTTTCATGAATGACCTAAGCTTTCCTCGTCCGTCGACTGTTCGTCATGCGCTTTATAACTCCATGTTCGACGTTGAGAACCGCCGAGCGCTCGTACCAGAAAAGGGCGATTATCGCCTCACAATGACGACCATCCAGGATCTTGGCAGAGTTGTTGATGCTGCCTTAGCGTACGAAAGTGCTTGGCCCGAGGTTGGGGGAATTTCCGGATCCTCATTTGCTTGCTCCGAAATCATCAGAGTTGCGGAATCCATCCGAGGTAAGTTAATTCGTAGCTGAAACCGTCCAAATACTTATATTCAGCAGGCAAATTTGAGATTATCACCATCCCCCAGTCCACACTGGAGGCTGGTAAGCTGGGAGTCGCTTGGGATGTTCAGTTGGAGCAACCGTCTCATCTCAAGATCGACCAAGATTGGGAGTCGTTCACTCACTCTTTTATCGCTGAAATCATCCGTGGTGCGTGCGATGGGGCCTGGCTGGTCTCTGACGATTGGAATCAACTTCTTCCCCACCTCAAACTCACCACCGTGGAAGACTTCTTGACGGACATATGGAAGGACTAGACATGTAAGACCAGTATGCAGGACTTCTAGGACAAAAAAAATTGTTGCGTGGTTCAACGTAAATTACGCCATGACCAGGTGACGTAACGAGATATGAAAAGCGTGCAAATGAGAAATAGTGACTCATGCTCCCTTTTCCTGCTCTATTATGTTTTTACATCTCACATGAACGCCTTGTGCTGAATATTTTAGTGTGGAAACTCACTTTGCTTGAATAGCCGGATTGGAGGCTAACTGTCGTCTACGTCAGGCGGCTGAATACATGCCCCAGAAGAATGCGCACCGTCTGGTCCTACTATCCTCATCTTCGGCACGGTGTATGGTGCTCATTTTGGGGAGAGGCATGGTGAGCGAAAGAAAGCGACTAGCTTCGGGCTTCTGGTGTGTTGATAAGCACTCGGCATACAGCACCACAGTTAGTACTAGACACCAAATAAAAGCTGGTGGCGGAGACGATTACTTTCGATCTTCTTTTCGTAGAGCTATGAGCGGGCTCAGGCCCCGGTTTGCCGTGTCCCTCATTGTGAAAATCGCAAATTAATCGGTTATCTCGCTAACGTGTCAGTTGGCGCTCGACTGTAGTATCGCGCTAGCAGAAAGTTGGCCTGCAGCAAGCGGGTTAAATAATGGCGAGGTATCGCATAGCTTGGCATCCGTTACTGCAATACCAGAGATTATCTACAATGATGTTACCTAGTGAGTAGAGATTCGATCTCAGCCTACGGAAAGGGAGCGTGGTTTTGACAGCATCTTTCTCAACGCAAACATCAACATCAAAACAAAAGTATCTGACACTGTACTGCGTTCAATACACTCCATGTTATCCATCCATGGCTGTTTCGCTAGTTAAAGCGGACCCTCCGTCCCTTAGCCTGCAGATGGGACCACGGGCGTTCCTCCCCGGATACAAAAGGACCGTTCTCCCTGATTTGCTCCAACACGACTCCCCATAAACCTGGATCAAAGTGCCCTAACTTTAAGTGCTTATGCGCAGGGATCATTCCTAACGAACGTCCGTCCATGTTTCCATTCACTTGCGGTGTATTGAACCAAATTCTGATCACCACTCTTTTAACACGCATCAACAAGACATGGACGTTAAACAATCTCAAGAATTCGATCGCCCGAGCAATGTGAGCTTTTGCGAAGGGTGTTCGGTTATCGTCTTCGACGATAGCGCCGATGGCTTTTCCGAAGGCATGAACTGGAACAATGAGCCAACATTGCGACATTCTCGAGAAGGAGGCAAGATAATCATCATGAAACCTGTTCGCAGTTGGAAAGATACACTGCCCGACTTGCCCAGAATGGCTGAGTCTATTAGAGCTGGGTGCCGTATGTGTGGCTTCATCCGAGAAGGGCTCCTCCAACGGAACATGGGGTACAAGGGTGAAATCCTTGTTAACGGGGGATATCTATGGGGCGGGCGAGGAGATGCAAATGACGTCTCTGTCACAGATCCTGGTTTGGCTTACTGGAGGTGCGAGGCATACAAGGTCGAGGGAGGGACACGCTCGACCCAGCTTGCAGTTCTGAATTTTGACATTGACACCAGCGACAGTAAGTTACTCAGCTTCATCCGATACAATCCGCTTCTAATGACTCTGCGAAAGATGACCTGCTTCAGTGGCTGAGGGTGGACGCGAAGTGCGCCCCAGAGCCTTTGGACCCGGACACTGTGGAATGGCTCAAGTCAGAGCTTCGGAGCTGCGATGACAAATGCGACCACATCAAACCAGCATCGCAATTCTTACCAACTAGGCTGATTGACGTCGGCCAGAGCGAGATGGATGTCCCACGACTCGTCCTCACTAAAGACGCTTTCAAGGTGCAAACGATCGATGATCTGGAGTATGCAGCACTGAGCTATTGTTGGGGACCAAAGAGAGACGCTCTAAAGCAGGTAAAAACTACGAAAAGTACCATTGCAGCCCACTGTCAAGGAATGCCGCTTGGCTCCTTGAGTCCTGTCGTGCGGGACACAGTCAAGGTTTGCTGGGCGCTCGGTATTCGTTACCTTTGGGTTGACGCTATTTGTATCATCCAAGGAGACAAGGAAGATTGGGACCATGAGAGTCAGATGATGGGCCACGTGTACTATTCTTGCTCTGTGGCCATCTGCCCTGTTTCTTCGCAATCTTGTCTCGAAGGCTATCTCGGAGCACGGTCCAGAGGTCTTGACGTCGATTTCGAGTCATCGCGCCGCAAGCACATCAGGGGCTCCTACAGACTCATTCTATCTTCCACGGATCTCGACGAGCATGCGATGGGGACCCCTCGTCCCGGCCCATCACTTTACGTGGATCTCCAACGCTCTTCGTGGGATCATAGGGGCTGGACCTTTCAGGAGCTGGTTCTTTCACCGCGCATGATCGTATTTGGGCCTTCTATGTGCCATTTTGTCTGTGAAACTAAGACAATCTCCGAGAACGGGCACATTGCCACAGACGCAATGCATGGTCCATTGAGATCTGTGATGAATAAGGCTCTCGGAAAGTGTGTTGCCGACACAAATCACTCAGCGGAGAGCGTGCAAGAAGCATACTGGCAATGGACCTCAGTGAATGAAGCCCAGAGTAGGATCTGGACATATCGAGAGGATATTTTTCCAGGGCTTTCCGGTCTTGCTCAGGGATTCGCGACGATCACAGGAGACACATATCTCGCAGGTCTGTGGAAAAATGATCTCCACCACCAGCTGGTTTGGGAGATCTCACGGCCGTTAGCCGGCGACCTAGCCTCATTAGTACACAGCTTGCAGCACGCAGATCCGTACATCGCTCCTTCATGGAGCTGGGCATCGAGAACAGCACGCTACGAGAATCTGCCTGACAGGCAATTTTCAATGTCTGTCGCTGCTCAAGAGGCAACATCTGCCGCTGACGAAAAAGAAAAGACGTTCTTCGAAGTTGTCACGCAGCCGAGCCACGTCCGCCCCGAGTTTGCCCTGATAGACTACCGCATAGACCTCCAAGGTAGCAACACCTTCGGATCTGTTAGCGGGGCCTTTCTTCGACTGAGGGGTAAAATGTGCGCTTTTCCTTCGGATGTCGGAAGAGAAGCTTTGGGGCCCAGCGGTGACTGTCGTCCGTCCTACGGGAAGTTCTCAGGCGGGATCGGAACCTGCATGCTGGACTGGGGCGTCAGCGAGACTTCAGTGCAGAGACCAGAGAGCATGCAACTATTTTTGATATCCAGCTGTTGCTCGCCAACGTCGCAATGGGGCAAAATGAAGTGGCTTGCGGACTGGGATGAAGAGGACTACGACGACTGGGTACCGAGTGACGCGGAGTTAGGCGACAGCTCGTTTGCCAGCAGCTATGAGAGCATCGACACGTGCAAGTACTGCGCGGATCCAATGCACAGGCGGACTGGCTGGGGTCTTGTTATTCATCCCATGGAGGAGCTCGGAAACTACGCGCGAGTTGGAGCTTTTGTCCTCTTTGCACATAAAGGGGGGATGGATCTCTTCAAAAGCGAGCCGGAGGAGATAGTACTCGTGTAGCGTCACTTCTGTCTTCACCTGAAAGGACTCGATTGTCAAGGCAGGATTAAATTTGAGCCACATGCGAGGCAATGGTGAAGTGGAACTTGAAGTTCACAGCAAGTCGGCATGTCGGCAGCAGCCGGTCTCAGATTCCGATGTTTGGTGCTCGGCAGCGGCCCGTAGCGGGCGGAGACTTTGCTACAGACAAGCATTTGATCCCGATCTTGCGCCTGCGAACTCTGAGGTTCAAACAGCAAAAGAACCGAAAAAAAAAAGTTAGGTACTTCGGCACGCGAGATTTAGTGCCGACTAAGCCCGAGCTCCCCTTATCTCAACGTACTAGAGGCATCGTGACGCTACTTTTCCTTGATAGCCGTGGAAATAACGCGGAAATGAATGTCAATCAGCCCAAGAGGGCGATAAAAACTTGCCGTTCATGGGAACCCGAGCAGATTAATAATGGTAGGGGCTCCAGTGAGGGTCCATGGATGAGGTCACTAATCTGTTGCGCAGATTTGCATCACAATCATGACTCAACCCCAGAGCTGTCATCATCTTTTTAAGAAACGGTCATAGGTCAACAAGTTTCACGTTGCATTGATCTAGGAACATCACTCTGACCAGATAAAGCCAACTCTCCCCAAACAACATTCATTTCAGCGGGTGGCCAAATATTCCCCAGTCACAGCGGAGAGCAGCCAAGACGATGCAGTCGCTTCTCCAATATAGGCGGGCAGGGGTCGCCGCCCAGGCTCAGATCGACAGAGACATGGGCGCAGCAGCGTCTTCTTCACAACCGGCAAGTCATCAACCTTCCAAAACAGGTCAAATTTTCGACGAAGAAAAGGCTCATCCAGCGCACCCAGAAGAGAGGCCAGGCCAAGTCCTAGAGCCGACCAGCGACAGCAGCGCCGAGTCCAGCAATGACGAAGACATCGAACGCGTGGGTACGACGCGGACCCAGTATTCCGAAGGAACTGCTCTCGGTCGGGTTCTTACCGGCATCCACGTCCGAGACCGCACCGCCCACGAGGGTCATGGCGGCCGGGTCTTTGTTGTCGGATGGGCGGGACCGGGTGACCCCCTCGACCCTCACAACTGGTCCTTGGCGAGACGCGTCGGCGTGACGCTCCAGATCTCCGTGATTGCGCTTTTCGTCGGCGCCGCTTCCGGCATCGATGCGACCGTGCTCCCGCAAGCTGCGAAAGACTTGGGTGTCAGCGAAGTCGCCGAATCTATGGCGACAGGTAGGAAACCAGTCGGTGTATCTCGGCTAGAATTTTGCTAACAATCTATCTTTAGGTCTTTACCTGGTTGGCATGGGTGTAGGCTCGCTCATTGCGGGTCCTTTCTCAGAGACCTTTGGCCGCAATGCCGTTTACATCGTCTCAATGGGTGTCTTCATGTTGTGGATCATGGCATCCGGTTTGGCTCCCAACTTTGGCGCTCAAATTGCGTTCCGATTTCTCGCAGGTTGCTCCGCGTCCACGCCGCTAGTATGTTCCGGCGGTTCAATCGCGGACATGTACAATCGCGTTGAGAAGACGTGGAGTTTCCCACTTTACGCGATCACCTGTTTCGGAGGCCCTATGATAGGTGCCGTGATGGGCGCTTATATTGGACCATCGCCTCTGGTGAGCTGGCGCTGGACCGAGTGGACGATGATGATCTGCTCCGGCCTCGTACTGGTGCTCGTCGGGCTGTGTATGCCAGAGACATACGGCCCGTTATTGCTGCAGTGGAAAGCGGCACACTACCGTCGCATCACTGGGGATAACCGCTTTCGGTCCGAACACGAGATTGTTGATGCAACACTGTTCACCCGACTGAAGACAAGCATGACAAGGCCATTCCTCATGCTTACTGAGCCGATCATTATCGCCATGACGCTGTACATTACCGTCGTCTATATCGTTCTCTTCACTTTCCTGGTTGGATGGCCGGATATCTTCGAAAAGACATACGGACTTGACCAAGGCCTAGCCAACATCATCTTCATCGCCATGTTTGTCGGCACGCAGATCAACTTTGCGTTTGTCCCACTTGTGTACCGCATGACGGTGAACAGAGTGAAGCAGACCGAGGACGGATCATTTGAGCCGGAAATCCGACTGTGGTACGCAATGTTCGGAGCTGCCATTTCCGTCCCCGTATCCCTGTTCTGGCTGGGCTGGACCAACTTCGCCAGCATCAGCATTTGGTCGGCCATTCTTGCAGTTGTAATGTTTGGGTACGGCGTAACGGGCATCTTCATGTGCGTTTACATGTACATCATCGACTCATACGAGATTTACTCGGCCTCGGCACTTACGTTTGTGGCCTTGATTAGATACATCGTCGCCGGCGGTATGACAGTCGTGGGGATTCCGTTCTACGACAAGATGGGCACGCATTACACGCTGACGATTCTGGCGTGCATCGCGGCGGTACTTGCGCCAATCCCATATGTGCTGTATTACTACGGTCCCTGGATTCGGTCGAAGAGCAAGTATGCTGTCTCGATGAAGACCCAATGAAAAGAGCTCGGGTCTAACGTAGACTAGTCGCAGGGGAGTTTGCGACGAAGCCTAGGAGATCAACGTTGATTTGACAAACCCTTCGGCAGACATTGTCTCATCGCGATCCGTCTTCATGCTTGCTTTAGCCACACACTTTGGAAATCTCATAATTATCTGTCTCTCATCCAACGCAATATGTAATTAGCTAGACACTGACGCCCTTTCCCTGATACAAGGGCGTGCCGGCGATTAAACAATACCACCATCACCACCAACATGTCTATTGGATATGCTTGAATGCGTGCCTGTAAGTGCAATTTTGAACACCGTTTGAATCCCTTGACGCCTTGCTAGAATATGCATCTTCCTCGTGATGACTGCTAATCATGAACCATTCTTTTCCCAAACATTACTCATCATCTTCACTTCCAACCTTATCCACCCAGTTTTGTGCCTTTGACGCAAATAGTGCAATCATCAACACTAGGACGCCTCCTAAAAGAGCCCCGAGTCCAGCTGCGACGTTTGTTTAGCGAAAGTTCTAATTAAAATGAGATGCAACACTCACTGATAGTAAAAGCCCATCCAACCCCGATGGCATCAATCATGGGGACCAGACCACCAACAGCACCAGCTCCAAAACTGTATTGAATGATATACTTGCCGCTGATCACAGCCGTGCGATGCTCCGGAAGAGCCTCTGCAATATTGCTTAGCAATTTCACGACTAAGTGACGTAGTCGAGCCATAGACTTACCGGCTGAATACGTGTTGAGACCACTAAATGACCACATGAGTCCGAGACCCTGCACGAAGGAACTGATAATAGGTAGTGGCATGCCGCCAACCTCCTTTTGTACACTCCAGCCATACAACAACGTACCCACAGGCAAGATGACAAAGATTGCTGGCAGACTGGCCCTCAACCTGTCCTGGGGCAGACGAAGTCCGTTGCGCTTGCGGATGTACCTCTTTACGGTGTGATCCGAGAGTCTTCCTCCAAGAGTACTGCCCAACAAGAAACCGGCGCCTGGTGCCAGGTAGAATAGGCCACTGATCAAGGGTGAGGTCAGGCCGAAACGAGGGTTGATGACGCGTCGGACGGAACTAAGAAGACCATACTGGTTGAAGCCCAGCAAGCCGCAGGTGACATTCTTTATCGAAAATTAGCGCGCGGACAAGTATGATTTAGGATAGAAGGCTTACTGCTGCCAGAATGTTGGGGTATTTGAAAGCCCTCAAAACACCCATGGGGTTGAATGCATGCATCACCTCTCTGACAGAATGAACAGGGGCCTTCTCGGGGACTTTCAGGTGCGTGAGCTCACTTGCTCTGGGGACGAAGAAATACGCCAGGATCAGGCCAATGAAAGTCATTCCAGCTTGAACGCCATAGATGATCCTCCAACTGGCGAATGCAACAATGACGCCGCCAGTCAAAGGTGCTGCAAAAGTCAGCGTTTGTCTCTTGAATTCGACGTTGTGACCTACCTATTGTGTTTGCAGCAACGCAGCTTCCAAGGAAGAACCCTACTGCGGTACCTCGGGTTGTCTACGCTGATGTTAGATCCTGTTTATTGTGCTCGTTGTGCTTACTCACCGGCTCAAAGATGTCCGCCAAGATAGTCTGTCCCGCAACGAGGAAAAACGGACCCGTGGTTCCTCCAATGACCCAAATGGCCGTAAAACAAGCCAAGTTGTTGGACAGCGCAGATCCTATCGAGCACAGACTTAACAGAGAGTTTGCCAGCAGGTACGCGGTCCTTCGGCCCAGGATGTTGCTGGTTGGTAGCCAGATCAAAGCCGACAGGGCCATGGCGATGAAAACGCCGGCGTTAGCCGTGCTGATTGCATGCGTTGAAACACCAAAATCCGCAGCGACCTCTTTCGTCGCTGTCAAGATCGAGCTGCCGGAGAAAGTAACCGGCAGGGCCATCCAGCAGACGACGAACAATGTAACCCACTTGCGCCAAGTGGGCATTTCCATGACCACATCATCAACGGCAGCGGGCCGGGCAGGCTCGGACGCGGCCGGGATGGGGCCGGAAAGCGGATCGGAACTTAATTGCGGCATCGTGACGGTAGCCATCTTGTCCGGCTTCTCGGCAGTCTGAGTAGCCATGGTAACGAGCGTAGCATCGAATGAATCAACAGCCAAAAAGAAAGGGATATCCAGCGATCTTACAGTCGAAACATCAGAGCGGTCACATATGGCTCGGGGAGCCAGCCGGGTATATACCCAGCGAAACCACTCCGCCATTCGGAGGCCCCAGCCGGCACCGAAAAAAATTCACCATTTTTTCGTCGTATCCTGTGACTCAAAGGTGTCGATAAGTGGGCCTTGCATTGCGAGTTTTAGGTAGGTCACAAGCGAGGCCGGTTCGGGGGCCGGAAAACTTGCACTGATAGCGGTGGATTTCTTTGGGCCGCAAGTCTTTTGTTCATGTTTCTAAGTCGGCAATTCATCATGAAGCCGACTTGACACAGTGAGACAGCCGGGGATATTGTGGGGATAATGCAGACAGGAAAGACTCGGCGAAAACTCAAATCATGCCGAGAACCGTGGAGCACTGACTAATCTTTCCCCCGGCGTAAGATTCAATTTTTGCCGATAACCTCGGGCCTGCTGACCTTTCTTCCTTCAACTGGTCTGAACTAGACGACAAAGACAGCGATCAGACGTAGTGCTGACAAGCTATTTCCAGCGATTTTGTCAATGTAGCGGCCACGTTCACCAGGCCCTCTGACGCAGGCTTGAGTCGCTGAAATATCTACTGGCCGCCTCGGCGTTTGGCCATCTTCCCGAAATACATCGGAGCCCACGAGGACACATTCCCGATTCGGTAAACTTATCGACCAACACCATGGCCTCGGAAGGGGACATGTCCAGTGCGGAGGACAGGGTCTTGTCAGTATCTGCATCGGCTTCCAAGAGTTCGAACCCGAAGTCCAGGACGAAGCCCATAGCGTGAGTCTCGGGATTTGTTTATTGTCAATGATCATTGCAGTAATTGACGTCGGGTTGTAGGTGTTCTAGATGTCATTCACGTAAAGTGAGATGCTCAGGTGGGCACCCATGCGATAACTGCCGCCAGGCAAGTAAGGGCGCGGAATGCACCTATCCCAGACGCAATCGTATGATCAAAGTGAGCCAACGGTATGTTGCACTGAGTTTGCATTTGTATTTACATCTACCCAATTGTGTCCCCTAACACTCCTCACTCAGATATATCGATGATCTCATAGCCGAGAACCAGCGCCTCAAGAGCCAAAATGCCGGGCCTCGACATGCCGACACTCATGCTCAAGCCACTGCCATCCTCCCTGATATCCCCGCCGTGCCAGCAAAAGACATCGTGGACAATGGCATTGCTGTCCCAGCCCCGTCACTTGACCAACGTCCATGGTTCTTTGATATGAACATCCCACACACCCCCATTCTCATTGGCGAGGCATCAGATGCAGCATTTGCTACTCGATTTCGACAAGCAATAGCAACTGGAGATCATAGCCACATACCCAGAGTTAACTATGCAACTGATGAACGACTATTGGCGTTGTCTGACGTCGACTGCCCGTGGCCTAGTCCTGCAAGGGCTCGCTTCCTGGTTGGCGTTGCCTTGAGATATGTGAGTCGATGCTATCACATCATCCGCAAGAGTCTCATCTTGGACGGACTAGAGCAGACACTTCAGAATCCATCAGAAAGTGACACTCTTTTGAAGAGTAAGCTCTGGGCATTATTCGCTATCGGCGCCATGTATTCAACACGCTCAGCGACATCCGAGCGAGACTTCCCCGGGATGGGCTACTTTGCAAGAGCCACAAGAGTGCTTCGTATCGTCAGTGAGAGGCCCCGGATTGACGTAGTTGAGCTTAGACTCTTGCTTGTAAGTGTGGCAGCATGCACCATAATGCCATGTTCAACTGAGACTGACCAATACAGTCATTCTACTCGTTGGCACTCAATCGTCGACATACTGCCTACACCTTCGCTGGCTCAGCAACGAGACTTGCCGTCGTCATGGGTTTGCACCTCAACGTCCCCGAGTCCCAGCTGCGAGACGTCGCCGCCCGGGAACATAGAAACCGGGTGTTCTGGACAGCATACATATTCGACCGAATGTGGGCATCGAAGCTGGGTCACCCCGTCTGCGTCCAGGATGTCGATATCGAGGTTGATCTTCCATCTAACCCTACGGTTGACGAAAGTATCGCGGATGATTTTGCGGATGCATCATACTTCGTCGCCAGTGTCAAGCTCGCGCGGGTTCTTGCTAAAATTGTGCCATTGATCTATCGCAGGCGGAACCAGCAGATGTCGCTATCCCACCGGGTACAGGAAGCGTTGAACGACCTCCGTGGTTGGGTTGAGGAATTGCCACCTCAGCTTCACATCGACCACAAGGTCACATCAGAGAGAATGCAGAAACCAATCTCGCTTCATTTGAACTTCAATCAAGTAAGTCCGAACATGTTCCAAAGTGAAATTATCCTGCTAACAACCAAGTGCGCCGTAAGCGTTACCCGTCCCATTCTACTCCACGTCCTTCGCACCCACGTGGCGTCGTGGGGAACACCATCAACTCCAGAGCCACAGATCCCTGGGACAGCAATGACACTTGCAGAAGCATGCATACGCTGTGCCAGGCACTCGTGTCGTCTGCTGACCGAATGCTGGATCGACGGATCTTTTGCAACATTCGACTACTTTTATACCCAGTACCTCTTCTCGGCCTCCACCATTCTCGCCATATCAAGTCTTCTCAACGGCAAAGAAAGTCAAAACGATCGAGAACAGTTCGAAGAAGCGGCGCAATTCCTCTTCCAGCTGAGAGACAACGGTAACTTTGCTGCCGGAGAATTCTGTCAACACATTGATGCTATGAAAGCAATGATGGCTGCGGCTCATGCTCGCCGTGGCGGATACTCGGTGGCAGGGGACGCTTCTACGCTCCTTGGCGATGCAACGGCGACTTTTGGCGATGCGATGAACATTGCACAGCCCTTCACAGCCCAGAATACCACCGCCGGCATGGCGCTTGCGGAACCTTCTTTACAGGAGCTGCTGGCACAGCCCATCTTGGATCTACAATTCATCGACGCATCTATCTATAACGATGGTGCGCAAGGGCTGTATTGGCCAGATATAAGTCCAGAGACTTGGACGCCGGACTGGACTGCAGCTTAATTGATGATTGCATGCCATTTGGCAAGATCGGTACGAAGTACTGTTCCTCATCCTCGATAACTACATAGTTGCTCTTCCATCGGTCTTCATCTTGGCTGCAACTCAAACAGCCATGTTACAGCCATGTTGCATGCAGCAGAGATATCACCAAAACTTAAACGGCACTGCCAGCCTTCCAGCCGCGTTTGGAGCGGCAGTTGGCGAAACAGCCGAACCACTTGCTTGGCCTCCACTTCCCGTCGACTGTCTCGTTTCACCAGTTGCTTCTGCTGTCGTCGTTACAGTACCCAGTCCGATTGTCGATGTGGTGGTGCCTGGCGTTGTGCTTCCACTCTGAGTGCCATCGCATGCCACTTCGCCGGAGATGAAGGTGTAGCTGGTGCTGCACCCGATTCGGCCACACGTTCCCTTGCAAGGAAAACTGACATACTCAGTGGGTACAGGCGTCGGGCATCCGCAGCCGTGAGTTAGGGTGGAAATCGTGATGCATTGAAGAACCATGCACGTCGAGCATATCTCAAGTGTCTCTGTCGCAGTCGGGCATCCGGTCTGTGGTGATACAGGCGACGAAGTGATAGTACGTAGGACGGTGGTGTCAGATATGACGTCGGACGAGGCTTGAGCCACGATCGGCACCGCCCTATCGTTGTCAGCTGCGTACCATTAGAGATTTTGTACGCGAGACCTTACGCTGAAATTATTGCGAGAATGTGGATGGAAGCTTTCATATTGTCGTTCTTGTGTGTGAAGTCAGACGAGAGGGGATACTCTGGCTGGGGAAGTTCTGCAGGAGTATGATATATCAACTCATGATGGCAGGTGACTATGGCGTTCTCCGCTTGAAGATCCCGAACTTCATTCGTCGACTTGGTCGGTGTAGCAATTCACCAGCCTTTTTGGGAGTAGGTGTCTTGGCTTGCAGGGGCACAACGGCGATGGACTCGTATCGAGCTTCATAGCGCGGAGATCCATCTATTTTGGCCTATCAGAGGCCCCGAGACAGATCATCAAAATGTTACACCAAGTTTCATCGCCAAAACAGTTTTGTTTATCTTCCAAGAAATCGGGGAGATCAGCCATTCATTTTTTCACAGCTCATCTACATAAAAGCAGTCGAGGGCTATGTATTGCGCTCGTGATCTGATTGGTAACACAATGGAGACCCAAAGTCAGTTGAATTACGTCAGGAACACAGGTTTATGATTTAACGTTTCAGCCGTTAACAAATATCACCATAGGTAAGGTAGGTAACCTCAGACAATGAGTTTCAAATTCATTATTTCGTTATTCTCAGTTACCCTTGTGTAAATTTGGTCGAATCATTTCAATGCACCAGCCCTGGCGGCTGGTCCAAACACCTCAAGATTGCCAGACGTAATACGCCATCAGAAAGCTGCGAATAGCGACCGACCTCAAAGGGATCCTATTTTCAAGCATGGTGTGAACGTTCCCATACGGTAGAAAATCTCTTAACCAGATGGTAGACAAATACCTACTGTAGCATTTTACCCTGTTAATTACCCCTCTGTGCCTAAGTATCATCATCGTTGTCGTCCTTCCTGTCGGTTTTGCTGGCTCTATGATTAACCGTTTTATCCTTATCCTCCCGAATATAAGACTAAAGGTCTTGTAATCCGGCTTTTAAGCCTTTCGATGTAGGTGACCCATGAATAGGCGGTCCGTTCAGTTGACACGACTCTAAAATGATTTTTCGCATGTTGACTTGTAGAGATCATAACACCATGGGCAAGTCTCATCCATCCTCAATTCCCCAACCAAGGCTTTGTTTTCGAAATGGTTACCGGTCGCAGACACTGGCGGAATAAATATGCATTACACATAACGTGGTTCATCAGTCAGCCGGCCGGACCAGTCAGCCGGACGTTTTTTCTAAACACACTTATGTCCAAACCATTTAAACCTTTGACGCGTAAAATCTCAACAACCACAATGCCAATCTATACCCAAGAAGACAAAGTT